CGAGATTTTATTGGTTAATTAAATAATGTCCATACGGCAAACTTTCAATAGCGTTATAGAAATATATTTTATTGCAAAAATTGGACAAAGAAAACTTAACTTGATTAATGCTATATATTTGATGGTTTTTTGAGCGTATAGTGTTAAATTCAACTTTATCCTTCAAATCACCATTTAATGTTTCTTCGTATTTATTATAATTTAATTCATTAGCAACTTTATGTTTAACAATGCCTTTGCTCCTCTTATGTTCTTCATCTTCTCCATACACTTTATAACAGTATGATTTAGGTTTCAATCCTATGAAGTGAGTCATTATTTTTCCATTAAGTTCATCCTTCATTTTCCCAAGAACTTTTTTATTAGAAGCATTATAACATTCATGATTTTTAGGATAATCTGAAAAATCCATATGTTGATTTATAAGCTTAAAATCTGTGTAAATATCATCAGTTTCAACATGGATAATAAAACTATCAGTGTCAGTATATGCTAATTTTATTTTATCGTTATATTTAGGTTTTAATACATCATAATAAAAAGAATACATATGAATTTTAGAATAATCTAAAATTGATAGACCCATATAAATAGGTTTATCTAATTCTACCATTGCCTTTTCAAGTTCTACCACCACTAAATCTTCATTTATAATGTGTCTATGTTTGTATGATGGTTTATTTACTAATTTCTGGAAGCGTTCAGGTGTATTGATTAGTCTGAAGTCATTGTGATTACGAACGTTTTCGAGTGTTTTTCCATATACAGCGTTATTTAATAATTTGAATAAATCTTTTTCAAATTCAGTTTTAGCATTCTTTCGTTTTTCGGTATTGAAATCAATGTATGGTTTTAAGAAATCTGCTTGATTAAAACTAATTACCCTATGGACTTTCTTTAGTTTTAATCCATGCTCTAAATAAAACTTCAATGCTGATATATGTAATACATACTTTTTCTTATCCATAACATTTAATATTAGTTTATTTGTTTTTTCATCAGATGCATCTTTTCCATAATATTTTTATGTATTTCTTTTTGAACTGGTGAAAGCATATTCTCACTAACACTCATAATTTCTGGTGCTAATGGATAATCTCTATGTAAATCATGTAATTCTTTTGGATATTCTAAATCAACTTCTAAAATATAGCCTTTGTCATCATCATCGCTATAACTTAATACTTTCTTCTCATCCATCATTGAAAAATACCAATTGAAATTATCAAACGGTAGTTTTTTACTCATAGCCAGACCATACAAGTTATTAGCATCTAAATAACTTACATAACTTGATGGTTTTGACAAGTCATATTGTTCATTCATGTATTTATTATTTGCTTCTACTTTTTTATGAGCACATTGAGTCATCCCGCCACGAAGACCTTTTCAATCATTTCATACATATCTTTATTATGTATTTGTTGAAGTCTAACACCAGTCAGAGATAAAAAGGCAGACCAAGAATAATTAGGTAATGTTATGTAATGTGCAGGGTCTAATCCATAAAAATTTAAACACATATCCCTAAAGTTTTCAAACACATCACTAAGCAAATAAACATCTGTCATCAAATATAAATCATGGTATTCACCTAGGTTTTTGATATTGAAATTATCCCATATTACTTTTGCCCTTGTGTGTTGTGTATCTGTTATACCTTCTTCATATAATTTACTGTAAAAGTCTTCTATATTCGGTAATTGCGATTCATTGAATTTATCAAATGAATTCATGTAGTCGTAAGGATAAACTCCTTTTTCAGTTAATAAGTCTAAATCGGTTTTATTTCTAATATATGGATTTGCTGATGAAAATCGGAAATTATCCTTCCAGTCATTCCGCTTTTTATATATAGGTTTATCATGTTCATCTTTACCTACTATGTCATATTTATTTAACTTAACTAATTTATCCAAAGATGCTGAGAGAAAAGCCATGCTATCTTTAAACTGTAATGAACCAAATGAAAATGTAATAAACTTTTCGCTATTTTGTGCTATTACATCTATTCTCTTATTTTCGTTCAATTCCTTATTTATTTCATTTGCTTTGCCTATTATTAAGTGAGAGTCATAGTTTTTTAAATTATGAAAAAATACTGGTATCTTGAAATATCTAAATGAATAATCCAAATTACATTTTTCGTGAGCACAACCTCTATACTCACCAGTAAAATGACAGTGGTCTCTGACTTTTGTATCTTCTGGTTTAAAATTCTTATTACATATTGAACATACAGTAGCTTTTCTAAATTCTGCTTCTTGTTCATCTGTAATATCCATTGGTTTATTAACATTCATTTTATCAAAAATATCTTTTTTAATTTCTCTTAATTTATTTACAAAGTGGTCTAAACAATCCTCTCCACGGTATAAAAAAGGTTGACTTGTATTATCAATAGAATTTACAACATTCAACATATAACCGCATGGTTTATGTTCCTGATACGTGCCCTTGATGCCATTATTTGAATTTACAGTTATACACTCAAAATCTCCATAAACAACAAATGGACATTTTAATTTTCTATTGTATTTTTCAAATTCAATATAACTACCTTCTTTTGGTAATTTAAACTGTTGTCCATGTGTTGCCATACAACCAGTTTCATAATGTTTTGTTAATAAATCCTTTCTAGTAAAGGCATGAGAACAATAATGACAATAATGTTTTGGTTGGTCATTTTTGTTTGTTTGCCAGTTCATTAAACGACTTAGACTTTTAATAACTACATAATGATTATTATTATTGATTTCAATTTTCAAAAGGTTTATTTGATGTTTAGCATCTCTTGTTTTAGTTCTGTAATCAATTATAATGTTCTTTTCATTCAAAGTATCATCAATTTCATAAACATTGATTGAAACTAACTTACTATTATTTTCTTCAAACCTTTCAATATCTTTATTACCAGTTGGAAATTTAACACCTTCCCAGTTTAAGATATTGTCATTTAATTTGTTGTAATGGAACATTTCTTGGGAATTTGATTTATTAATTATATCAAACACTACACTTTGAACACTATATTTAAAACATTTGTTATCTTTGTTTTTGATATTAATACATGCCTTTTTTAGTTTAATCCATTCTGGTAAATCTATATAACTACCCGCCCTAGTTGGGTCATATTTGTCATAATGGATTGTTATTGATAATATCTTTATAAATTTTAAATTAGATGCTGAACCTTCTAACTTTTCTATGTTCAATAAAATCTCTTTGATTGATTTTTCAATTGCTTCATCCAAATCGGTTTCATTATAAATGTTTGACCTTGTAGCAGGTAAATTATAAAGTATCTCTGTATGTTTTATTACTCCATCATCATCATAATAATGATAAAATAAACCTTCTGCCCTTATATTCAGTTTCATAGCTCTATTAGTTTTCAAAAAGGTTAAAAGTCTATCTTTTTGGTGGTGTATCATTGATAGTGCCTTTTCACCTTGAAAATGTTTATTTACTAGTTTTATAGAATTAGCATAACTTTTGAAAGCTGATTGTTGGTCTGTTACTTGGAATTTATTTTTGATTGCATATTTTGTCATTGCATTTTTCATTCTTTGTTTTAGGTATGTTGAGCGCAATGTTGTTGTTGCATAACTATTATACTCATTAGTTCTTGCTTCTGATTTTAATTTCTTGTTCAAAACATTTGAGATGGGTTTTTCTTTGTTGTATCTAAATTGTCTACCATCTATAATTATTGATTTTAATTCCTTGTTTCCTCTTTTTGGAATTTCCGCTTTATCATTATTCAACAGATAATCTATAACATGTTTCATAATACTATACTATATAAATTTAATGTGTTTATTTCTTTAAGTGACTTTTTAGAAAATATACTTAAAGATTTAAAACCTTAATATAATAAGAGGAAAATGAACGGTGATAAAATCAATAATTATATCAATAAAAAATGCTATGATTGTTGTCACTTCAAAAAAGAAAATATGGAATTGTATAAATTAAATTTACCTAATGAAATAGTGAATAATATTATTAATTATTCAATGGATGAAGAAGATTTATGTAAAATTTGTAGAAATTGGAGATATTATCAAGAATTAATCAGATGTCTGTTGGGAATAAAAAGAATTCGACATAGAAATGTAGAAGATGATATTTTAATATTTCTAACTGTAAATAAAATACCACCTTATGATTATGTTAAACAGTTTCTTAAAATTAGTAAGAAAAAATATGAAATGATGGATGATATATTATGGTTGTTGTGTTATAGTCAAGATAAAGGAGAAGATGTTAAAGAAAATATCAAATTATTTATTGAAAGTAAAAAGTTTAATATTCAGAATACAGTGAGAGATGTTAATATTATTTTTAAAATGATGTATGAAAGAAGAAAGATTTGTCAATTAAATTATTATCCTGTACTGAAATTATAATCATACTATAATAATAACATGTAAAATTCTATATGTTATAATTATACTGTACTTATAGTTAGTAAAGATTGAAATATTTTATTTTTTCTTGATTTGGCTGACTCTTTCAAAGTGCGTTGTTTGAACTTGGTATGCTCTTTTGATTTTTTCGTGCTTTGGCTGTTTGTATTTTATTTTGTTTGATACTCTTCTGATATTTTTTGATGGTATGTTGCTTTGTTTTTGATTTTGTGTGTTTTTGAGATTGGGTTCTTTGATGGTTTTTATTTTTGCTGTTTTGTTGGTATGCTTGTTTGAATTATTTAATGTTTTATGCTTTGATTAAATATTTTGTTGGGGGTTGTTCTGGTTTTTGAGTTGCTTGGTGGTTCTTATCTTGTTTTCTGTGAATTTTGCTGATTTTGTTGTATGCTGTTTGATTATTTGGGTTTGATGTTAGAAGTGCCATTTTATGTATTTTTTTTTGGGGGGGGGGGGCAAACCCCGTGGTTGCATAAGTTGAAACACCTCAGCTTTTAATGCAGTCAGCCTATGAAACCACCGCCGCACCTCAATGAGGGGGGTGGGGGATTCATCCCACGTGCGCGCCTGGAGCAGCGTCGCCAGGAAGCTGCAGATCTCTTTGGGCGCCAATGGCGCGGTGTACTGACCCTTCTCCGCCCGCTTTGGGAATTCCTCGCTTCAAGCAGTCTGACTGGGCCTGACTGCCTGCAACGAATTCAACCGGCCGTTCACCTCTCGCAGGACAGGACCAATCGCCCAAAATGGTCAATCATAATACCACAAGCAGCCAGAAAGGCCAACACAAAACAGGCTTTGTCGTGTCTCCCCTTTTCCGCGTCTCGGACCTTTTGGCCATGAGGCATGCCTAGAGTCGCATTATTTTTCAGCTTGGCTCCCCCAAATGTCTCGTGGATCTGGACCAGGGTCAGATGGCTTCAACAGGCTGCGGCCACGGGGCGGAGTAGTTGAAGGCAGCTTTGCCTTCCAGCATGAAGTACAGCACACAGCCCCCAGACCAGCAGTCGGATTTGATCTCCTTAGCGGCAAAGCGAAGAAGCCACAAGTAGACATGAGGAAAGGCCGAAATTCCCATGGCTCTCGGCCATTGGAAGCAGAGCCCCACAGGCTGACAGTTGGACAAGGGATCGGGATGCATCGCGTGGGATCGATCGATGGCGTGTTCCGTCCAAGACGCCAAAGGCACCGCGGTGCTGGACATGGCCTGAGCATGGGCCCGCGCCAACAGCTCCAGGGGAGAATTGGCGCGGCTCAGAAAAGTCACAAGCATCAGGAACAGCCCTGCTCCGTGTCGAACCTTCAGGTTGACCCCGGAACGGAACTTGTGTACTGGTGGTGGCCCCGGAATGAACCTGGTGGATTCAAACATCATCTGGATCCCCTCCAAAGACATCAGGGGAAGTCAATTCGGTTCCGGGGAGGCCTGGACGTGTTGCGATTCCTGGCGATCTTCAGCAAGGGACAAGCTACAAAACCCCCTATGAAAGTCGCAACTTACCAAAGCGATGCCGACCTTTCAGTAGAACCATGTGCCATTGCCAGAGAGCGTTTATAAGTTCGAACACCAACCAGCTAATCGCTGGGTTGGAGCTCAGTGGTGTGGTTAAGGATCCTCTCCCTTTAGCCTCTAAAGCCAGGGGACCACCAAGGCTTCTCTGATCATAGCTCTTGTCATCCCAAAGTCTCCGTGCCCACCACCCAAAAAGCAAAACACAAGTCTGTACAAGCGATGACACGCATCAAAACCTCCAGCCCACTTCCGACTGGATTTTTGACCAAAACAGCAAAGGCTGAGCCAAGAGCTGTGCTGTTCCATCCTTCCAGACCGAAAAAAACGAGAAAAAGCCACGAAGGGTTTTGTCGCGAGACCCGGAGACTTGCAGCTGGGCGTCGGCCAAAAAAGACACAACCAACAGCCCATCCCGTACCAAAGGAGTGCCCCCCCCCCAAATGGCAGGCTCAAACTTCATGGTGGGGGTGATCAATCTTCCCTTCGGCCACCAAAGGACTATGGGGTGAGTGTTGTCCGGGTGAGTGTTGTCCCATTTGAAGTGGTTGAAATAATGATCATCCCTTTTTTGTGGGCCTCGATCCCATAATCCCGTGTTCATCGGACCTTTGATCAGCCCCCCATGTCCCAAACTGGTCATGGGGCGGGCAAACCACAAAAGCCTCACCGTGTCTTCCATGTCCCTTAACATGGCCACACAAATAAGGGGGAGCGGGAAGGGGGGGTCCAAGATTGGACACAAATGAATATCCAAAAGTCCCACACCCCCGAAAGAGTCCTTTTTCTTGGGGGGGAACTCCCATTTTCTCGGAGGTTTCAAAAGAAAACCCAACAAAGACATTCCCAACAAAGACATTCCCAACAAAGACACGACCCCGGCCGTTCTTCCAAAGAAAACCCACCCCCCGCCCTCCGGCATCCCCAGCCTGGCGCTTCAGCTCCGGCGCCACATAGCCGGCGCTGCCGTTCAGGAGCTCCTCACCATGGCTATGGAATTTTCATTAAGGAACCCTTTGGTGGACATCATGGTGGGTTGGACGTAAAATGGAAGCATGGAAAACCTGCGATCCCATAGGTGGTTCAATTTTCACCCATGTTTATTTAGGTTTTATTAACCAAAGGGATGGGGATAGGATGGTGGACTAACTTTTACTTTTGCCTCGAGCTCCTCTCAATGGTTTGGGGAGTTTGAATGGGTCCCTGAGCCTGTCAGATATGGGCACGAACTTTAATGGGTCCTGGACTTGTTGGTGGACATCATTTAGCTGGGGAGTTATGTCCACCAACCACTTTTCAGGGGGTTCCACCTCTTCAAATTCATAGCCACATCCCATAGTTGGACAAAGGAAACCGGGGCGATCCATCAAAGCCAGTCGACTCTCCTCCGGCGGGATTTGGCAGGTCTTTCAACGCCAATCCACTTGCTGTGGTCCAACCAAACTTCGTATCACTTTTCAAAAGCTTGGACGCCGCCAAAGTGGCTAAAAAATTGCGGGATGCCTGACACAGCTGGTTTTTTAAGGTAGAAAACAGGCCAACAAGCATGGGGTCCTCTCGAAGCATCTCAAAGATGAACCCCATTCAAGTCTTTGGCTTGCATGCAAATTGCCGGTGGGAAACTCCGCCTTCACCCTCTGGGTTTCATCGCCGGTTCACTTAGGCTCACTTTCTAGGCTCTCGCTTTCTTCGGTTCACCCGGTGAAAAGCTGTCTGTGTTCACTTTGGATCCGTCTCCTCTGGCCGGTCCACCATGATGTTGTCCAGGTACAGCCTGGAGCTCCTGTCAGCTCCCGCGCGCGGGGGGGGGGGGGGGTGGCTCACGCGATAGTCAGACTCGCGTTCTCTGGGGGGCTGCAATGTTCCACGGGTCCCAGAACGGCCATGGCTCGCTTTCCCCCATTTTTTCGGGGTGGAAGAAAAAATGTGTTTTTGAGGGTTTCCCTACTTGTCACCCCATGTAGAGGACCAGTTGATTCACCCCCCATTTGTTCCACTTCTGAGGTTTGAGCCACGGCCCGACACTCCCAACAGCAAATGAAACATATGATCCTATGGACAAGGCCTCTCTTGAAACGACCTTCTGGTGCAATGGGTTGAAAACCAAAGAAGTGGGGAGCCAGCCCTCTACCTTGTCACATCTGCTTCAGGGAGGACTCCAGGTACGCCAAACGTTCCAAAACCAACAAACCTGCAAGCAATCCCAACCAAGCCCATCTCCCCATGTTTCAAATTCAGTACTTGTCAGCCAAACCATGGAATGTTGCACTTGGCCTTCTCTTCATTTCGCCGGACATTCCCTCCCCAGGCACCCCAACACAAAATTGGGTGGCAATTCTCCCCAGGCACCCCCCCGAGTTCGGGGGTTCCATGAACCCCATCGCTTCGGGCGCGGCGCTGGGAGAAGTTCCCGAGCACCAGGTTCGAATCCACGATCCGCCTGGGATGCTTTTCGATCGACGCTCTCCCGCTCGGAAGGAAGTCGGGAGTCGGCCGGTCGGCTTGGACTTGTTTGGGGGGACCCGAAACGGACATGGTGGGGGGTTACACTTTTCAGGTAGTTCCCTATGAAAAGTCATAGCCAGATCCAAACCAGGCAGACTGTCCAGCAACCACCTATGAGGTGGTTGCCACAAGGCCGGGCAGGTAAAGCGATGCCCCAATTCAGTTCACGCCGGATCGCGATCCTGGCATCCTGCCATTGGGCCTTTCACCCGGATGGGTTTGCCCCCAAAAATTTGGGGGGGGGAGGGGGGGGAAGTCCCAAAATGGTTGGGTTTCCTGTCGGTGGCCCCTTTTCTCCAACACGGGCTGGGCCAGAAAAAGTTGCCACGACCATTCTTGGGATGGCGTCTGTAGAGAATTGGCCTGGGGATCATATCCAGATCCCCAGTCCACCGGACAGCCGGATGCACCATGCAACCCCTCAATTTCTGCGGCCCCGTCTTTTTGTGAAGAATTCTTTTTGGGCGTGGCTTGAAGGGAAACCAAAAGGACACCCACCATCTTTGGGGGTCCAATAATAACAAAAAAAGAACAACACACTCATTTGGACATCCAAAATAAACTAAGTGTCACGAACGAAGCCCTTGGCAAGTTCGAAGGAGTAGCTCTGGAAAAAGCTGGGCTGTGCTCAGATCCCCCGTTCAAAGTTCAACTTCTAGTCGGCGGAAATGGACACCCCCACTAAACACAAAAAGCTCGAAAGCTAAGGAACCGGATGGCTGGGCTTGCCACCAAGCCATGAGTTTCGACCCTTTCAACGTTGCATCTCGGCAGTTGCGAGCGAGGCGCGGCTGGTCCAAGATACAACTCTCCGGCTTCACGCTGCGGTGGATGACGCGGTGCTCGTGCAGGAAGGACCTCTTCCAGGGCCGGTGGATCTGCCAGTCAAAATCTACAGATTCGGGAGCCCAAGAAACTAGGGGTACCAACTACACAGGCAACAACCAGCGCATCTGTGAAAACAGGAGAAAACATGGATTGAGGGTGCTTTGGATTCCCTTTAAGCCAATTCTGAAGAAGGTGGCGTCGAGAAAAACCTAGGCCCAGTCCAAAAAAAATACGGCGTGAGATCACCTGAAACCTGGGATAAGGAACGTCTGAGAAAATGCCGAAATAGCATCGCCAAACATGCACTTTGAACAAAACACGCGATGTGTATATGCGATGTGTATATGTACATGTGCATATATCCATGTATGTACACAAACATCTGCAGTGTTCGTTGCAGGCGACTGCAAAAGCTGCTCTTGCGACAACGAAACATATGCAGCAAGCTACTCCGATATTTCACCCATCGTGTTCCTGGCCGCACCGATTCCAGAAATGAATTGAATCGCACGCAAGACGTATTGTTTTGCGACTTCGGCAAACAACATGTGGCAGCCATCAGGAAAGCAAACGTGTACAAAAACATTGACAGAAGATTTGTAGCCTTGATTCAAGAGGCGTATGATCATTCTTAAGATCTGTCACTTTGGAAAATATGGTTCATGGAGCGGAGGAATTGCACATTTACGGACAACAAGACAAAACCAAACAACCCACGGGCAGGAACAGTCCCGGGCTTCTTGATGCCTGGCTAGTGCTCAAAAACCACCAATTGGCTCATCTTTGTCTTGCGGTACGAGACAAATGGCCATCTGTTCCCTCACTCGGTCCCTGCAAGCCCCCCCCCACCTGCTCTTGGGCCCATCCAAAGTCAAACTGGGCTTGTCTCAACCTTTTTGTTCCCTTTGACCCCCCCCCCAAAAAAAAAAGAAGAAGAAAACAACGGTAAAAAGAAAGAAAGAAACAATCAAAGGGAAAAACCACAACGAAGAAGAAAACAAAACAAACACAAAAAACAAAACAAAAAAAAACAAAAAAACTAAAAGAGGCACGCCCTGGAGATGGGTGGCACCCACTTCTCACTTGAGCGCGTGGCAGCGCCGCAAAGAGCTGGGCGGTCCAGGCCATGGCCAGGCCAACCTGTCGAAGGCGTCGCAAGGACGGACCCCGGGTGAAGCGCTTGGAACCGGAGTCCAATCTTCCATTTGCCAATGTTTCCCAACAACAACCATGGCTCAGGCTCCCTGCCTCTTGTCCTCCATTTGCTTTTTCGTCCCCTGGAGAAAAAAATGAGAAATATGTCCAGTGATAGATTCCCTTTAAAAACGGGTGCAAATTAAAAAAAAATGCTTAAGCAAATGGAAGCAATGTAAAGGAAACGATTGGATGGATGGATGGATGGATGGATGGATGGATGGATGGATGGATGGATGGATGGATGGATGGATGGATGGCTGGATGGCTGGCTGGCTGGCTGGATGGATGGATGGATGGATGGATGGATGGCTTCTTGGGCGTATTCCAACTCATTCCCTCAAAATAAAGCGCTCAAAAACCCAGCAAGAGATGGTTCGGGGTCAGTCCCTCCTTCCCCACTGGGCATCAACAAGGTAAGGAAGCCATGGGATGGATGGCTTCTTGGGCGCATTCCAACTCGCTCCCTCAAAAACCCAGCAAGAAAAAAGAGAGGCCCTGGCTGGCCCGAGATTTCGAGCGACCCATCCAAAAAATCGGAAACCAAAAGGTCGGACACTAAAAGGAGAACCAAAATGCAGAGATGGAAAGGCGCGTGTTTGCTTTGGAAATCCCATTTTCAGGTTGGTTTCCGGAGAAACTTGGGGGTCTGAAAAGGAGGAAGCTGGGGAGAAGAAAACCCGGGAGCCGTTGCAAGTCCAGTCAATGCAACGAAAAGAAACGCGCCCAAGGCTGGTCTCCGGGAAAAACGCGCCAAAATGGACATGTTGACATAAAGATCAATTGGAAGAGCAGAATATCCCGCGGTTTACACATTGGTAACCATGGGCTTCCAGGTTGGTTGGGCCGGGCAAACCACGAAAAGGTCAAGGTCTCGCCTTGGTCAATACGAGGACCGCATCTTCAAACCAGAAACCCCCCACAAACCAGAAACCAACTGTTCGACTTCGGAGTTTGGAGGGTTCCCCGGGTTCCCCCCAAAATCAGCGGGTTCCTTTTGGTTTCCTAGTTCAACCAACCCCGGACCCCCCTTCGAAGGCCCCTTCAATAGAAAAAATACGACCCTTCCTTCCGCCAAATCTCTCCCGCCTCAAAGCCGCCCGTGAAGCTCTTTGCCAGCTGTGGGCTGCTCCACTGCTGCCCTCGCGGAAAAACGAAAAGCATAAAACCGAAAGGCTGGATCAAAAGGTGTTTATCAAGACCTTTTCTTGGCGTCGCTGAAAAGGGAAAACCCAAGGGATCCGTGAACTCAGTTTGTTTTGGCCAGCTGTCTGAGTGAGACATGCTGGCCACCAAAGCTCGGTAAGACAGGAAATATGAGAGCACGGGAAAGAAAGCAAGAAAAACAGAAAGACAGAACGAAAGAAAAAAGACCCAAAAGAACGTAAATAACGAAAGAAAGAGGGGGAACAAAAAGAGTAGAAGAAAGAAATAACAAAAGAAAGAAAGATGCGAGTAAGCCCTCTTGCAGGAGAGTCGCATGAAACGAAAAGGAGCTCGCCCTTGAGGTGATGGTGGGGTCAAGACCGTGAGGCAAAGTTACAATTACCAAACAATAGTACTTGCTATCCTCATCAACCAGCCAATGCAGAAACTTGACAAAAGATGCCAACAAAGCCCCACGACGCCCCCAAATACCCACAATATCCCCACTGATGCCAGAAGTGTCTTAAAATCGGGGGGCCCAAACAAGTGCAGGCTTCCTCTTGAGGTTTCCCTTGGCAACCCAAACGGACAGGTGAGTCACAATCAAAACCCGGTACTAAAATGGTCTACCCAGAACCATGTGAAGTATTGAGAAGGCGGATATCCGCAACTATTTCTGGCTGGGACTGCCCCTTACTAGTTGCCAGACCACAAAACGCCCACGGAGACTTCACAGCCGAGGCGCGTAGTGCCACGGCCTCCGCCAAAGTGCCGCCGGGGCAAAGTTGGGTCACCAGCCACACCGCCCCACTGTCCCGGAAGAGATCCAGCCTCACGCTCTCAGAGATCGCATTCGGGCTGAATTTCCCATCGACCAGATGGGTGGCTCGTCGTTTTTGAAGGATGGACCCCCGCCCAAAAAAAAAGAGTCTTGTTATTTTGTTTTAACTTCCCTTTAACACCAGGGGAACCCTCAAAAAAGAAAAGAAACATGTTCTCAGTCCAATTCACCATAGACCTGACCTGAGATGGGGGTGGTTTGCTCCCAACCTTGTTTCCAGTCCAATTCCAGTCGCCGCAACCCCCCACCATTTTTTGCGAGTGGGACAAACGAAGCGCCGTTTCGAATGAATGCATCCCAAAAAGGCGGTCCCGAAGGGGTTTCTCATCTTGACACTGATATGGTTAATTGCATTGTGCCTAACAAACTGGAGGCATGCAGCCCCAAAGGAAAACAGTATCAGCAAAAAAAAGAAGAAGAAAAGATCCCGTCAAAGTCGAGATGTCCCATACTGATGCCTCGCCACGAGCCACTGTATGTGAACTCAAAAGGGACTATCTGGGCATACACGCAATATTCTACATAGCAAGGACCAACAAATGCCTAATCTGCAAAGTCACAGTCAGAAACGCAAGGTCTATTTCAGGAATTTAAGCGCCTGATTGACGAACCACGAAGCTAGATTCAGAACCAAACGGTCTCATACAGACATTCAAACGCCTGATGCACTAGTACAAAAGCTCGTGGTTCGAAAACAAACCACTTCTGCCAAAAAGAGCACCGCAATGTCATGATATTACTGCCATCTTCTCGCCTCACCCCGCAGGTACTGCGTTTCTGAATCGTGGCAAAGTAGTGTTTGATGGTTCGTGGATTGTACTGTACGTCTTTTCCTCGTATCCTGCGTGGGATTGTTTCAAAGGGAAAGGGAAACCACAAAGTTTGTGGGTGTCCCGAACTATTTTGAGACACGCCTAATTCCGGTAAGTTCTAAATCGGAAGTCGGGAATTGACTTGTTCACGTCGGATTGACAGGAATTTTTACCGCTGGCCGCTTGGTTGGTTCCGAGTGTGTGAACCTCACGTTCTGGAATTCTGAACATAAACACCTGCAAGCAGACACCCTGCCATCGTCCAAGCTGCACAGCCAGCAGATTTGGGTGCATGCCTATCTCCTGAAGGCTCCGGCATCCACAAAACTATTGCCGCCATGCTTGTCACCGGGAAACTGTAGAAAAGCCAAATATCTTCCTCTCTGTAAGGCCATGTAGCGACCATGTCACGTCCCAATATCTTGCTTCTGCGGTTTTGCGGCATGTGGCCGATGTGGCCCAATGGCTATTGACTGCGAGTGGCCCGGTGTCTGGCGATGACTGTTACTTTTCAGGAACAGTGTTTGTGGGCTGCCTCTACTAGAGGAAGGGTGGCCTTCTGGGATCGTGGAAGGCAATCGCGGGAATGCTTTGGGACCGCTCCACCCCAACAGTTTTGGTTGTCATGCTAGATGGCAATTCTTCGGAATGCAAGTTGATGTGTTGGAGTTGTCTTCTTGCACCGCCGCGCTTGGCTTTTCGGGGTGGCCAAGCAAAGGCCCTCCCTGGCTTGGTCTGGATCTGTGCTTTGCGAACTTGCATTGAGTTCAAGCACGTCCCTGAATTCGGCTCGAGCGAGTTTGCCTTGGAAACTTCCGGCAAATTCCTTTGTTGCCCTCATCTCCTTTTGATCTGGAGCAACTTACGACTTTGTCTCAAACCAGTGGACCCCCCAAACAGAAACGAACCAAATCCCTGCGACCAAACCCCCGCAAGCTCAACCTCCGTGTGCCACACCCAAACCGGGCCCAAAGCAACCCCCGGCGCCCGAAACCCGCCCGCGCATCGCATCGCTTCGCGGTCCTGGAGCCCCCGAAGTACCAAGACATCGATGTCGGGCACTCGAAGCCTCAAGGTCCGGCGAATCTTTACCACGCCAACCCCCTTAGGCTACAAATTGGCGAACTGCATGGATGGATGGCAAGTGATTCGAGCCGCGCGAGCTCTCTCTTTTTCACTGGATCCTTCAAGCCTGGGACACCATCCATCTCAAGAATCAAGGCTGAACCTCCTGGAAGCCAAGTCTTAACCAAGACCTCTTGTAGATGGCTGTCCTTGAACCCAGAGCACGTCGCAAGGCAGGACTCAAATGATATGCACCCCCCTTTTGCTGTTGAGACTCCTGTGGGATGTAAGAGATCCCAACAGCAAACTCCGATGGCTCGGAAGTTTGGGGGATCAAGCAACAGCAATCTACTGGAAACCTTTTCGAAATAGAAATGGAGCAAACTCCCTTCTCGGATCTCACAGAGAAGGTCTCATACCTGGAGTTCTTGCCCGTGGCGGAAGTTTGACATATTGAGCTCCTGTGACGTGGGTGCAAAGTCTAAGAGGAATCAGCCGTGACTATTGTAGCGCAAAGGACGATCACGAAGCTGGGCTGTCCTCAGATCCCCCGCTCAAAGTTGATCTTCTAGCGGGTGAAATGGAAATCCCCAAGAAAACACTGAAAAGCTAGAAAGGTAAGAGGATGACTGGGAACCACCGTGGAAGTTGATCTAGACTTCACATTATCGATCTGATTCCGGGGAGGAAATCTATGTTCACAAAAATGACTGCAGCTTTTGCCCTCGGCTCAGATTGGCGACCTCTGGCACGTCTATCCCCGGCAGCAGCCAGAGATACCCTACCAAGCATAGAAGCTGACAGTTGGAAGACCACTGCTTTCCTTTTGGGGAAATCAAATTTACAATAGGGATTCCAATAGAAACTCGAATCAAAAAAAACATTTGAATCCTGCTCAAAAAGGACATCCTATCTAAACACTAGCTTGAAAGTAGCATTCCAATTAAAATCTAATTTAATTCCTGTCTGAAATCCTACTTGAAAATTGTAAATCAAAGTCAAAACAGAAACGAATTAAACTCCAACTTTCAAGAAGGAATTCCTATTGAGACATTCAATTTGAATTAGTGCTAGTTAAAATCGAATTGACTAAAAAACAAAAAACAAAAAACCTACGTAAACTCTAACTCAAAATATTAATTCCTATTAAAGTCTCATAAACATGCGAACTTCAATATAAGAACTCTACCGAGGAATTCCCTCCCGTCGTTTCTTCAGGAAGCCGCAAAAGGAATCTTCGCCGAGCTGCACCACCTGGTTGGCACCAAAGACGTTGCCATGGCTCCCGGCCTTCCGGGCGTGCCAGCTGTAGCCTGCTACGCGCAGGTCCGGCTCGCGGCACGCGGCTGTTCCGCCGTTCCGTCCGTGGGGCTTCTCCCCGGCTTTTCCGGGGGGGACGAGGGCAAATAGAAGTTGCAAGTGCCTTGTCCTCCCTCCTGAAAGTTTGTTGATTTGTTGGGACGAGAGTTGATTTTTTTCAAAGGGGACAATGTCTGGAACTGTCCGCACCGCCACAAACAGCACACTGTCGCTGATATTGCAAATGATCATCAAGCTCTTGACTGAAATGTCAGGTTGACCAAGCTGGCACCCAAATGGGTCGCTTCAGCAAACATCCCTTCACAAAATGACCTCTGCCCAGGGTTGAACCTGGAATCAAGCAGCACAGACTCGAGTGGCCAACTCGTGCAGGTCGCATCAACTCAAACCTCCCGGTCGCAATGCCGGAGAGGCCCCTCTGTCCGACAGCCATGTCCGACCGCCATGCCAGCCCATGATCTCTTCTCTCCCGAGGCTCAGTGGGCGAACAACTGGAAAGCAGACTTCGCCTTGCTGCCACACCTCTTCGGCATGAGCCGTGAGTTTTTGCAGAAGTAAACCAGCAAAGCATCGCGACGATGGCGACGATGACGAAATGAATAACAAGCTTTCTGGAGGACAAAAACCAAGGAGACAAAGGCGAGGACAACCGGGGCTCCCAAAATGTGCCCCTTTTGAACACCAAAAGCCACAAAGCTCACTTTCAAGTGGCCCGAAAGCTGGATGTTTCAAACCCCCAAGCGAAAAACCTAGGGCCACCCTGGCGCTCCAGTCGGAACCGCCTGGCACCTTGGCGCCGCAGCCCGGCGGAGCCCGGTTCGGAAGCTGGGCCAACTGCGGTGAGCGCGAGCTTTTTCGCTCGCTCGAGCGCGGGGGGCGTGGGGAGCAACGGGAAACCCACCGGTCGCGGCTTCCGAGGTCCCAGGTCTCCGAAAAGTGGTGGTGAGTGTGCCCTTCGCTGGCCCCTTCGCTGGCTCAATCTCGGAAGGATGGGGTGGCCGTTTTGGGAGAAATGAAACAAAGACCAGATGCAACCGCTGAAACGCCCGGCAAGGTTGAAGCTTCTGCCTACTGAGCCAGGTAAGCAAGTCGCTTGCTTGATGGCAGACACAGCATTTATTGCCAAGCTCGGTAGCTCGCAGGGTCTTTTGCACCGCCCGTTTTCTTTCTCTGCCTCAAGCAAGGTCCAAATAGGGAGTCATCATACCCCATCTGGTGCTGAAGCCATTTCGCGCATCTCACCCCAGCGCGATCCAGCAACATTTTGGCATGGGAGTGGTTGCCGCTAGGTACGGAAGCATGGAGACATCTCAAAAGCACGGGGTACAGTCTTCTTTGAAGCTCAGTGCCAAGCAATGAAGGTCATTGGTTAAAACACCGTGAACGACAACAACCCGTTAGTCAACACATGCGACGTGCTGAAAACGCGTTCAGTGCCATGCTCACTGATGTTACAAGAATCGAACCACTCCGGCCAAATGGTACCAGAGGGGTTAGGTGTCCAAGCATTCTGGGGCGGAAACTGCGGAGAACGTTCGACGTCAAACCTGGGCTCCAAATGAAGTTGGATGCTAGTTACGGTCTCTTGGAAAATGACAATCGAAACCAAAAGTTGAAACCACACGGGGTGTCAACATAACCATTGTTTACCGTGCCGGATTGTCATCTAAATTGGGTGCCAAGGCCATTCTTTTAGTCGGGGTTGAACCCTATGAAAAATCATGTCGGGCCTGGGTGTTCCCGTTGTCCCTGTTTCTCTCTAAAACCCACAAAGGGAAACCATGTGCCTTTTAGGTAACCCCCATTTTTTGGAGGGTTTGCCGGTTTTCCCTGCTTCCTCCTCTAAACCCCCCACAAAGGGAATCGTAAATCGTGGCCCACCCCAATGCCCACAGGTGGCGAAAGCTCCCCGCGATGTGCCTCCCCGGGCAGCCGCTGCTCCGGCGGCGCCGGGCGGAAATTCCGCAGCGCCCCGCCCATTCGCCGGGCGCGTGGCGGGAGTTGGTCGACTTGGGGGGTCGAGGGGGGGGGGTTGGAGTTGCTGGAGCCTGATGAGTGTGTCGTATGTTGGAGCGATGGCTGTCAAAAGAAGAAGACGACCCATTTTTTGGGGGGCGCCCCATGGGGCGTCACCCAACAGCAAGGTCTGGTTCGTGTGTTGCTGCGGGGGGTAGTGGCGGTAGTGGGGGTGAAGGGGGCCTGGGGTGGGGAGCGGTGAGGAAAAGAATCATTTCAACCTCGCTCCAAGCCTTGAGGTGTTCAAGCTCTGTCTATGCGGCAGCCTCTCCGTCTTGACATGCAGGGCCTGGGCTGCTGCGCGTGCGCCAGACATCAAGGCAGTTAAGTGGTCGTTCCCACTGGAGCCACAAGCCGCCATGACACGGACAAACGGCCATCCTCCCGCGAAGTCCAATGGAATGGTCGCTGCGGCGAGATCCAAAACGAGGACAAACGCAGCTTACACTTGTGACCCCGTCCGAAGCCAACGGACTGCACCCAGCAAATTTGACAAGCCGGGCTCACCAGAGTCACGATCAAAACCTGGAGTTCAAGCGGTCCATCCAAAACCATGTAAAAAATCGGGGCAGCTACATTTGGTACCCCCATTTTCTCGGGTAGAGGAAACCAAAAGGAAACCGAAGCCCATTTTTTGGGCTCCGATTCCTTCAAAAACGGGGCCAGCCATGTTCTTGGGACTATGATTCGGGGCTCGGGTCTGAAGCTCCGGGGCTGCTGCAAGGCACGACCGGGCTGGAGAGTGACGAAGACCTGACAATGGCAAACCCCCCGCTTCCCCGCAAATGGAAAACAAAAATGTTGATTGCATCTGCTCACCCAAAACAAGCTTGGGAATGAGGACGCGTTCAACTTTGAAACTCGGAATGATGGCGTGTGCGTGTGCGTGTGCGTGTGCGTGTGCGTGTGCGTGGCGCGTGTGCGTGTGCGTGTGCGCGTGCGCGTGTGCGTGCGTGTGCTCGTGCGCGTGCGCGTGCGCGTGCGCGTGCGCGTGCGCGTGCGCGTGCGCGTGCGCGTGCGCGCGTGTGCCGTGCGTGCGTGCGTGCGTGCGTGCGTGCGTGCGTGCGTGCGTGCGTGCGTGCGTGCGTGCGTGCGGGCGGGCGGGCGGGCGGGCGGGCGGGGCGGGCGGGCGGGCGGGCGGGCGGCCGGGCGGGCGTGCGTGCGTGCGTGCGTGCGCGGGTGTGTGTGTGTGGGTGTGAGTGCGTATGGTGTGTGCACGTGCGCCCGGGTGCGTGCATGTGCTCCTGCGCGCGTGTGCGAGTGCGCGCGCTGGTTCGTAGCATGTGCACGTGTGTGCACGTGTGCACGTGTGCACGTGTGCACGTGTGCACGTGTGCACGTGTGCACGTGTGCACGTGTGCACGTGTGCACGTGTGCACGTGTGCACGTGTGCACGTGTGCACGTGTGTGTGTGTGTGTGTGTGTGTGTGCGTGTGTGTGTGTGTGTGTGTGTGTGTGTGTGTGTGTGTGTGTGTGTGTGTGTGTGTGTGTGTGTGTGTGTGTGTGTGTGTGTGTGTGTGTGTGTGTGTGTGTGTGTGTGTGTGTGTGTGTGTGTGTGTGTGTGTGTGTGTGTGTGTGTGTGTGTGTGTGTGTGTGTGTGTGTGTGTGTGTGTGTGTGTGTGTGTGTGTGTGTGTGTGTGTGTGTGTGTGTGTGTGTGTGTGTGTGTGTGTGCGTGTGCGTGTGCGTGTGCGTGTGCAAGTGCGTGTGCGTGTGCGTGTGCGTGTGCAAGTGCGTGTGCGTGTGCGTGTGCGTGTGCGCGTGTGCGTGTGCGTGTGCGTGTGCAAGTGCGTGCGCGCGTGCGCGCGTGTGCGCGTGCGCGCGTGTGCGCGTGTGCGCGTGTGCGCGTGTGCGCGTGTGCGCGTGTGCGCGTGTGCGCGCGCGTGTGCGCGTGTGCGCGTGTGCGCGTGTGCGCGTGTGCGCGTGTGCGCGTGTGCGCGTGTGCGCGTGTGCGCGTGTGGCGCGTGTTGCGCGTGTGCGCGTGTTGCGCGTGTGCGCGTGTGCGCGTGTTGCGCGTGTTGCGCGTGTTGCGCGTGTGCGCGTGTGCGCGTGTGCGCGTGTGCGCGTGTGCGCGTGTGCGCGTGTGCGCGTGTGCGCGCGTGCGCGCGTGCGCGCGTGCGCGTGTGCGCGTGTGCGCGCGTGCGCGCGTGCGCGTGCGCGTGTGCGTGTGCGTGTGCGTGTGCGTGTGCGTGTGCGTGTGCGTGTGGGTGTGTGTGTGTGTGGGTGCGTGGGCGCGTGGGTGCGTAGGTGCGTGGGTGCGTAGGTCCGTGGGTGCGTGGGTGCGTGGGTGCGTGGGTGCTTGGGTGCGTGCGTGCGTGCGTGCGTGCGTGCGTGGGTGCCCATAGGTGTGCGTGGGTGTGTGTGTGTGTGTGGGTGGGTGGGTGCGTGCGTGCGTGCGTGCTTGGGTGGGTGGGTGTGTGTGCGTGTGTGTGCGCGTGCGTGCGTGCGTGCGTGCATGCGTGCGTGCGTGCGTGCGTGCGTGCGTGCGCGCATGCGCGTGTGCGTGTGCGTGTTCGTGCGCGTGTGCGTGGGCGCTCGCGCGTGCGCGCACGAACGCGCGTGCGCGCGTGCGCGCGTGCGTGCCTGCGTGCCTGCGTGCATGCGTGCCTGCGTGCATGCATGCAAGCGTGCGTGCGTGCGTGCAAGCGTGCGCGCAAGCGTGCGTGGAAGCGTGCGTGCGTGCGTGCATGCGTGCGTGCGTGCGTGCGTGCGTGCAAGCGCGCATGCGTGTGTGCGTGGCTGCTTGCGAGCGCGCGAAAGGGCGGGCGGGCGTGCGGGCGGGCGGGCGGGCGCGTGCTGCGAGCGTGAGTGAGCGTGCGTGAGTGCGTGAGCGTGCGTGAGCGTGCGTGAGTGTGCGTGAGCGTGCGTGAGCGTGCGTGAGCGTGCGTGAGCGTGCGTGAGCGTGCGTGAGCGTGCGTGAGCGTGCATGAGCGTGTGTGTGCGTGTGCGTGTGCATGCGTGGGCGTGCGTGCGCTTGCGTGCGCGTGTGCGTGTGCGTGCGCGTGTGCGTGTGCGCGTGTGCGCGTGTGCGCGTGTGCGCGTGCGCGCGTGTGCGCGTGTGCACGTGTGCGCGTGTGCGCGTGGGTATGGGTGTGGGTGTGGGCATGGGTGTGGGTGTGTGTGTGTGGGTGGGTGGACGCGTGCGTACGTGTGTGCGGGCGAGCGGGCGTGTGTCTCCGTCTGTGTCTGTGTCTGTGAGTCTGTGTTTGTGTAGTGTGTGTGTGTGTGTTGTGTGTGTGTCTGTGCCTGTGTGCTGTGTCTGTGCGTCTGTGCGTCCGTGTGTGTGTGTGTCTGTGCGACTGTCTGTGTTTCTGTGTGTCTGTGTGCTTCTGTGTGCTTCTGTGTGCTTCTGTGTGCTTCTGTGTGCTTCTGTGTGCTTCTGTGTGCTTCTGTGCTTCTGTGTGCTTCTGTGTGGGTTTGCGTGCGTCTCTGTGTGTCTCCTCGGCCCCTGTGAGCTATTTGCGGGTTGGAAGTGGGTGGGATAAGCAGGTTGCCTCAGGCTCGTTGCAAAGCGGACTCCGTACTACCTGGTTGCACACACCCTGCCAGCCGACCATGCGTTCATCCAACCATGCTGCTCTCTGGACTGATGAGTAACAATCAGGTAGCATACCCCAATAGGCAAATCATCACACACTTGGCGATACGGGTGGGCCACTAACTGCGGGCTTGCTTTCTTTGCTTCGCATGAGAAGAACCTCCGGTAGTGCCGACGCCTTACAAGGCCCCCTCCCGCCTTTTCGTTGGTCGGGTGCCACTGCACCTCCTCAGGACCCAAATTGGTCCGAAACCATCACTCCGCCTGAAAGAAGCTCCCTGTGTTGAACATAAAAAAGTGATGCCTCAAGTGAGCCACAAAAGGGGAATGACTCTCAGAGGCGAAAGGCCACTCCCGACCATGACTGGTTGCGTATATTGCAAAGTGTTGATTTCGTTGGAGCCTCCTCTGATTTTTGGGGTCCTAATTTGTGGGAAGGAGACAGGGACGAACAAGCTGCGTCACTTGCTTCCACCGAACAGATATTCGCCCTCAAGAGGGTTCAGGTGTGGGATCTCTTTTGCACAAGGCAGCTTGGGACATCAAGGTCCAAGGGTCCTGTTGCCCTGGCTTGTCTCAAAGACGAGTCCAACACTTGCGGCATGGGTAAACGCCCGAAACACCCAGCAAATACCCTTTGAGGCATAGCGACCGTAACGAAGACGAAAAGGAAAAACGGGCTGTGAGGGAACATTCTGCTCTGCTCGGTCCCTTGTCCTCACCTCCCAAGATGAAAACAACCCCCTTTGCAGATGACTGGTGTCCTCCCGTCATCTCCCGGCGCTCGCCCCGTTCGCTTGCGCTGGCGTGAAGCGAAGCGACTTGTTTCCGCGGTCTCCTGCAGATCCCCGAAGTCCAACTGCCACAAATGTGTCGCGGACTGCGACTCCAACCTGCGGAAGCGAGGTGTACACATGTGTGTGTGTGTGCATTATTATATATATACATATATATATACATACATATATACATATATACATACATATATACATACATATATAAATACATATATACATACATATATATATATATACACCATGCATTATATTCATATGTATATATCAGAGGCCATTGAACTACACAGGCAAATGCCTATGCATGCTGAGTTACCCAAGTGATGCGAGTGGTCTCTCTGGCTCGCTGCTAGAATTACTAGAAGCAAGCCACTCTGATTGGAGAAGCAAGGCCAAGGTCCATTGCTTCATCATAGATCCCAGGGCCTTACTCAGTTATGGAATATTTTTAGAGTCCTCTTTGAGCCCATCCCTACCATCCCAGAACAAGACCTCCGCCTGCACGGAAGAAAAGGGAGTGCTGGAGGCTTGCCTTTTTGCAACCTCTGAGAAACCGCTCCCTTTGCACCTTGAGCCAACAAGTTTGTGGAGCCGACAAGCAGGTCAAACTGGGGGCATCTCCGCCCACGTTGTGCTTCCAGAGCCACCTTCAACCAATTCCGCTCTATCAGAAGCAGGCAAGCAGTCAACCAGCCATCAAACGACAATCCAGTGACAAGCATAGGCGCGCTAACAGGGTACAGTCACCATGATTGCCAGCACTGAGAAATCTGAAGGGCATTCCCGATCTATCGTTGCTTTTCACAAGCGCAAGCTGGACTCTCTGGATGTGACGCGCTCATGACTAAACATGGACCACAATTGGAAAACCAAAAAAAGCAGGTCGGCTTCAGTTCTTCTAAACCCCCCCCCCCCCGCGCCCCTGCCTGTACATGGACAGCGCTCCATTCTCCAAGGCCTCGAAGGCTCGAAGAGGCCGATGCTGGCATCGGTTTCTTTGAAGTCAGCTGAAGGGATACGAATGTCTTTTAAGCTTGACGTTGGAAGGGGGGCAAAAAAGCAAAACGGCAATCTTAGCAGCTAAGTCAGGATTTCCGGACTTCCCACTCAACCACAATAAGCAAAAATGCCAATTGTTTCCCAACAGCAACCATGTAAGGGTGGTTCTGCCAACGAGTCTGGAGATTTCCATGCGTCGGAGACTTGTCTCCGAGATGTGCTACGGAACAAACAAAGCGTGTCGTTTTCTTCCTCCGGACGGTTGCTGAGCATGTGGCCTCGAGTTTGCCAAGGTTTGACCGCCAAAGCCCGCAGTGACAGGCTCTCGCTCAGGTTGCGATGACATGGCCATGGGTCAAAAGCACGGTTGCCCCACCGTGAACATCCCAATCCCCACTAAAAAATCCCGACTAAAATGGGTGGCGAATGCACCTACCCCAAATTGGTACCAAAACGGTTTTGACACCCACAGCCACATGCTGATAGGAAGGAGTCCTGGGCGCACGATTTTCAAACGGACCCACCGTTTTATGCTACTTCCCCCCGCACTGCGCGGAGACCTTTAAGCCAAAAAAATGGGTATGGTGTCAAAGGGGTGCCCGATGTTGGTGACTCTCAGGTTTGTTTCACGCAGAAGTAAAAAGTGTTACCACCCCACCCCCCACCAAATATGGGGCATAAGACCGATCTAAACTTCGGCGCCATCTATTTCTCGCCGAACTCACCAACAAAAACCACCTATGGCGGTGAATGGCACCCTTCAGCTGACCCTCCCTTCAGTCACTTGACCCCCACCAAGCCACCCCCCCCCGCCGAAGCCACCCGGCCACCAGCAGGTGCCGATCGTTTGGCTTCATGGCACAGCTCCGGGCGTTCTCCACCCGCAGGACCTCCGGCGCATGGGGGGGGGGGGGGGCTCCACGAATCCCCGCGCCGTCCGACGGTGCGACGCGCAGAAGGAAAAACAAAAACAAAGGGCGGAAGCCGGCACCCGACGACGTGGTTTTGGGTTGATTTTGTTACACGTGAGGTTGGAACACTGCGGGCGCAGTTTCAGGGGTCATTTGCTTTGGCACTTGAGGTTGGGACGCTGCGTGCGCAGTTTCAGGGAACTCAGGGAACACACGACTTCTTGTGCCTGCACGGCTGATCTTCCAAGATCTGTGGTTGGTGGTGACGAACACTTGCGAGTTTACAATCTGGCTATGCTGCTGACCCATGTAGGCAAGTTCTGCTGGCCCAGCAATTGAAACGTCCATGTCCTGCCCTTTGGAGCACCTGAGTGCTTGCTTGCGACATGTGCCCCCTCACTCCTGGAGCGCCGCGCCCGTGTCTTGGTTCCCAAGGCCACAAAGTCCAAAGCTCCTGGCGTTGCCGACGCGAGCCACGAGCCGCGCCTCATGGCACCCAAAACCTCGTGGGCACCGGGCGAAACGAGGACAAGGAATCGAAGGCTCGGAATCTTCACATCAAATCCCCAGACTCAGCTGCAAGCGCGCTTGCTCTTGACCCGTCCAGGCCCCAACCCCAAATTTTTCGCGCCAAAAATCAACCACTGAGGGACGCAAAAGGAAAAATGGACCGTTTTGAGGCGGAAACCCCCCTCGCCTGCATCCCGGAAGCACCCGAACTGGCTGGAGACCAAGGCGCTCGCCTGGGTTTCTCCGATGCGAAATGGCGCCGTGGCCAGGGGAAGAAGCTAAGGCAGAACCAGCTGGTTTCAATGGACTAACTGGATTTACTGCTCCCAGCGCCCAAAAGGAGAACAAGGAAAAATGAGCTGTGTCCATTTGGCTGTGGCTCAAAAAACCGGTACCAAAATGGAACCCTGGTAAGTGGAAAAATGGACCAAAACCTGCGTAACCATTTGAGCCACACCCATTTGAAGAAAACGGAAGAAGAGCCATACGCAGCCTACAAGGAACCCACGCGAATATCCCGGCTGGATGGCTCACTGACACTTTCGGCTCTCACTATAGGCAAGGTAGCCAGCTTCATGCACACGTCCAAAATTCCCCTGGCGACTGAACCTGCTTCCCATCTGCATGGTCCATTTGGGCAGGGCCAGGGGAACTGAACTCTTCACAAACACTTTGCCAGACCTGCTCTTTGTTAGGCCCGTTTTGGGGAAGAGTTGAAACACCAAAGGAGGCATCCTTGGATCCATTGGCAGGTTCAAGCCACCAAAAGCAAAAGGGGCACCAGCATCTTGCACTCTCTGATTTGGTGCGGTTCAGCCCTATCAAGGCCAGGAAGAATTCCGCTGAGGCGAGTCAGAACAATCAGTCGGCTGAGCGTCTTCGAATATGTCAGCTCCTTCGGCATGTGTCCACAAAACAGTTTCACCATTCCTCCCGCGCGCCAGCTCCATCCCCTCCAAAACCAGAAGAAAAACCATGCCAGCTCAGAAATGCCCACCACGGCAACCCACCGTCCCAGATCCAGCGCCCTGGCCTGTGCCGCCATGGGCGCGCCGCCTGGGTGAAGCACTTCGGCCTTTTGCCCCTCCCACGCCCGGGGGCCTTGGCCTCCTGGCCCTTTGAAGGCGTTGCTTTACGTGCATTTGCTTAAGTCCCCTAGAAAAATGAAAATATGTCCAGTAGCGATAGATTCCCTTAAAAGCCAACGGGGGACAGCAAAACATACTCTTCAGCAAATGGAAGTTTAGCATCAAGTGTTCCTGCCGTTGTGTTGTCATAGCGGAGGCCTTCTTGCCCCTAGCTTCTCGTGTGTTTCCGTTTGGTCAGCTCTCTGTTTGTGGCTGAATCCATCAATCACAAGGGACCCACGTTGCAGAAGGGCCACTGAACAAGGCGCCCGCAGGCCGCATGGCGAGCTGCTCAACGCTGACGCGCGGCAATTTTGGTCCGCGGGATGCCTTGTGGATTCCATGCGGACCTGGCTCAAAGCCCTTCACAAGTATATATATATATATATATAGCAACCCCCCCCTCCAAAACCCAGGTTTTGAACCTGGACAATTGCCAAAATCACTAGGAAAAATGATACTTTTGAGAAACATGTGTATTTTCGCCTCTGTGAAACGCATATTTTCAAGTTCAAGGCAAGTTCAATTAGTTAGTCAAACAACCAGTCAGCAAGTCAGCTAATTAGTCAGTTAAATAGTTGTAATGAATGAGCTCTGAAGCCAGTTAGCTAGTTAATTGGCTAATCAGTTAGTTATCTATTTAGCTGCCTAATTAGTTAGATAGTACTGAAGGTATTCCCCTAATATTCCCCTTCCCTGACTAGTGAAATATTTAAGGAACACTAGCTAGGGGTATACCAAGAGATACTACAGGAACACTAGCGCAATACTAGGGGAATACTAGGGCAATACTAGGTTTATACTCAGGGAATACGAGGGCAATATTAAAGGTGAATACTGGGATAATACGCCGGAGTACTGAGGGAATACTAGGGGTATACTCTCAAGCTCAATCTGTCTGACTTCTCTCAGGCTTCCTGACTAGGGCAATACTAGGGCACTACTAGGGAAGTACTAGGAAAATATTTATAGGTGAATACCGGAAGAATTCTAGGAGAATACTGAGAGAAAACTAGGGGTATACCAACAGAATACTTAAGGAATACCAGGGCAATACTCAAGGTATTCCCCTAGTAATTCCATCCCTTTACTAGGGGAAATAGCAAGGGAATACTATGGGGTAGTGAGGAATTACTAGGGGTATACCAAGAGACTACTAAATTAACTGAATACTAGTGCAATAATATGGGAATACTAGGGCAATCATAGGGCAGTACTAAGGAAATACTCAGGGAATACTAGGGCAATATTAAAGGTGAACACTAGGAGAATACTATGAAAATGCTGAGAGACTACTAGGGGTATACCAAGAGAATATTTAAGGAATACTAGGGCAATACTGAAGGCATTCCCCTAGTATTACCCTTGCCTTACTAGGAAATACTTGGGGGCACACCAAGAGAATACTAAAGGAATACCAGGGCAATACTAGGGAAATACTCAAGAAAGACTAGGGCAATATTAAAGGTGAACACAGGGAGAATACTAGGGGAATTCTGAGAGAATATTAGGGGTATACCAAGAGAATATTTAAAGAAGACTAGGGCAATACTGAAGGTATTCCCCTAGTATTTCCCTTCCCTTACTAGGAAATACTTGGGGCATACCAAGAGAATACTAAAGGAATACCAGGGCAATACTAGGGAAATACTCAAGAAAGACTAGGGCAATATTAAAGGTGAACACAGGGAGAATACTAGGGGAATTCTGAGAGAATATTAGGGGTATACCAAGAGAATATTTAAAGAAGACTAGGGCAATACTGAAGGTATTCCCCTAGTATTTCGCTTCCCTTACTAGGAAATACTCGGGGCATACCAAGAGAATACTAAAGGAAGACTAGGGCAATACTAGGGAAATACTCAAGGAAGACTGGGGGAATACTAAAGGAGCATACTAGGAGAATGCTGACAAAATACGAGGCTCAATTTGTCTGGACAAGTCACCAGGGCAATACAAGAAAACTACTCAGAAAAAATGAAAGCGTCGCATGCGTTCTTGAGGTCATCAAAGGTCATATCCTCAGGCTCCTTGGCCATGCTAGGACAGGGTCAGAACAAAGGGCAGAAGAGGAGTAAGGAAGCGCTAGAGCCAGACAGCTTCAAATATGGTCAGTTTTTTTCAGGTTGTTTCAGTGTTTTCATTTTTTTCCTGTTTTTTTTCAGTTTTTTTCAGTGTTTTTCCGTATGTTCAGTCTTTTTCTAGTTTTTTCAGTTGTTTTTTTCAGTTGTTTGCAGTTTGTTCAGTTTTGCAGAGAGTTTCTTGGCCAGAAAGCTTCCTTGAAAACTGAAAAAAAAACCGCCTGACAACTGAGGGTTCTGGCAGATTCAGGTTTTTTGTCAGAAAACACAGTAAATACCAGTGTTTTCAGACCAAACCTGGTTTTTTTTTTTGGGGGGGGGGGGTACCATATTACCATATATATATATATAGCACATGGCGGCTGTCTGAAATTCCTGGTCCCAAGAACGCCATCTTCGCGGAAAAGGCCTCTCTCTCGCTCTCTCTCTCTCTCTCTCTCTTTCTCTCCCTCTATGTCTCTCTCCCTCTCTCTATCTCTCTCTCTCCTCTCTCTTCTCTCTTCTCTCTTCCTCTACCCCTCCACCCTTTCTCTCGGCAATGGACATGCTCTCCATCCCGAACAGAAAGATGTCAACAGCCTCAAACACTCCACACATGCGTGCGCCCTTTTTTGAAAGACCCCCTTCCAAACCGGGAAAAGAAAGAAAAGAATATATTTTTTCTTCTCGGGCCGTCCGCCAAAAAAAAAACGGTTTCCGACCCCCCCCCCCCCCCGCCTCTGGCACGCTGCAAGTCCTCAAGCCTGACCCGCGCCAAAGGGCCGGGAGGCAGCAGCAGAGTGCTGCCCTGGACCTGGAAAAGCGTGGCCAGAGGTCAATTTCCTATGCCTCCAAATTTTGGGGCGGATGACACCCATGTACCACCTATTTTGATGTTCACCAAAAATGTCCAGGGTGTTGCCCCACTACGTCACCGGACCAAAGACGGGTGTTTCGTCTTTGCGCTGCTTGCCAAGTGCACTGAGGGCCGCGGCGCTTTGGGGTGGCCTTTTGAAAGAAAAGGCCTTGTAATGGGAGCCTTAGAGTCATAAACGGGGGAGTCCCTTTGGTTCATCGCTCACGAACGCTCCCAATTGGCTTTTAGCCAGTTGCCTTAAGCTGGGGGGTGGCGCAAACAGCATCCATGTTCAACGAGGATCAATACGCTGCAATTCCCAGAGTGCTACTTGATTCCCTCTTTTAAATTCAGCATCCCTCCAATTGGTTTGGTGGTTCGCCGCCAATCAAAACCACGAAAATTGAGGACCTCTTAAAGCACAGCACGCTCTCAATCCACAGATTCAGGGGAGCTCTTACACCACAGCACCCTCTCAAAAACCATTTGAGGGACCCTCCTAAATCGGTTTAAGCGGTTTTTGTCTCACCAAAGAACCCGCATTTGATGAGCTCTTAAACCACAGACCCTCTCAAAGCATTTGATGAGCCTCTGAAAAATCAACCCAGAAAGCTCCTCAAACGCTCGGCTCGGCTTGTCTGCGCCTCCGCCACTGCGGGCACCTGGAAACCGACCGTTTCGGCCCCAAAGGGAGTGTCCGGGGGTGTTCCAAAGGTCCCGAAAACCCGGGGAGAGAGCCAAAGCAAAAAGAATACCCCAAAAAAACGAAGAAGAAAAAAAACGGTGAAAGAAGGCAAACAAGAGCCAGAACCACAAGCACCACCACCATCACCAATACGACATGAAACCAGGAACCGCAGAAGCAACGCGGCGGCAGCGGCAGAATCAGAAGCCTGGCCGCACTACCTCGGGTATCTCCTGCATGGCCGAACTCTTCACCTGCGCCTTTCCCATCTCCCCCGAACATTGGCATGCGCCGTTCCACCGCACCTCTGGCCCGCGCTGCGGCGATGGGAGGCCAGGAGGACTCACTACCGCCTCGCGGGCGGGGGGGCAGGGGGTCCCCCCCGTCATATTTCATTTTTTGACCCCCCCCCCCCCACTTCCATTTTGTCCCTGGCTGGGGGGGGGGGCTCAATGGGAATCCGCTGAGAAGGGAGGTTCTGACGGTTTCTCTCCCCCCCCCCCAAATTCAATTTTCACGAAAAATGGAATCTCGGAAAACCATGAGAATTACCAGGGAATTGAAAATAGAACATGGCCGGGCCGGGGAGGTCCGCAGAGCTCGCGCCAGCTAACCCCCCTCCTGACAGGGTGCAGGCAATGCACCTACCCCCCTCAGATGTCCTATTTCAATGCATCCCTCCACGCTTTTAAAATGGAAACAAGGGGGGCGGAGGTGTTTCTATCTGTGGAAAATGCAACAATCGGCATCTCCCCCCGTTGATGGAACCAGCGAAGGAAAAGCCCAAAAGGCCTAGAATGAGCAAACCCTCACCCCCCCCCCCAATATGCCGGGGTGGGGATACCTCGAGTATCACCTGCATGGCCGAACTCTTCACCTGCGCCTTTCCACCGAACACTGGCATGCGCCGTGCCGCACCTCTGGCCCGCGCTGCGGCGACGGGAGGCCAGGAGGACGGCCGAAGTCTCCTGACCAGGCTCCCCAGCTTGGGCGCCCATGGGGCCAAGTAACAGGAGGATGAAGAAAACATATGGCCGTGGGTCAAAAATCGGGTAACCCCAGAATGGCGTGCCCTGGTAAATGGAAACATGAACTAAAACCTGCGCTGCCCTGGGGATTTCATTTTGACCCATACCCATATTGAGCACAACGCAATTGCGAGAAATAGCCACTTGGCCACTTGGCCACTCATGTAGATCAGATGTCGGGCCCTAATCAACCAAACGTTGGAGGAAAAACAACATGCCCAGTGAAATCAAGCGACCTGCGCCCATGTCTCGAACATTACTGGCAGGGCTCAAGATCTCGTGCTCCCCATCCGCACATGTGAAAGGACCGCTAGATCGCCCCAATGCAACAGCGATTGCGTTTCTCTATGTTTTCAGTTTTCGATTTCTGCCTGTCCGTCTGTCCGGAATGTTCGGGACATGGTCTGTCAACCTTTCCTCCTGCTGCTGCTGGTGGTGATCACATATTCCCTACCTCAGAAATCATCAGAGCCAACCTTACAGGTAAAGCAGCCCTCGCTTCTCCCAGAGCATTCGCCTGAGCTTTGCTCCCGCCCGACTGCCCTCTCCTTCCAGGCTGCCCGGGTCCGCAGGCGGGCTCGCAAGGGCCTGGCCGAACCAGTTGCCTGCCGACTGGCCAAAAGCAGCCTCTGACTCTTCTAAAAATCAAACAAGCCCCACCAGACTGCAGAGAGGCTCTAAAGGAGGGCCTGAGAAAAATGAAGAAAGACCCGGAAATGAAGAGTCGGCCGACAAGGGTTGTGGCTAACCAAACCAAATCAGCCAACTTTGGAACCACGCTTCCCGTGCGGTGTGTACATCGCATTTCTATCTGATAGATGTTCATGTTCTCCAGTGAAAGGGCGGCCAACAGGTTCGTTGCTGGAATAACTGGGACGATTTGAAATCCGACATGGCCGGGTGAGTTGGGAACTCGAAATCCTTCGTCACGCCAATCTCGCAACCAGTGTGCAATCTCCCTTCCGCTCAAAGTTCTCTCCAAGCCATCACGTCAACCACAGCAAGCGCTGCAATCCTGAAAATTCTGCACCAAATCGTCCGTCGCTCCCGCACACCTGCTGTGGGGACGCCAGACCAGGAGGACGGCCGATGTCCCCTTGGCAACGAGTGGCGACAATGCCAGCAAAGTGAGCTAACAAATGCAAATCATGTGTATGTGTGTCTGTTTGTGTTTGTGTTTGTGTTTGTGTTTGTGTTTGTGCGTTTTCTTTTTTTCTGTGCAACTGAATCGCCGCATTTAGAGTTGTCGAGCTGGCCATACTTGATTTGGTGTTATCTGGTTTGATCTGGTTGGTGTGCCCCCTAACTCCTGACCAAGAATCAGGAAGTGTCACAACTCCTTGCCATTCCAGGCCGCCTTTAGCAATGCCTGCTTGGAAGCAGCGATCATATTGCAGCCCACGCTCAAAAATGTCTTTGCGCGACACGTCATGGTCCTTGTGTTTCTTGTTTTGAAAAAAGTGTTTGAAGAGGAAGCTGGTTGATGACCCTTCCAGCCCCAGAAATCAAGCGTCTGGATCCCTCAAATTAGATCAGCCTCTGAGGCTCCAACTAGGCGAAGGGTCTCCCACCCGGAAAGTCCAAGAGACGTGAAATGATAGGGTGCTAAGGGCGGGGTCAGGGGGGGAGGGGTCAAATCAAGGAAGAAAGCATCAACCAACCACACCCTCTCATGAAAGTGGGTCATGCGGCTGGAGACATGAACTATGCGTCGAGCTGTGACGATGGATTCCGCTTCACTCGAGAATTTTCGGGCAGCACCTCAATTCTCAGAGCGTCCAAACATGTCAACGCATAACCAACCTATACAAACCTAGATTGGTGCGTAAATCTCTAAATTGGTAGTCGTTTTGCTGTCCCCCTTTAAACTGCTTCTCGAAATCCTCTTTAGCATACCCCACAGCCAAACTCTCATAGTCAGAGGCTGCCTTTGTGGCAGCACCCCACCTGTCGCGGCAGTGGTGCCAAAAGCGCTCCCGCAATGGCACGCCACATGACTGGCGACAATGAACCATGTATTCATCACAGGTGGTCCTCATGCTCACTCCAAGAAGGGAAAGTCCCCGAATTTTGAGACCACCCCAGGTCTCAGGCAACGCCAGGTCTCAAGCGGCCTCTCCCGGCCGAGCTGCGCAGGGTGGGCTCCGGTGGCAGCTCTGGCGCCGGCGGCAGCGAGGGCGGCGGAGCAAAGGCCGGCGGAGCAAAGACAGGTGGGGGGAGGTGGTCCGGCGCAGCACCCAAAGCCTGCGTCGAATGGCCGGGAGGGTCTGAGCTCCAGGTAAAACAAATCATGCCCCTGCCCAAAGATGTGCGTGTGCCACAGACCAATGGTGCTCGTGCGTGTGTCCTTCACTGCTTTTGCCACCAGCACGAACTCAGAATGTACGCACATGTTGGGGTCACTGCATGAGTCCCTGATTGAGCAAAGTGCTTGTGAGCACTTCTCACGCATGTTGCCACGTACTCCCTATCCCCAGGATGGCCCTCGTTGCCTCGACACCTTGAAAACAACTTGAAAAGTCTCTACCGCACTCATTGGCGGCATCCCAACTAATCCACATTGAATGGCGGATGGGCATCCTCATGATCCTCATGAGCCTCAGGCAGTGTCTCGCTCCCGACAACCAAAAAACCAACAAAACAAGCACTGGACAAACCCGATGAACCCGCAGAACTATGTACAGGTGCTGCTGCACGCTTGCATCCCGTTGATGGTTGGCGTGAAGGCAAGAATTTGCCAGATGTGTGTTGACTCCAAATGAGATTCGGAGATCTACTGATGCTCCAACACAAGAATTGAGGTGTCTTGTTTGGGGCAACCATCTTTGAGCTGCCAACCATTCCAGCGCTCAGATCGAGTACTGGCATGGTAGACGACCCTCTTTGTTTTTACACGCCGTGCCGGAAGTTGTGGCACGCAGCGTGCCAGGAACGGCCAGGGCTTGGGGAGGAACAGGGGGATGTGGTGGCATTCACCTCGACGCGCTCAAGCCCAAGCCCTCTACTGACTGCACCTGGGAATTCAGCTGTGGACTTCGTTCTGGCACCTTGCGCCTAGCCATGAAAATACGATGCCTCGCTCGGGTGAGAGAGCATGCAGGCCTTGCGGCCTTGCGGTTTGTACTCAGATTCCTCGCATGTTGCAATGTTGCAACGATATCTTGCCTGTTTTGGCCGTCCAACGTGTAGCTCCAACATCCTTACAAGGGCATATTGATCAGCCAAATAGTTATAACGACCTCGTTGATTGCAGAAAAATCCGGCGATCTTAACCTACAGTGTGTCCGCTTCCTTTCTCAGCTCAATGGCCCTGTCTAACGTCCAAGCGAGGAGTCTGGCCTCTTGAGGCTGCTCCTTCGGCTGATTGGTTTCCTCTTTCTCCTCCTCCTTCTCCTCCAGGTCGTCAAAGTCGAACATAACCTGAGAAGGCAGTTCCCAAGCTTAAGTGCTGAGACAGGCGTCCCTCCTGAAACGGCCATTCCAAAGCACAAAAAGGACAGTGGCAATCTGCCTATGTGTGGGCCGCAAAGAGACACACAACTGTCACTCGCCGCATGACTAAGAACCTCCCAACGTGACCTATGGCTGCCATCTCAACACCACTCGACTTGAGCCACTAAGAGCTCTCACCCACAAGTAAGAACTAATGATCTGCCACCTGCCGGCGCCCGCATGCCGTATTTGGGTGTCTGCCAAAAAATAAATCCTCCCATGAAACTTGGAGTCAATGGAGGATGCTGCCTACACGCAGCCCTCACTTGCCAAGGACTGCGTTGTTCCCAGTTTCTCGCCCAAGCCCATCGAGCTCCACACCGAACGTCAGCTCCGATTGGGTGCCATGGGGCCGAGGTCTTTGGTGAGCTAGCGTCTTGAGGCGCGGCTTTGACGCTCGGACATGTCCCTGCTTCATAGGCCATGCCTGTCCGCATCTGGGTTTGTTGCTCCGCATGAAGCGTCCGGTCGAATCGAGCCCTTGTGGATCTGGAGCCGCCTCAGGCTTCGGCTCAAGGCCGGTCGAGAAGACCCGCCGATCCCAAACGGCTGCGTGCTTCGACTCTGCTCCATACCCATGCCCATACCCATACACATACACACATACACACATACACACATACACACATGCACATGCAACCAGCATGCACATACATAAAGAAACATATTCCCATCGGACGCCTCTTAAACAGGCTTGTGTCCCCTAGTCCACTCTAATCTAAGCCTCGTTGTTTTTTGAGGGCCAAGGTGACAAGCCAACGAGGCCACACGACTTTCGCTACCGCGGATCGCTCAGCCCCCTAAGGAACATTATCCACAAAGCCTTCACAAGCATTCAGCTCTCTGAAAGCGCTGAGGTCGCACTAACTGATGTCTGACTTGGCAAATTGAGTCCGTGGCCCCGCATTTTCTGAATGAACTTCAGGGCGGGTCCCAGCAAATGGGCAAGAAGCGCAATGACTAAATGGGCGCGTCTTACAAAACCCCCTGAAATGGGTGCCCCTTTGCCCCGCTCTGAAGCAACCCCGAACAGGGTATCAACCAAAAAAGAGCCTTTGGGTGTGTGGGGTGTCTTTTTTGAGGGAATCCCTTCTTGGATTGATATCAAGCGAAAACAAAGCAATTGTTTTAGGGGACTCTAAAATGGAGACAAACCCACCTCGCATCTGGGATCTTTGTTCGACCACGGCGCTTGCCGCTTGCCCATCTGATAGGCAACGAGGCACATCCGCAAAAAAACGGGGCAGAGAAATGCAGGCAGGTACGCCTTCTGCCGCAGGTTTGTGTGTCTTTTGAAATTACCCTTTTGCGGATTGAAAAGGGGGAAGCCAGGGGAAATATCACTCCGGAGACAAACCCGAATTGCCTTCGAGCTCGCTAGCATGGCCATGGAACATGGTTGCCAGTGGAGATCTGACGCATCAGCTTGGGGGCAAAGAACGCACCCATCAGCACTCCCCGCAGGCGAATCATTGGCCCGCGACCAGCTCCATGGATGACCCGTTGACACCAACAAGTCAGTGAGTCAAAAAAGCAAAGCCTTGCGATGATCTGAGAGCCTCCATGCGAGCACCTAGCTTCAAATCTAGTCTCGAGCTTCTTGGAAGCCCCTCGCAAGGGCGGGCGGCCAGGCGCCATCTTTAAAACGATCCCGGCGCCACAGGCTGTGTGTCGAAATTGCTCAAGTGACACCTTCAAATGGCCCGCTTTGCTAATGTGCGAATCCATAATTCCTCCGAAAGTGGGGCCCTCGCATTTGCGACGCGCACAGCCTCGTGCCAAATCACCGGCTAAGAGCGCAGTCAGGCGCTGCGCGAAGCGCTCGACGTGCAACTTTTATGCCTGGGAACCACAAAGGTGTTTTTGTTTCTGCGCAACCCCCCCCCCAAAACAATTTAAAAAAAAAAAAAAAAAAAAAGTGGTGTGCTCCGTTTCCCTTTCAAACCACCCCGAAAAAACCCTAAACGATCCAGGATTACCTTCTGCCCTGTTTGTTCAGTTCCAAAGAAAGTGACCCGAAAACCTCTTTGAGGGAAGTAACCTATGTTGGCCCGACGTGTTCAGGCTACACGGAGGGTTCGAGGCTTGAGCAAGTTTGAGATACCCTGGTGGCAAGAAAACAAAAAAAAATGTCCCTGACTTTGACACACTGCGAAACCACTGTTGCAGGCAGCATATCAGCCCGAAACTGTGATAGGATCATAATTGGAGAAACCCTTCTTATCGACGGACGACAATTACCAACTACAGAGCGTCGTGGTATCATCAAACTGTTGTTTCCCGAATTTATGCCCATTGCGGACGGGGGGAAAGCAGATTCAGGCAAGAGTTGTTTTATTGGAATGGTAAAAAGTATTTTGGTGGAGAACAAGTGTCCTACAATCGCCTCATGGCCGTTCGCTTTGCTTCGGCCCGCCAAGCATGTCAGTGTCGCAAAGACGTCGTCCCACTTGCCAGCATCTTCATCATCTGGAACCTGTGGCCAGGTCCGGTTGCAAGCAGCGGCGCAGCGTGGATGGGAAAACGACCATGAGTTCCTGTCGTGCATGCAGTTGGTCGTGGTGTTCCAATATGAGACAGGTCCATGCTGGTGTTCGTCCACTGTGCCGGGATGGTGCACATGATGTGCCAAATCACAGCTGGGCCACAGAAAATCACGAGCAAAGAACAGTCAAGGCATTGTGTGGGATGTGTGGGATCCACTGCGGCGGCTGCTGAAACAGACGCCAGGAGTTTGGAGCATATATGACAGCTGCTATACACGGCGCGCTGCGCCTCACGAATGGTCACTCCAACATTCGGCCCGAAAGCGCGCGAGCAAGCCCGGCCCCTCCTCGGCATAGCAGGTCATCATCGCCGAGCTATCGGGCTTCGACATGAAGACCTGCCAAGTGCAGTCACCAAGGCCAGTTGGGGGCGTCCGATTTTGAGGGCCTTTTGGGGTCCACCATTTACTAGGTCCAGAAGAGAGGTTAGAATAAGGGTACCGTTTCTTTTTTCTGTAGTCTATTTTAGTAGGGGAACCCTCCCAACCAAAAACGGGGTTAAGAACGGCACTACTGGAGCTGCACGCCATCTCACAGCCGTCCGAGCCACCAGCAAAGCACTAGGGAGGCTGGGGCAATGGCGCCGACCCATGAAGGAAAGAGCCGCTCGGAGGGGCTTCAAGCAGTCAGGCTTGCCCTGATCGATTTTCCGGCGGGCTCGCCGCCGGCCATGTTGTAACAGAGCTCTAGGAGCCAACGATCAATGCACGGACGCCAGTGACACAAAGCCATGGTTTATTGGAGTGGGCGCTTCTCGCTGCGATGCCGTCAGTATGCTAAGAAACTTTGGGACAGCCACTGTCGCCTCCCTTTCCCGTTGGAAAGAAGATTGCCTGGACATGTCTGTTGAAGGGCACTTTTTTTTGGTGGCGTTAAAGGACACCAAAAGGAAAACCACCATTTGTGGGGGTCCCCTCAAGACACCCAATTATCGCCTGGTTGTCGCGTCGTCAGCAACGGTCTTTGCTCCCTTGAAAACAAATCCTGTTTTTTGTGCCACCAAAAAGGACGCATCCATGCGGGAGTCAACTGAATCTAAAACCTCAAGCCGCTCCTTTCCCCACGCCCTGCCCACGCCTTGCCGAACATGTGCCTCACCCCCACCTTGCCAAAGCTGTGGACCACCTGACAAGCAACATGCCACACCCGAAAAGGCAAACATCAGAGACAAGGCCAACCCATCTGTGCTTCGCCCCAAGGAAAGCTCGAAATCTTCAGTCAGGATGCCTACCCCCACTGGCACAGGTGCACCTTTGCTTGGAACCGAGGGCAACCCCACTTAACACGAAGGCCAAGTGACACTAAGAGCCTCTGTCCGAAGCTTTATGCCAACGAAGCGTCCAAGCCAAGGCCACATGCCACAGCCACCCCCAGCAATCGACGAAAGCGACGCCTTCCTTTCCAGGGGGGTACGGACCTGGCGCGGACACCGCGCGCCTTGTCCTCCTGAAAGACCAAGGCCTCGCCCTCCTGGCGCAAAACGCAGTGCCCACTGGGTTTCGTTGGAATACCCCCCCAAACATCCCAAACAGAAACTCAGTTCAAATGGGACAAAAGGGTGATGGTCTTCTCTGAGCACTGCAGGCCGAACTCCGCAGCAAATGGACTTCAGACGAAGTGTCCTCTAGAGTTGGGGTTCCAACTGGATATGTGTCAAAATAGGGGGACCCCAGAAATTGTGCTCCTTTTGGTCTCCCTTCAAACCAAGGTGCAAAGGCTAGCCAAAAAACAAGAAAAATGCCTGATCTCCTGTTGGGGTCTTTGCCATGGCAGGATCAGAAGTGATTCCCATCGCGGGCTCATAGGGTCAAAGTTGCAAATGGTGGGCTCAGGGGGTGCATTGCTGGCCCGAGATTTTGAGGGACCCGCCTCCAAGCCTTCATTCCAAGAAGATTCAACCGGACACCTGCTACATGTAGACATCTGATCATCTAATTCCATCCCGCACCATTGCCTGAAAAAGCTCAGAAAGCCACAGGCTCAAGGAAGTGAAGAAAGGCACATGGGAACCCGCACTGCTAGTTGCTTTTGTCTTACAAGGTATGCTTGACGGTCTGTGAACCCATACCCCAAAAACTGAAGACACCAGCTAGACTTACCCGTGCCGAAGTCGACACTGGAATTGACTTGTGTGTTTGCCTCACGGGGCGCATCTGCTTAGGTGAGCGGCATTGCCCGTTTGAGGCCTTTTTGGGGAACAAAATCCCTAAGGGTCCATGACTGCCCCAGCGTATCAGCTGGCTTTGACCACGTCGGCCGGGCGGCGTCTATGGCCAGCGTGGCGCCCCCGGTGGTCAGGAAGCCGTTGCCGCCTTGTGGCCGCCCGCCTGGCCGAACAGCACTACGCCATCCCTAAGATGACAGTAGGCTGGACATTCACCCAGGCAAAAACCACACCCTCTGATCATCTTGGTAGGTGTCAACATGGGACCCAAAGATGAAGGCGTTCCAGTGGTTTCCCTTTAAGTCCACCACAAACAGAGGTCGAGGGAAAACCACTTGCAGCCCCGGCCCCAGTCTTTGGCCATGTTCCTCTCGCCCATCTCTCCCCGGCCTTCCGCCATGGACGGCACTATGCCAATCCAGAAGCCTCGGGCAAATAGCCGGTCCTGGGCACGGCAAGGCATCCGTCGCATCTTTGTCAGCGAGCCGCGCATGTCATAGGGTCTTGGATTTGGGGACCCCACAAAATGGGGTGTAGTTTCCCTCTGAAGCCACAAAAAGGTCGTATTCCCCCACCCCCCACCCCACCCTAAAACAAGAAGAAAAATGGCACACCCATAGATCCTTGATTCAGCGGTGCTTCTGTTCCCTTCAACAATTCTCGAATGATCTGCCGAACGTCCGTGATGCACCAACAGAGCAACATGGCAATTTCTATGCCGCTAGACCCAGGCCAATAGGACGCAGCTCTTGTGAAAAAACCTCATGAAGATGAGAACGATCTGCAGCGTCCACCAAACAACCCACCTGCCCATACAAAAACATGACACATCAATAATGTAATAATGTGAGCACCTGTAGAATGGCGGAAATCTGACCTTCTATGCTGCATGTTGGACCACTACACACTTTGGTGTGGTTTGCAAGCAATACTTTCATGATATACCAGCACCTCGAACAGCCCGTTTTGCGCGCAAAGGACACTCAGTACCGCTGCATGGACGTGTGCGTGTGTGGTTCTTTCAGGGGAGGCCGCAAAATCGTGGTTTCCTTTTGCTTTCCACCAACCTTGACAAACTACTCACCCCCGAAATGGTAAAAAAAAAATGGTAGGTTAAAGGGACACCACCCCCATGTCCTGACTTTGAGAACCCCCAGAAACGGAACCAGAATCATGAAATCCTGAACTGTGGAGGGTTGCGAAATCCATTTCGCACCCTAAGAAACCCTGGTTTCTGATGATTCCCCCGTAAACACCAACAAACGTTATGGTTTCCCATGACTTCAACGCGGTGCGAACTGGATTCTCGCCACCATCCACAATGAGTCACGAAGCCTGGGGGGGAGGGAGGGGAGGGGGAAAGGGAGTCTCAATAAGCCCTTAAGCCCCCCTTAGGCCTGTTTGGGGCTTGGGGCTCCCTCCCCTCATCCGCGAGGCCCAAGGCACATCCGAGGACTCCTCCGTGAGGCCGAAGCAGATTGCGCTGTCCGACTCGCAGCAAATGCGCACGGCGCAGTCCCTCGGATCGGGGCTCTTTGGGCCCCAAATGGCTCAGGGAAACCACCGGAAAATCTCCAGGTTGACTGTGTTTCTGTTGAGGATATCGATTTTGGGGGGGGAAATGAGTATGGGTCAAACTTAAACCACCAGAGCACCAGGTTTTGGTTCATTCCACTTACCAGGGTTCCATTTGGGGTACATATTTTATTGACCCACAGCCGAATAGCTCAACGGTTTTCCTCTGGATTTCTCTTTAAAACCAACTCCAAGAAAAGACACAACCAAATCAACCCGCGTGAACGTGGGCGAGGCAACGCGTCGTGGCTGGACTCTCGACGGGTTGCTTGCGCTTGCCAAAAAGGGCTGGAGTTGACTTCGGGGGGAAAACCCATTTCACAGAAATGCATTGCTCTTGCAAAGGAAGATGCCTTTCGTCCCAAGCTTCCTGGTGCCAGGCAACACCCTGCTTGCGTCCCTCCATGACCCACCAATTCGGCACCCCAAGGCACCCCACCAGGGCATCCGGGGCACGTCATGGTCAGGGCAAAGGCGTCGTAGCTGCCGGAGGAGCCGCCGGTCTTCTTGATCTGCCCCTCCGTCAGCACCACGTTATTCCAGAAGAAGTCCTGGCGGTCCCTTTCGGTCCCTGCCCTTCGTGTCGGACAAGTGTGGCCTGGACCCAACGATCTGCTTTTTGGGGAGGCACGCCAGGCGAGTTTGAAGAACCCAGCGAGCGATTCGACCACCCGGCTCAAAAAGGCGCCTCCCCTCAGAGTTGTCGATTTCGACACCGAGGTCAAGGAAGAAAACCGGCAAGAAAGAGAGCGTGCAGGCTCTGGCACTTGCAGAACAAGCGCCTGTTCTTTAAGCTGGGATGTAAGCACGGGAGATACAAGGCACCTTTGAAGTGTGAATCCAAGAGTCAACTGGGACGCCGGCAAGTGTCAAGGTCTTTTCGCTGTCCCGTGTGTCTCTTACGAGACGAGGGTACCCTTCAGAACCATTGGACTTGGGACGGACCTTACTTCTGGTTTCAAAAATATCCCCGGCGCTGTCCTTTTCTGTTTCCACCTTGATCCTAAATCGATCTTTCCCCTTCCTCCCCTCGAGTAAATGGGACTCAATATTCAAGCTTCCCCGGACATATGTTTCGCATGAGCCTTGAACCTCGAACCACATCCAGCCGCCACTTAAACGCCCGCCATCCTTGTGCCATCCTGTGAAACCAAAAGCATCTTGAATCCCGACCACCAAAAGAACAAAAAACCTTCTCGTGGCTCCAGATTCAAGACTCTCAAAACAACCGCCATCTTTGCGCACCTCTGAAGAGCTCGGCTGCCACCTGAAGCCCTTGACTTCTTGACTCCGTGTCACAGGCCCCTGAAGTACACCACAAGAGCAAGGCCAACGGCAGACCATCCCAATGACAGCGGGGAAGGTCCGTTTTTGTTTCTCCTTCTTTTCGCGGCATTCGTCCAACGGACCAGCGGACCAAAAAAAGAACGGAGAACAATCCTAACCCAGCCACGGCTGGAATGGCTTGGTTTTGAGCTTTTCGGGGTTCTTGCTTGATTGTTGGTTTGGTTTATGCACAGTCCATGTGGAATTGTGAAATGGGGGGGCCAAAATGCAGCTTCCATGAGGAAGGCGCCTATATATTGAATTTGTATGTATGCATCACCCTTAACTTGTGTCTAGCGGTGTTTTCCTTGCATTCCTGGGAAATGCGCCATGATCGAATCACTGATATTCAGGACACTAGGGATAATAGTGACAATAGGGATTCAGCTAATACAGCTTCAACAAAAACCAGCTTGATACATTCAAGACGTTGGCCAAGTCTGGCTCTGCCGACAGATGCGGTACCGGCATGCCGAGCCGGACTTCCCCAAACCAATAGTTGCATCGAGTTGCTGGCGGTCTCCCCTGAAACTGCCACTTTGGGAGCTTCCAAGAAGGGAAATTGAGGAAACCCAACAAAGACACCCATCTGTCACCCACCGGGGGAAGAAAAATAAAAACATAACATCCTTGGACCCAAAAACAAATTCCTTGGACCCGGAAAACAAACAAAAAACTTGCGCAACGAATTCGACCGGCAGGTGCCGGCTCCGGCCTCGTCGGGCACAGGCCGGAAGACCTGGTCCACGTCGTGGTGCATAAGCGTCACCTGGAGCGAAGCTGGCTCGCTCGCTGGCCAAAAGACGCAAAAACAAAAAACAAAAAGAAGAAGCAGAAAAAAACGAAGGCGTACCCTTTTTCTGAGTGGCGGGGGAGGGGGGCATAAAGTGGACTCTTGGTTGGCTGTTCACTTTCGGTAAGCGATTGGCAACGAGGAGACAGCTCTACCAATCAAGCTGTCCTTGCTACCGTCGTTGAGTGCTTCTGCTAGACAACAGCCAGGTTGCCCCGCTTACCCAGGAAAACCACCAAAACTAGGCCTTCATGACAAGCGCTCGCCCTCTGCACCTGGCAAGCGTGCCTGAATGCACAAAAAAGAAAGCCTGTGTGAGTGTGTCTGTGTGTCTGTGTTTGTGCGTGCGTGTGCGCGTGTGCGAGTGAGTGTGCGCCTGCGTGCGCGCGTTCAGGTGCATGTGCGTGCGCGTGCGTGCGTGTCTGCGTGGGCGCCTGGGCGAGTGGGCATGTAGGCGTGTGGGCGGGTAAACGAGCATGTTTTCGTGTGTGCACACGCGCGCGGAGGTGTTGGCGTAAACATGGGCCCGTGGGGTTGTGGGTGGGTGTGGGGGTGGTTGTGTAGATGGATCTAGGTGTGTGCATGCATGGGCGGGCTCTCAAGGTGTTCGTGTATCGGCTTGGTTGCCACATTTGCCTCTTGAGCATCTATCTGATCCGCCGGAGGGGCTAACAAAACACAGGCCTTGCACATGTTGCTCCCGCTTGTAACTTGCAATGATCGTGATTTCAAAGCCAGCTCAGCTGATCTTTAAAAAACAAGAACTACGAGCCAAGTGCCTGTGACTCAACATGTCATGCAGCCTGGATGATTCGCAGCCCAACAACTGCTCGTCCACCATGCTTTCAGAACCAGCCCGCCTTTTGTCTAACAAGCCGCTGTTCAGTAGAACTCTTCACAAGTCCGCCCACAATCCCCCAACAAAACGACCTCCCGGCCAAGACTGGATTGAATCTCCGCCTGACCGGACTTCGCATTGAAAATGCCCCCAAAAACCGAAAACCCGAACTCCCGGACTGCCAAGTGAAGCCACAAGTCAGGCAGGCAAGGGGTGGTTTCCCATCTATTCTCTACAAGAAACCCGCAGTCCAAACCGGGCTCCAAACCCACCCTTTTGGGGGCGGGGGGGGGGGAATTAACCTGAAGAACCTCGGACCGGTTTCTGTTCCGGAAAACCGTCCGCAGAGGGGTTCCTTGCCGCCTCGGCCGTCTCCTCCTCGGGCTTCTCCGCCTTCTCGAAGGTCTTTGAGCTGCGCCTGACTCGCTTCGCGATTTCTCGCGCGGGCTCGTCACTCATGGCCAGAAGGACGCGAGGCGCGAGGGATTTCCGACAGGATGGTCCGGGGAAAAAAAGCACACACACCATTCCACTGGAGTGGACGTCTTATCTCATCGCGTTTGCAGCAGTCGAATCGAGACTGCCAGTCGAGGGCTTCAGGAGCTCCGATTCTCAGCCTGCCACTGGAAGAAAGGCGGATGGGAAGAGAAGGCAGGCTGACCATGCTCGCACCTCTGTCAAATAGTTCTGCTTTGACTGCCTGTGTCTCGCGCAAACCTTTGAAACACAGACAAGAGTCCAAGAATTCATCCAATTGGTCTGGGCATTGGGCATGGACACACAGAGCTTTCATTTGCGGAATTGGGATCCAAGTAAAGACCTCGAATAGCTGCTCCCCTTCCAAGCCCCTCTGCCTCTCATACTTCGTCACCGGCGCCGGAAAGGTGCCACTTCCTCAGTTCGATGGGTGCCAAACTGGGAACCGAACCAGCGCAGTATGCAACGTCTGCCGCTGTAGATGGGGCCGGCTACTTTACAAAGTGCTGCGAGGCCACTGTGTGAACAACCTGCGTGCGTCAAATTTTAAGAATCTCAGACCTTCCCAAGTGGTGGTGTTCTTGTGAATGTCTGTTGAACAACCAGCCTGGTTGTGGGGGGGGTGCAAAACTCATGTCAGGTTTCCACTAACATGACGCTTGACCGCATCTGGCGCGGAGGCGAACGCGGAGGCACTTCCCGAGGCGACTTTGCTGAGAGCATTCACAGCCAGAGAGCGGCGGAATCTGTCAAAAGAAGCTGCGATGCGGCGCTCCCGGATCATTGTGTGATCCTAACAATGTGTTTGAAAGCTGCAAGTGCGAATCGACTTGGGCACTGCCGAAAGCAGCAGATCTGAAACCGAAGATCATATCGCTGAACTCACCAGTTGCATCTGGACCTTCTGGCTTTATGTTAATCGAGGCACGTTAAGACATGCTGGCCTGCACGTGCAGGCCGCAAAACCGAAACTGTCACACATGCGCACAACACCCATGGATGCAACATCAGCAACTTATCAACCAATGTAAGCGGGTCCTGGGAATGGGGTGCTCTTGCTAACATGGATCTCTTGAGCACTGGAATGGCACTGACCTTGGTCACGTAACCTGCTGAGATCATAATAGTTCTCTCAGACAGGTGAAACCTTCAAAGTCAGTACATGATATATCCCCTACAGGAATCGGACGACATATTGGTTTGTTGCAGATATTCACAGGCTCACCCTCGCAATCGTCTGTTTGTGGAGTAAGAGACGTTTAGGCAGCTGGCCATCCGCAAAAAAAGGGGGGTCTTACACAACACCTGGCTGGGGTAGGCTTGAACAAGGGGCTACTCGTAAGCATTGTCCTGAACAGTTGCAGAAACTTGGTCCGTTCCACACCGCGTGCGCGCACACACGCCGGGTGTGAGCTATCCTTTTAAGAGGGAGGGGGGCCCTCCAAACCTGATACCCCCCTCCCCCCCCTCCCTAAAAGGGAAACGGTTCTCGAGGTCATAGAAAACCGCAAAGATCGGTGCCTGAGGTTTGTTCTGAACGGATGCGTGACTGCTGAGAACTGAGATCCCAAGCTGCTCAAACATCAGGAATCACGAATGCTCTTCAGCCATCCTGTTTAGAGGAGTTTTGGGCAAATGTGCAAAGCAGCAAAGGGGGGGTCTTGTTTAGGGGACCACCAAAATGAGTGGTTTCCTTTTGGTGTCCTCATGCGCAGTGAAGACTTCCGTCCAAGACCCAACCTCCCAACTCGCCCGGATTTGGTGGATCACACGCCCAGCGCCCAACCACACCTTCAGATGCGAGGGGCGGAGGCTGTCAAAGTTGAAGCCGTTGGTGGAGAACCTCGCTCGACTCATCGCACGCGCGATCAATTGAAAGCTGAGCTTCCACAAAGCAAACGGCCTCGAAGCCCCGAGATCACCGTCGGAAACCCTGGGGTTGAACCATGTAAAGAGCAGAAACTGATCTATGGCTAGGTAGCTGTCACATAAGTGAGAGCAAAACATGTATCAGAGGAACCTAAACGGATTCTAGCAAACGGGCTCCAGCATGCAGCAAAGGACAATCATGTATGTGGCATCCTGGGGTTTTCTTGTTGGAACTCATTGAGGGTCACTGAAATCTGGGCATCTGAAAAGTGGGCAAAGAACGGAGTTTGTCATGCAAAGGACATGAGAAGCGGCAGTTTCACACCCAAAAAGAAAGTTGTAAAACAGGAAAGCCAAAGAAATGCAATCAGACTGGCACTGTTGCACCCCAAAGCATTTCACATGTCCATTCGAAACCAATTGACAAGCCTCCTCCATTCGGTCAAGGGTTTTATGGCGGCGGGCAGTAAACTTGCAAGCTCACCGGCTTGCTTGGGTTAGAAACGGGGCTGGTTTCATGTCCACTTTCCAGGGGGCCTCATGTATTTTAGGTCGTGGCCCGAGTTGCAACAAAGCCCTCAGGCTTTCTGAGAAGGGCTCTCACCGAGGTGATCTTCGAAACAGGACGAGAACCCCTGCAAGATGCGTAACTTGAAGTTGCAAAGCGAACTCGTGCCGCAAACATGTGATGTTTGGATATGCTCAGAGACCATGCATCGGCTGCCCCTTTGTTGGTCTGTCTTTTGAGAAAAAAGAGCAAAGTTGAGAAAACCCCGTCGCGCCATTCCCTTCTGCCCCCCCCCCCCCCAATCCCCCACCCCCTCTCCCGCCCCCCAACTCTTCGGGTCAAAAAAAACCGCATGGGTTACATAAAACAAAACAAAAATGTATAGGCAGTCAGAGGCTTAAAAAATGAAATGATTCCAAAGCACACAGAAAAAGAAAGACCAAAAAAGAGGAAAGAAGAAAAAAAGAAAGAACAGGAAAACAACCACACAAAAAAAAAGAAGAAGGAAACAAAAAAAACAAGAAACGCGCACACGTTCATGTCTTTCTTCGCTTCGCTCCGCTTGCCCGTGGCCCCGGGCCAGGGGTGCTTCCTCAGCTGCGGTGCGCCCTTGGCGCCCAAGCGCTTCTCCACCGCGGCCGTCAGCAGGCCCTCGGACGTCGTGAGACTCGGTGGGGGGTGGGGGGAAACGAGGCGTCTGGGAAAAGGGGCGGGGAAGGGGAGTTCAAGGGACACAGGGCACACCCAAGAAAAACCTGGAAGAACAAAAATGGGAGTTGCGAGGGGAGGCAAGAAAAAAAAACAGGTGAGTTGAGGAGGTCGGTGGTTAGAAAAAAAGGAAAAGAAGGGACTTTGGAGTTGGAGACTCGCGAAGAATCAACGGTGCCGATCGTTGGCTCTTTTTTGGGGCAGTTGATTTGGGTTTCAGCCCCGACCAAAACCAGCTGGAAAAGGAAGCGACCCGGATGTCTGAGGGCCAATCTGCTCGCAATGAAGTGTTGGACGATGCCATTGTCCGGCTTCGTGGGTAAGGATTCAGCATTTGCACAGCCCCTTTCAAAGACCCTGGTGTTTTACCCTTCAAAGGGAGTTTAACAACAATCTGTCCACTGCTCCAAATCAGCGCCCCGGCCTCACGCGACCAAAAACACAAAATATGACACACAAATGGTGGGCCCCGAGAAAAAAAAAAAAAAAACGACTGGCCCAAACGCCTCGCGAGGAACCAAAACGAATCGACCCGCTGGCGCTCGGCAGCTTCTCGCTGCCGCCGGGGGAAAAAAACCGAGGCGCCACGGTGAAGGATGCGGCCACCTGCAGAAGCAAAGGGCGACGCCTGCCGAAAAACAAATGGCTTTTCGAAGCCTCTGAAGCCCTTCTTGCGGGTTTTCTGGAAAGTTTCACCCAAACGGCGGAAACCACGCCAGGATTTGGGTCATATTTGGCCATGGGGCAAAATCCAAATCGTTACCCCCAGTGAACATCCACTGAAATAGGTTCTAAGATGGGTGGTGCACCTACCCCAAAATGGGTGGCCATTGGGTTTGACCCACGGCCAAATGGCCATGGGTTGCAGAACCTGTGGCGATCCCATTTTGGGGTGGAGGAACAGCCATTTGCCGCCTATGTTGATGTTTAGCAGGGGTGCCGGGTTTTGTCCCATAGCCAAATGGGAAAAATGGAAAGCAAGGAAAAGCAAAGAGAAAACGGGAGGGGAATTGTTTCGCAGAACAAGTTGCTCAATGGCTCCGCCCACAATCTCTGCTCACAAATGAGACCGAACATGACGAAATGGGTGGAGAATGCGCAGGAAGACAACTGAGTTCCACATCCTCCAATACATCCAAGTGCTTTGGTGTTGCGATTCGATGGCAAATCCTTTTCCAAGAAGTTCAATCCCCGACGGACTCCACCGACATGCGGTCAATCCAACCCTCCAAGTTCGCTTCAATCCTCGCCCATCCCTGCCTGTGGCGTCTCCTTGGCAACGCGTTGCTGGCTGAAGCTGTGGGATGCGCCCAAAAAGCTTGGTGTGTAACTCAAGCCAGCGGACACATCACCCGCCACTACTGTATTCTGGAACGGATGGCTGTCTCCTTGCGTTTCGCCAGGATCGCGATTTTTTGACCTACCGCTCTTAGGTTGCGTAGCCTACACTCGCGTCAAATGTGGCTGTGGAACCAGCAAAACGTCTGAGCTGCTTTCTGACGTGGGACAGCTTCATTGGCACATGCCGGCCTGCGTACACCTCGCAACATGGCCTGCGTTCCAGGGCCAAGGGTTTCGACATGTTGCTGACCCTTGCTGGTACAGTGCCAAACAAGGGTCGACTCTTGCAAACGCAGAATCAGCGCTGGATCTCACAGTTTCGGGGAGCCTGCTTTCGCAGAAGGCCAAGCAAAGGAGCCATTGGCAGTGTCACCCATGTCCATTCTGATCAACCTCCAAGACAAACAGGGATCCTAACATTATACACCTGAACATTGCCTTGTAAATGGTGGGTTCCCCTTATTTTGGTGGAAAAAGCCATGCTTCAGATGGGCAAAATGTATCTTTTAAGGAGCCCTGACAAGCAAGGCAGGCTTCCATCTCCAAATGGTCACACCCCGGCAGCGTGCCAGGGGATTGAAAACAAATTACATGAGCACACGTCAAGGACGGGGAGCCATACTAGCAACGCCTTTTCCTGCAGGTAAAAAAAGACTTCTTTCGAACACGCGGATGAAAACACCTTAGTCTCTGGGCCCAGCAACTAACTCAGAAGTCTCAGTCTCCCGGCGCAAAACAATGTGTGAATATCCAACCATAGTTTCCAACATCCAAACTTCGACCCGTGCTCGGGTTTACCACCTGCGTAAGTCCAAAAGCCGCCCCGTGGGAACACCGTGAAAGGCCAAGGCCTTACGTTTGAGCCAACAATCAGCTGTGGGCGTAATACTGAGCGCTGTTTCCGGTGTCCCCGTTTCTTCGGCCAACGCCACCCAAACGGCTCCCGTCGAAACCGCCCCAAACTCGAGCAACTTTCCCCTGAAACTTCCGGCGGGCAGCGGGTGGCAGGTCCCGCTGCGGCAGAGGCTTGGCCTGGGACCAAACCAAAATCCCTCTTTTTTTTGTCTCATGGGATGCGCCAGGGATGGAAGCCTCTTTCCTTTCCTGTGCGAGCTCCGAGTCTGGGTAAGAGGCAGCTAATGCTTCAATTGGGTTTGTGAGGATGGAAGCCCCGAGTTGAGAAAAACCATCCGTTGACCATCAACTCTCAACCCCCAGTTGGGATTGGAATGTGTTGATAGAAACCACCCAGCTGGGCGGTTGGTTTTGCGGATTGTCCGGTGCAACATGACTGTTCGGGCTTCTGGCAAACAAATGCCATCCAACCCAGGCAGTTGTTCGACAACTGGTGGACATGGCCGTATTGAAATCCCGCTAAAGAAGTCGTATTGAAATCCTGATTGAAACTAGGGAAAACCTCTGTGAAAGCTAATTTGAAGCCATCTTTAGACTGAAAATGCTACCTAAGTTCAGGTTGAAACTAGAAATTATACTATGAGCTGCTTCCTTTTAAACTGAATGTAAATTCAAACAAAATAAAACAAAAATAAACGGATCATACCGGGAAAGGCAACATACTTCTAATTTAAAACCTGGTTGAAAACCGTTTGAAAAGAAAGTATTGTGTTAGTGTTCACTGCAGCCGAATTTCAACTAGAATCCTGTCCTTTCTACATGTTCATTTAGATCATGGCGGGGGGGTGCATAATATATATATATATATATATTTATGTATATATATATACAATTCTCACAGACAACTTTTGCCAAGTTCTGGTGATTTATTGTCAACGCCTGCACACTCGATTCTCTTTTTGTTCGTCTTCCAATGCCGAGCATCATTTGTCCGGCACAGATCATCAGCCGTCCAAGTTGTCCGGCACAGATCATGAGGAGAATTATATCTCCAATCGGACTTTTGAAGGCGGCTTCCTTTCCAAGAGGGCTGCGTTCAATTGTTTAATTAGATTTTACGTAGAATATAATTAGAATCAAAATAGAATTGGCGAATTATATCTCAAATCGGACTTTTGAAGGCGGCTTCCTTTCCAAGAGGGCTGCGTTCAATTGTTTAATTAGATTTTACGTAGAATATAATTAGAATCAAAATAGAATTGGCGAATTATATCTCAAATCGGACTTTTGAAGGCGGCTTCCTTTCCAAGAGGGCTGCGTTCAATTGTTTAATTAGATTTTACGTAGAATATAATTAGAATCAAAATAGAATTGGCGAATTATATCTCAAATCGGACTTTTGAAGGCGGCTTCCTTTCCAAGAGGGCTGCGTTCAATTGTTTAATTAGAATTTACTTAGAATATGATTAGAATCAAAATAGAATTGGCGAATTATATCTCAAATTGGACTTTTGAAGGCGGCTTCCTTTCCAAGAGGGCTGCGTTCAAAATAGAATACAAAAAGAATGCCAGCAGAATATCTAGCTGCTAGCTTCGATCATGACTTGAATAGGCTCTTTTTTGCTCAAGAGGATGTAAATCTACCAATTTAGTTTTTATGCAGAGTTCTTCTTGCAAACTATATATACATATATACAGATACATACATATATATATATATATATATGTATGTAAGGGTGCTTTCCTTTCCCAGGAGATGTGTTGGGCCAAGCTGAATCTGCCTCGTGCTTGGGGCAGAGCTTCGCAGGATACAAAAAGGCCAGCGAAAAGAGACAGCTCACAGGAGTCTATTGCTACCTTCCCCGTTCGTTCCAGGGATCCGAATCTATCTAGAAAACCGGAAACTTAGGGAAACCGCCGGTTTTTGAACAGAACGATGGTTGAAAAGAATGGGGAATCAACCATTAGAAAGATCTGCGATACGACACTCCTCTGCTCTTCTCAAGTCCTCTAATTGTTTTGGTTTTCAGGGGGCTTGCAGCATTTTAGCACTTCCAGGCCTCAAAATGCTGTAAGATCGGCCAAAAACAATCCTCTGAGGGCCCCAGAGTGCTGTGATGGGTCTTGGAGCTTTTCGGCTCCCACTTTGGATTTATCGTTTTTTGAGCTGACAGTATTTTGAGGCCTGGAAGCGCTGAAATGCTGTAAGGTCCCCAATAAAAAATACAATCTCCAGACCCAACATGATTGGTGGTTTGATTAATGCTGCAAGGTCCAAACAAAAACTTTGGCAGCACCGGTTCCACGACTCGAACTGGCTTGTCTCTAATGTCACAGCACCTGAAAAGTACAACCGACTGTGAACGCTCAAGCGTAGCTGCTTCCAAGTCAACCCAATTGGAAACTCTCAAGCCTCACTGCTTCCAAGTCTGTTCTACCCGCGCATCTGTCATCTTCCAAATGCCAACATGGTGAAGCATGCTTACCTGAAGAAGGGTTCAAGCGTCATTGGGGCTCTGACATGTTTTTCCGTCGCTTTTGCAAGGTCACTACGTGCTCGGACGAATGCTGCGTCCCAGACGGTTCAATGTGCAAGACTTCATCAGCGCAAAAGCTTCACCCGAGATGTCTCATTCGTCAGAAACTGCCACCTGAGCTCCGCAGAGCAGCTATGGGAAGTGGTCAAAACTGAAGACTTGTAAAAACCCTCAAAACTGGACTTTTTGAGGCTCAACTGAAATTTGGAGATTCCAAGTTTGCCCACCAGGTGAAACATGTTCCCTTCCCAACCCTATGCCAGCAAACGGCATCTTTGCAGACCAAAAATGAGCACCAACGAACCATACACATTCAATGGCCTTCCAAGAACAGAAGACCCCCCTCCAAAAAGAAAAGCAACATAGCAAGCAAGAAGAAAAGCAAATCACAAAGAAAAAATGACAGCAAGCAAACGAGAAACCCGCCGCCCCCTGCCCCGCAGCCCAGGGCCTGCTGGCTGCGGCGAACCGTGAAGGGCGCGGTGCTCGCGTCGTCCCCCGCGCACCACGGGGTCTGCCCGGACCTCGGATCGAACCCCCGGTGCACGGCTTCGGGGACGGCTCTCGCGGGTTGCTTTCCTTGAACCCACCATTTATGGGGTGATTTTGATCATGCCACTTTTGGGGTGACTTTGATGCCACTCATAACCTACTGTGGACGGACAAATCCATTTCGCAGCACTGTGAAACCATGGGACACCATAACGTTTGTTGGCATTTGCAGCTGAATCGTCATTCCGGGGGTTCTTAGGTGGTGCAGGATTTCGTCCATCCACAGTACCACTTGTGAGGTGACTTTGATCATGGGGCCAGTGTCGGTGTGTCGTTTTTGGGGTATTTTTGGGGTGGTTTTCGGGAAACCAAAAAGAACACCGAAACCGTTTTAGGGGCCTCCATGTTTGAGACTTGGGTTAAAAAACGGATGCCAACAGGGAAACCATTACATATGAGGGTTTTGTCAGCGAAACTTGAAGGAATGCCTGGCGGAATATATAGTGTGACACATGCCTAGGTTCCCGTAAACCCGCTTTTCAACAATCATAGAAGCGGCCAGGAGGCCGATAGGATGCAGCATTTCACAACCCTTCTGTCAGCGTCCATGATTGGACAAATGGGTGATGAAATGGATTAAAGATACCAGCTTTGGGTGGGTGTTTGTCTGAATACACATCATAGGCCTTGAATATGGTTCAATATTGGGTGTGCTTTCAAAAACCAAATCCATGAATCAATGCCCAGTTCCCCCCTCCAAAAAAATGAGGGGCCAAGCATTGTATAGACCTGTCCATGCCTTAAGACGTGCTCTTTGTGACTTCCCATTTGGCTTCCCTTTGGCTTCCCTGTGGTTTCCACGGGTTTCCCTCCCACCGTGTGAGTAGGCCACCAATCGACGTGATTTGGCCAAGTTCCTTGGGGTTCCTCGAATAAGGAGAGAGGTCCTGGTTGGAACGAAGGAATCAGAAAAGTAGAGCTAACTGAAAAGCAACCTATGTAATGCCAGCACCTGGGTCACTGATGCCTGCTCCATGTGCTTGTGTTGGGGTTTGGGCTTGGGTTTGGTGTGTGTGTGTGTGTGTGTGTGTGTGTGTGTGTGTGTGTGTGTGTGTGTGTGTGTGTGTGTGTGTGTGTGTGTGTGTGTGTGTGTGTGTGTGTGTGTGTGTGTGTGTGTGTGTGTGTGTGTGTGTGTGTGTGTGTGTGTGTGTGTGTGTGTGTGTGTGTGTGTGTGTGTGTGTGTGTGTGTGTGTGTGTGTGTGTGTGTGTGTGTGTGTGTGTGTGTGTGTGTGTGTGTGTGTGTGTGTGTGTGTGTGTGTGTGTGTGTGTGTGTGTGTGTGTGTGTGTGTGTGTGTGTGTGTGTGTGTGTGTGTGTGTGTGTGTGTGTGTGTGTGTGTGTGTGTGTGTGTGTGTGTGTGTGTGTGTGTGTGTGTGTGTGTGTGTGTGTGTGTGTGTGTGTGTGTGTGTGTGTGTGTGTGTGTGTGTGTGTGTGTGTGTGTGTGTGTGTGTGTGTGTGTGTGTGTGTGTGTGTGTGTGTGTGTGTGTGTGTGTGTGTGTGTGTGTGTGTGTGTGTGTGTGTGTGTGTGTGTGTGTGTGTGTGTGTGTGTGTGTGTGTGTGTGTGTGTGTGTGTGTGTGTGTGTGTGTGTGTGTGTGTGTGTGTGTGTGTGTGTGTGTGTGTGTGTGTGTGTGTGTGTGTGTGTGTGTGTGTGTGTGTGTGTGTGTGTGTGTGTGTGTGTGTGTGTGTGTGTGTGTGTGTGTGTGTGTGTGTGTGTGTGTGTGTGTGTGTGTGTGTGTGTGTGTGTGTGTGTGTGTGTGTGTGTGTGTGTGTGTGTGTGTGTGTGTGTGTGTGTGTGTGTGTGTGTGTGTGTGTGTGTGTGTGTGTGTGTGTGTGTGTGTGTGTGTGTGTGTGTGTGTGTGTGTGTGTGTGTGTGTGTGTGTGTGTGTGTGTGTGTGTGTGTGTGTGTGTGTGTGTGTGTGTGTGTGTGTGTGTGTGTGTGTGTGTGTGTGTGTGTGTGTGTGTGTGTGTGTGTGTGTGTGTGTGTGTGTGTGTGTGTGTGTGTGTGTGTGTGTGTGTGTGTGTGTGTGTGTGTGTGTGTGTGTGTGTGTGTGTGTGTGTGTGTGTGTGTGTGTGTGTGTGTGTGTGTGTGTGTGTGTGTGTGTGTGTGTGTGTGTGTGTGTGTGTGTGTGTGTGTGTGTGTGTGTGTGTGTGTGTGTGTGTGTGTGTGTTTGCGTGTGTGCTTGTGTTTGGGTTTGTGTTTGTGTTGTGTGTGTGTGTGTCGGCCAAAATGAGCACTTGTGTCATGTAGGCCGTACAATTAAGCGAATTGACATCTGGCTTCATCTTGGCAAGGAAACCTTCTCAAGACTGTTGAAACAGGTCAGAGTTTACGTCAATGCTGGTGGCCAATTCACAACCCAAATTCAACGGGATCTTGAATGTGGCCTTCGTCAGCAAGAAAATCGTTCCTGGCTAGTCCAACCGAGTCCAAGCAAACTTTGATGTTCAAAATCATGAAACACTGCAGGAAAAAAAAGGAGAACAAGAAAAAAAACACTGTACAACGACTTAGGGACGAGCAGCTACAAAGTTGTCACAACTGTTTCATTGAGATGTGAAAAACCTGGGTGGCTTGGTCAGTGTGAATCCCAAAAACTGTCCTCATGTCGCGTGGTACATTCCAACCAGCAAGTCGAGCGTCACAGTTGATGCTGCCTCTTGCCTCTGGCCCTGCCTCACCTGCCCCTTGGCCTTTTGGTCAAATCGTTCGAGGCACAGCAGTTCAAACGTGAGCACGCCCAGCGCCCACCAGTCGACCTGCCGCAGTCTTGTGTGAAGAAAACATATGTTTGGCACGCGACGAAGCCGGCGCAAGCCCTTGAGCAACCCTCGACCAAGTTCTTCAGGCAGCCTTCTTCTTCCACTCGGCTGAGGGGATCAATCCGCGGCACATGTTCGAAAACGAATTCCTCTGAGGCAGCCCTGGTCACAAACATCCCTCTGGCCTTCTCGTCGTGCTCGTGGGGGAAATCCAGGATCTCCGGGGCCATGTAGTCCTCCCGGTCTCTGAGCACTCAGCCAGTGCAATGCAGCAACAAAGCCGCTGCACAACGGTGCAAAGACGGCATGCAGCGCGAATTTCAGGGAGAAGAACCAAACACCCGGGCTTTTGCGAGCATGGCAAACATATAAAATGCGCGGCTCCTGTACCGAAAAGCCCATGACACCGATGAGTCCATATCACGTTTTCTGCACGGAGACTCCGAGACCAGCACTATGGGACTGAAAGGTATTGCAACCCTCCATCCCAATCTCCCACCAGAACTCTACCCAATTCTCCCAGTGTCTCTAGATTCTGCCCCCTTCAGTCCTGCCACAAAATCCCCTACCTCCCAAACACCCACAAACACGCCAAAAACCCGCAAACAAAGAAGAAACCCATCTGAATTATTATATATATATATATACCGGGACTTTCCGGGGGTCAAAGTTTTAGGCGTTGGCCAAAACACATGTGTTTTGTGTCGTTGCCGTGAAAAAATGCTTTTAGGGCGAAAAATCTGCGGTCTTATTTGTTTGAGCCGCAGTCAGGAATGTTCGCCGTTTGTCGGGAATTTTCGCCTGTAGATTCGGGGAGATTGCGCTTTGAGCAAAAAAGGAAGTAGGCAAAAAACACGCGCAATGGCCCCAAAAGGCAATTTGTAGTCGAAAGGCGGAAATTCTGAGCATGCAGGAAGGTCCAGGTATGCACATAAACGTAACAACCCAACATTCCCCTGCCCCCAAACACCTAAACACCCGATCCCAACATTCCCCCGGACTCGCTCCGGCGTGCCCAAGAAAGTGTAGGTCTTCCGCAGCACGAAGCGTGCGAAGCCGAGGTCGCAGATCTTGGCGTAGCCCCTGCCGGCGAAACCCAACTGGCTGTTGTCAAAAATCGGGTAACCCCAAACTGGGACCCGATCGGTAAAAATTGGACAGGCTAAAACCCGCGGTCCCCGGATGGCTTTTCATTTTGACCCATACTGGGTTCCTCTGAAAGCTTAACGTCCACAAAATCCGTGGGACCCAGAGGGGTTTCTTGTTGAGGTTCAAAAATGGTGGTTTTAAGGGGGGGCTCCAAAAAACGTGTCCCTAAAACCGAGCGGTGGCCTTTTCGTTTCCTTTTGCTTCAGGGTTTCCTCTTGCTTTCCGCTTTTGCTTCCCTTTTGAAACCAACCAAAAAGGGGTTTTCCCTCATAGAATCCCCCCCAATCTGTCCCCACTTGCACCCACCCACACCACTCGATTCGAAGCCGCGAAGCCCAAGCCTCGAGTCCAGCAAAACGTTGCCCGGCTTCAGATCGCCTCAGCGAGTGCTTCACTGCTGGCTTTGAGCTTCGCCTCGACCAACTTTCAAACAACTTGACCACGAGTTTTTTTGGGGTCAAAGGGTCAAAAACCAAGAACCCAAAACGGAACCGTGGAGAAGGAAACAAGGACTAAAACCTGCTGGTTTTTTTCTGGTGGGTTAATTTTGACCCATACCCATATGGCCATGGGTCAAACGGTCGCATGGGCTCCCGAGTGATTCGGAGCATGCTCCCTTGTTCATGAAAAACTTGACAACAAATATATATATATATATATATATATATGGCCCATGGGACAAAAGCCCAATTACCCCCCAGTGAACATCAACCAATCCAACCACTAAAATAGGTTCTAAAATGGGTGGTGAGTTCACCTACCAACCAAAATGGTACCATTGGTTTTGGGTCGAAAATAGACCCCTGGTAAATGGAACCAACGACTAAAACCTGCGGTCCCCTCGCGGTTCAATTTTGACCCATACCCATATAAACGTGCGCTTTCTGGACCAGCCACCAGCCCGGCAGCAATGAGAAGAAAGGCATAATCAAGCCTCCGATTTTCAATCGCTGTTTGTGCCGGAAGATGGAAGCACCACGCTTGTAAAGCATTCCAGGCCCGCAAAGGCTTGGGTGGTTGTCAGTTCGGAACCAAGGATACTAGGGCTGAACAAACTTAGCACGAACAGCTGGAAACTTTTCGAGTGCTTGTTGGGATGAAGGAAAACATCCTCAATGAATGCTATGTACCTGTTCCACTTCTTCTGCTTCTGCTTCTGCTTCTTCTTCTTCTTCTCCTCCTGCTTCTTCTTCTTCTTCTCCAACAAAAGAGCTCCACTGCCACCGCTTGGGGCCGTTCCTTTCACCCCCCCCCCCCAAACCCGCCACCCCCTCCATCCCAGGCGCGGTGGGCGATCTTCCGCTCGTGCAGGTGCCCCAGGCCCTCCGTGATGCAGGCCACGTAGAAGAGCACGTTCTGCCGCGCTCGTGTACAGCAGTCGTTGTACAGCGGTTTCTTGTTTTTCTCCTCCTTTTTCTCTTCAGCATTTCATGAATTTGAACATCAAAGTTTGGTTGGACTCGGTTGGACTGGCCAGGAACATCGGAATCACCATGGCTTTTGCAAAGGGGGCAACCGCGCTCGATTTTGTGTTTTTTTGGGGCAAGCCAAACGGCCCTTCGGTCGGATTGGCAGTGATGAAGATGGCGGGGCTTGGCCAAGGAAAGTGCGACTCAAAATGGGAGACGCCTTCCTTCTGGCTATGTCGTATCCCATTGGAGTTCTACTCCGGCGTTGCGGCTGGCTGCACATGAGACAAGAGCTGACAAAAATATTTGTTGTGCTTTGCTTGGTCACAGTCTAGTCTCATGTACAGTCAATCTGTCAGACTTGGACAATTCAAATGATATGTAATTCATCTCGAAATAACTGCTGCTGTTGTTAAAAACATCACGCGAAGTTGGGAATGCATAAAATGAGCCCTCACGTACTATGGAACTCCTTCGCGGGGCCAAGGCGCAGGTTTATTCAGACTGGGACCAAGGACCAGTGCTCCTTGCAGATGTTGGCCTTCGCAAACTGTTGGTTAAAAAAGTGATCAACAAATATTGCCTTCAGGAAAGTGGTTCGGATTCTTTGTACACTGGCACTCCGCTAACAGGCTCGCGGAAAGCAGACAAACCAGGGTTCCACTTTTTGGCTACCCCAAGATAGACTTAAACCCAGGCGTTCTCCTTCTGGGTTTAAGTCTACCCTGTGGTAGTCAAAAAGTGGGACCCTGGGACAAACTTCCACCAGCCAGTCAGAACAAAACGTCCTCTGCGCCTCCGCGACATTTCACCCATTTTCTCTTTGCGCCTCGCTCCACTCGTCCATGGGGAAGCGCTGGCGGTGGCAAATCGTGTCCTCCAGGCAACCGCCCTCTGCAGCCTCCAGCAGCATATACCTCCAAGCGAGGCTAGGAGGCAGACTTCAGATCGACCAAGATTCATATGGCCATGAAGTTTGCATGGGCGACATCCTCCCAAATGGTTGGACATAAATCCCCGCCTACATCATGTCCATGTGAATGTGGCTAGCTCAAATTCATGCCGATATCCGCCCCAAGCAAGCACCCAAGCCCATCTTAGGAGCTTCCAACCCGACTCACCAAGACCAAGCTGCACAAACAGCGAGTCGCGGTACGCTGCGTGCCTCAGTATGCAGCGGTTGGTCGACCATGGGTTAGCCAAAAAGGTGGTTGCTGGCCCTAGGCGCTTTCCAAAGGAACCCTCTTGACCCCCCCAGATGGCCCCTCAAGCCGGGCAACATCCATGTGCCACATACCCCATGAATCAAGGAACCAATGGAAAAGTTTGCGCGTGCAGTTGAACGGGGCTCAGAGCAAGGAATGATTTCAGGACCTTCGGGTAGGTAATCCACCCAGTCCCAGGCCGTCCACGCTCCCCAATCTCGACGGGGCTCGCGGTACCAACAGGTTCACTGGCACCAAGCAACGGCACTTACGCGCGGGCAAGCGCTTGAATGCTGCAGCCCGAGAATGCTCAGATTGAAAACACTGAACCAAGTGTCGCCCTGTCTCATCTTCCATTCAAAGCCACATAAGGCGCTCACAACTTCACCAGGAAACAAGTTTCACGCCAGGTCTGGATCCAGTGACCGACTGCCCAAATTAATCACCCGCATTCATCGATGGCGCAGGTGGATGATGAAGGGGCTGTTCACCATAGCGTGCAGATTCCGCTCGTTTCGGATCTGGACCTCCGCCCCGTGGGAGCGGACGCCTGCGTCTCTGCGTCCGAAAAATGGAGGGGAATGCGTGGAATGCCAACCGGGGTCCGCAAAATATACTGTACCGAAGGCCGCTTGAAAACGAGCTCTGCTACCATAAAGAGTGGACCGCTCTAGATCATGAAAGTCTGCCAAAGTTCCGTGGACAAAACTGGCAGTGACCACGGTTAGGAAGCATGTGAAATCAGGATAGGATCGGAACAGATTGTGCTCACCATATCCAAGTAGCGTGCGGTCGGCTCAACTCAAGCTGGCCCAAGAATTGAAAGGGACAATCATGACAAGGCACAATGACGTATGAGTACTTCGCAACCCTTGGTATGGTTGCAAAAATCGTTGTCTTTGCAGCCCCCTACTAAACATGAACAGAACTATTAAACAAAATAAAAGCAACAAGAATGCCAAGAACAGTGAAGAGTAGACGAGTGACCTGCAAGTCAGGGTCATCCCTTGCCGATGGGTCTTCCAGCCCGCAAACAAACCAAAGCCACTGCAACCTGTTCAATGATTTCAGCCCCTCCCAAAACACCGTGTCCGGGCCATCTAAGAGAAGCTGGGCTCGTTGACTTGCCGCCCGGAGCCTCTCTTGGAGATCTGCTTCAGCGCATAAGCGGTACCCGTCACAGGGTCTCTTTGCAGCATCACCTGCGCGATGTCCGATGTCCCGTCGCTTGAAGCTCGCTCGCAACTTGTTTGGGTCTTGGCTTTCTGGGTTCTTGCTTGGTTGTTCCTTGTTGTTGGTCAAATTGGTTGTTGGTTCTTGCTTGGTTGTGACTTGTTGTTGGTTCTTGCTTGGTTGTTGGTTGTTGATTGTTGGTTGTTGGTTCCTGCTTGGTCGTTGGTAGTTGTTGGTCAAATTGGTTGTTGGTCAAGTTGGTCGTTGTTGGTCGTCGTTGTTCCTACTTCTTCGCGGCCCTTCGCGCGACAGGTCTTCCCAGCCGGCCTTTCCAAAGGCGCCCTCCCCGAGGAGCTGCACCGAGCTCAGCTTCTTGTGGTCCACCGCATACCGCTCCTGGGAAGCACAGCGGCGCATGCAACCGCACCACCCGGCGGCAATGGAATCGACGTGTTTTTGTTTTTTTTTGTGGTGTCGATGTCTGGAGGGCACCCTCTGGCCTTGAAAGGGAAAATAAAAAAGTTGGTGGGTGTCAATTTTTAGCCCAGGTCACCCAAAGAGAATCGGCGGAAAGGGCTCGGAAAGGGCCCTGACATGCACCCCGGTCATTCCCGCCGCGCTGTCAACCCTCCAAAATAGTTGTTCACCAGCGATAACTGTGGGGTCTTAGCCATTCCAGGTTTATGCCAACCCTGCCCTGGGTCCAGTTTTTGGAGAGTTCGGTACGTAGGTTCCGACGGGCTGGGAAAAAGTTCACCTACTCGCAATGTTGTGCCTTCCAAGGCAGATTCAAAACACGCAATACCTGTGTCCAAGTGCCAAAGCCGATGGTGAAAGCATGTGAAAGCCATTGGCTTGTTGAAAACAGATGGCGATGACTCGCGTGATAAGACTCTTTGTATCTGCATTGATGAAAGGGCTCGGACCAACCCCCATGAGAGTCATAATCAAAACCCAGTATTAAAGTGGTCTACCCAGAACCCTGTAAGGGATTAAGAAGGCGGCCGCAGCTATTTCTGGTTGGGATTGTCCCTTACTAACCTTCGTCTACGCGGGTTTTGAGCACGTGGCTCATGGGAACAATGGCTTGGTTGCGGGCCGCCTTGAGGTGGAGCAGTCGACTGGCAGTCGCGGCCTTTGACACCCCTGCTCGGTTGCTTTCTGCTCCCCCGCTAAAAGTTTAACTTCTATTGGATTAATGGAAAACCCATCAGTTGGCAAAAAGTTGAAGTCCTGACATCCAAGCAAAACGCACCAACGCCTGATTCCTTTGAGACACTTCCCAGCTCGCCTCCGACGCGAGAAGGGACCAACTTTGACGGGAGCGGCTGAAGTTACCAGGTGTCAGCCCTACAGCCGTCCACGTGAAACAGGGAAAACCTAAAACCCTCTGTCGCGCCAGCCAAAATGCCCCCTGAACCATGGTCATTTTGGGGGCTTGCCATTTTGCAGGGGGCTAACCCAAAAAAGAGAAACCCTTCAGGCAAAAAGCCAAACACATGAGAAAACCCTTCAGGAAAAAATGCCAAAAACATGAAAACCTTCAGGCAAGAAGCTCAAAAACATGAAAACCCTTCAGGAAAAAAGCCAACACAAAACCATGAGAGAACCCCCCAAAAAAAAAATGGGGGAGAGACCTGGGTTCTCAAATCCCCCAAGAAGATCCAAGCACCAGGCCACCAGTCCCATGGGAGGCCTAAAACCACCGCTCCTGCCAGCCCTTTGGCTTCAGAGTGCACACGTCCTGACCGCGCCGAGTCCAACCCGAACGCCGCAGGGCGGCTCGTCCCCGGTTTTCTCGTCCCCGGATTTCTTCGAGCCCAAAAACTGGCTGGTGAGGACTCGGCGGAGGAGAAATGGTTCACGACACCAAAGCATCCCCTTTTTTTCTCCATCCAACTGGTGGTGTCCTTTATTCAAGAATCCCCAGGTTCATCCCCTCGTTCCCTACTTGTCGCACCAGCAAGAAACGAAAACGCGAGTGACCCGTTGAACGGCATGGATCACCGGGAGAATTCCTTGCGGAGGGGAAAAGAAACACCTGGAGTTCGGTGCCTGGCTTTGGGGCTGGGGCTGGAACCCCTTTGTTTGAACCCCAGTTAGGCCCCTCTGATCTTTGTCGGCCTCACTGCGTCCCAAGAAAAACGGGCTGATCAATCCATATCTTGTCTATATAATCCAGGATTCGAGGGTACGACTGCGTCTTCAAGGGAATGGCAGCTGCGGCCGGACAAAAGTGACAATTCCTCAAGGCCTGCCATCTTGCCAAACCCAAATACCCTCCTTGTCTTCCATCCCCACAAAACTCATCCCACTCTGCCACATTTGGCTGGAGAACATCAAAATAAGTGGCAAATGGATGTTCATCCACCCCAAAATGGAGCCGAAGATTATGCCCCATGGCCATTCGGAGCGCGATTGTATACAGAGACAAACAGCTACAGGCGGATCGCGCGGTGCACGTACACAGGACTGCTTGGCCTGACAAAGGCAGCTGCAACTGCCTCTCCCAAATTTGTTGTCCCAGCCGGACAGCAAGTGGCTGCCCGGCCAAATCACATGTTTGTATGTTTGACTGCAGTTCGCCGTGGCTTGTCAAGGAGCTTCAAAAATGTGAGGAAGCACAGACACAACGACACAACCGACAAAACGAAGCGAAACCAGGAGCTCCGCTGGCCGAAACCACGCGACTTTTTCCCCCAGAAAGCAGATGAACCTCGAGCCAAACGCGGCCCTCGGGAATCGGAATCGGGGAATCGGACTCCTCGTCCACGCGCTCCAGGCCCGTAAAGGCGTCGAGCCCGAAGCTGCTGAGGAGCTCCACCTGCCCGAGCTCTGCAGAAGTCTGCAAGATCGGCCTGGGAACCCAAACACCAAAAGGACGAGCATGCCAAAGACCTAGACACCCAAAGGAAACCTTTCCCTCGTAACCAACTTCCTTGCCGAAACCCCACCCCCGCGCCTCCAAGCAGAGGCAGCGCAAGCCATTTCGACCTGGTACTGTGAAGCGCATTGGTATGTATAAGTTGTGTGTGTGTATATATATATATATACATATATATATATATATTATATATATATATATGTATGCATTTCTTGGCATGGGGTGTCGTTTACATTACATTTGGGTTTACATCCACCAACCTTTTGCGAGGTATTGCGACCATTGAAGTTCACAGCCACATCTTTGAATATGCCGGTCCTTGCTCATCTCGGCAAAAAGAAACCTCAGTTGGAGATTCACTTAGTCCATGCCTTTTTCGGCCTGGACATCTCAACCTGTGTCATCAAAGCCTGCGCAGTCAAAACTGAAGACTCTTCCAAATGCTCCTCCAAATTCAAGCAACACAAAGGTCGGTGCCGCGCCACCGAGAAGCTGTTTGCCACAAACGCGGCAGGCTCATGAATGACCAATTGAAACCTGAACCTTTTGCGCCGGCCATACCGAAGCTGTGGCCGGTGCGACTGTTCACTTGAGAGGTGGGTGAACGAAAGCTAGCCCAACATGATGTGCGACCCAGTTGCCAAGATATTGAGAATAGCAATCCTACATGATCATCCAGAAAGTCATTAAGACCCAAACTTGGGCGCGGTTCGAGGGAGACAGGTTCCCCAGCAAGCATCTAAGCATGTGGACGAGATGCGAATATGCTCGGGCGGACCAGGGAGGAATCAAGCCCTGAGAAAGCGGGGGAGGGGGGTGCGATTCATTTAGAGGCCCCCACCCCACCCCACCCAACCCAAACGGGCATTGTGGGAAGCTCAGCTAATCAGAGCACCACAGCTAGTTTTCGTGATAAGCCGTCATGCAAGCTCTTCACCCGCCTCCCACGCCTCCCACGCCTCCCACGTGCTGCGCCCTGCCTGCAGTGACGGTCACCGAGTTGCACGCGTCGCCCCGCAACACGCTGCGCTCCCCGAAGTAGTCGCCCCGCCGCAGCTCCCGCAGCGGACGCCTGGCCGAAGATCGGCCGAATCCGAAGCGAAGCGAGGGCGGCGTCGAACGCGGAGAGGCCGGCCACTGGCTAGATGGCTGTGGTGGTCAAAACCCTGGTACCCCCCTTACCCCCGAAGTTCCCCTGTCAAAATGAACCAAACAATAAGGGGGGTTACCCAAAAACGGGTATCTGGATTTTGACCCACAACCAGATCTGAAAAGTAGTCTGTGTTCTCAACGCAGGGATCAACACGCGAATCAAGAATGAGAACCCCTTTTCACATGCGCTTGCTTTGACACGGAGTCTTCTCACATGGGCATAGTGGCATACCTGCGAATCAAACAAACCTGGAGTATTGCGCGATCAGTGCGAGCAGCACTACCTTTGATTCAAAGTCGAGAAAGTGCACATACAGGATGCCGCACCTTCCAAAACGAACAAAAAATATGAACCTGCTCGCATATTGGGCATACCTGCTGGGCTACCAACAAACAACATCTTTCGTCGCACTTGCTCCAACTGGCCATGAATGAATAACAACTGACTATTTATCGCTTCTATGCTTCCTGAGTAGAGAAGTTCGATATTGGACAAAAAACATGTATGTCGTTGGCAAGTTGTTTGGGGTTCAGAAGAGAAGACCTTCAAAAGCAAGGATGCTCCATGTCCCACAGTTACAGAGGTAAACCATAGATCTTCTACGCTCAAAACGTTGGCTCAACAGCCCTTGAAACGTTACTGCCAAGGGCTCACGGGCCAAAAAAGTGCAACTCAGAACCCCTTTCCCCTTTCCAGCGCGCCCTTGCTTGGACACCAGCGCGCTGCCGCCGTCTACGATGTACCACTGTGGCGTGTACCGCTGCTTGCCCTCCTGGCGCCGAAAAGGTACCTGCGGTTTCCTTTTCGAACAAACCATGGCTCCTTTGAAAAAAGACATCCTGAAGGTTGTTGCTCTCAGTTTGGCATCCATGTCGCTCAGGTGCAGTTTGCGCTTGAAAGCGCTTACCAGCTGCCAACTAGGGAACCCAAACTGCAAGAGAGCCTGTCGGCAACCTGGATCCTACCAAGCAACATGTATTTTCAACTTCCGGAGTGCGCACAAAGAACTGGATATTACCACGTGCCACTTTTGCGGGACAACCGATGCCCATGCCGTTCTTAAACTCTGCCCTGCTCCTATCATCCACCACCGCACTTCCTTGATGTCGGTTTCTTTTTTCTGACTAAATCATCGGCTTTTGTCTGGGTCTTTCTTCTCTCCCTCCCCTCTCTCACTCAGATGCAACTGACAGTCGATTTGACAAGCACTTCTGCTCACCTTCATCCTGTTGTCTGTTGCGTGTGATCCTCTTCACAATCCGTGTCGGGCACGCTGGGATTCAAGCAGTTGACACACATCAATCTCTAAACTTGATCTTCAGGTTTCTTCGGGAGTGGCTGACAGCAATGCAACTATCTAAAGGCATTTCTCAGGCTAGCCCTATGGGGCGCCTCGTTGATCCCTTCCCACTTGATAGGGGCACTTGATGTGGGAACCGGCCGAGAACGCGAGCCTCAGGTTCGACTGATGCGTATGGCATCACCTTTTGGCCGGTCTGGCTCTTCAATTGGATGCTTCGAGCACCAGATTCATCAACCCAAACGAAGTATAAAAGAGAGAAAAAAAGAGAGAGAGAGAGAGAGAGAGAGAGAGAGAGAGAGGGAGAGAGAGAGAGAGAGAGGAGAAGGAGAAGGAGCGTACAGGGCTGAGTTCCAGTCCACTTGTCCCATCATAAACCCAGGTACATACCATACCATCATGCGCAGGGTCTCCTCCAAACCCTCACCCTCACCGCCCGCAACACCGAAACCCCGGCCCTCGCCTGCAGCACACATTTGCCGGCCGCGAAGCAGACCTCCCCGGTGCAGTTCCGGGCGAGGTCCCGCCTCGAAAAGTTTGAGGCACGCCATGACGCCATGTATCCATCCACAAGAGAAAGCCGATAATCGCTCTCAATCCACGCGTACCTTTGGATTGTATTTTTTGGGAGCCAGGCGGAAACATGCTTTTTGTGGAACTACAAAACACGGAGCTGAACAAAGATAAGACAGGCATGCAAAGGTTCTAGACAGGCCACTGGCAAACAGGAACAACATGGTCATAACAGATCATAAACGGTAGTATCGCAAACACAGACATAAGCAAATGCCAACCAATCACAACAGGCATGGATTAGTGCCATGACCAGCATGAGTTCTTCAAAAGGAACATGGCCATGGCGACCACCGGCCGAAGTCCAAAACCCCAAAACCCTGCTTAACCGCCAACAACAGCACCAACAGCCACCCACAGCCACCCACAGCCACCCACAGCCACCAACAACCCACATCCAGGCCCCCCCCTGCCCCCCCTGCCGCCCCTGCCCCCCCCCACCCGTGGCTTTTGACCGACCGGCAGCTTCCACCGTCGGAAGCTTCCGCCCCCCGCCTCTCGGAGTCGAGCAAGGAGCACAGGGCCCGCACCTCCGCCAGCAGCTTCACGCGCTTCCTTAGACCGGTTCCGGCGCCATCGCTGGGTCTGGGGGAGGGGGGGGGTCTGAATTGAGAGTTGGTACCCCCGTATTTTTGTGGTCTCCAAAAAGACAACGAGAGGAAAATTTGATGGTCGCTGGGTCTTCAGGGAAGGGGGGGTTCCTTTTTGGAGTCGGTACCCCTTTTTTGTGGTTTCCAAAAAAGGAGAACGAGAGCAAAACCGTTGCGCCATGTTTTTTTGATTGGGGGGGGGGGGGGAGAGGTGTCCCCAAGCTTAAGAAAAGACGACCCCGCAAAGACGACCCCCGTCCTGGGCACCTGGGAGGCTCTTCGACGTGAAGGGATCCGATTCCTATTTTGAGACAAGGTGCGCAATGGCTTGAAGAACCCATCCTCTAAATCAGCTGTGATTTGGGTTTCAGGGGCCCTGAAATAAACAAGCCCAAAACACGGGTTGCCTTCCCATGTACCTTCTGTTGACTCTCCAGTTTGCTGATACGTGACAAGTGTCTTAAGCATCCTAGCGTGATGCGGCGAATGTGACCCTCAGAGGACATAAGCAATGTGACCCAAAGGTATCACTGGGCCCTGGCCCTTGACCAAGTCGGTAAGGAACTACGACCTCGCACAAAGGGCCACTTCAAGCGACACAGCTTTGCGACGAAGAAGAATCTCCAGCTTTTGGTCCGACTCACGATGTGAAGATACAGCGGCTGTAGGACGGGCTTGCCTCCATTGTCGCTGACCGCATTTCGCACGGTGCTTTGCCTTTGGCTTTCTTCCGCGCATTCACACTGGAGCTGGTCGTGGCCGCTGGGGAGCGGATTTGAGATGTGTTGATGCACGTCGTCATTTTGTGTTCGGTTGGTTGACAGTCAAGAGGGACATGTGCCGACTGTTTTTGGAGGGACAACTGTTGGTTCTTCATGACAGACAATGCATCAGTGAGGATGGTGACAGACTCAAGTCAATGAGCATAGCCAGCTCGCTGGCATTCTCAAATGGTCGCGGGAACTGTTGGTGCTTTGGGAAAACATGGAGTGACCGCTTGTGGTGTCAGTTCGAGCTTGCTGCCTCTTAAAGAGTAAACAACAATGAACAAAGGCTTGAGATACGACCTACATTCCTGGGAGCATGCGCGTGTGTACTCTTCACTGGTACAACTATCGCCGGTGTACGTTTAACTACTCTTTCTCTTGTGGAGGCCACGGTTGTCGATATGCACTTTTGGGCACTGCTCTTTTCTTTCTTATGTGTTGGTGTTGACATTCCGAATTTATTTCCATGGAGTAGCAACACTCAAGAGTGTCCCTAAGCTTCGACACCGACAGCGGGTGCTTCATTTCGGCTGATCGCCAAAGAATGGTATTTCCATTTGATGGTGGCGATCGCAAAGAAGCTTGAACTCGGGCCCTTTGGCGAGAACCAAAGGGCCCTTTGGCGATGCCCATCTTTTCGAGCTCCAGCGATGCGGCTTTGGCGCTGTGATGCTGGCGTTGCATTCTTGCCTGACTTCACGACTTGGTTTCGCTTGCAATGTGAACAAATTCATCGTGCTGCTGGCCCTGCCAGGCTTTGGTACTGCGGCGGCGGCGAAACAAGGCTTGTCCGCTTGGTCGGCAGCTTGTTCCGCAAAGACATGGAATGCGCCCTGTCCTTCGCTGGCTTTTGGTGCGTACTGTCAGTGTTTCACCTTTGCATGACTCTCAGTTGCAGGCTGAGTTGGTTGAAAGGCCCTCACTTGCCGTGATGCCGACCTTGCAAACATTACAACAGATGCGGAAGAGCTAGGAAGGGAGGCTTTTATTGTTAGAACAAATCCGTGCTCAAGAATGCTCAAGATATCTCGAATTTGTGCTGCTTGGCGTGCGCCTCCATTGTCAGTCTACCACAGTCTGGGAATTTGTTGTCCGGTGTTTTCAGATTTTGGGTGAATCGTGTGAAACGAGGAAGACATTCGGTTTCTTCGGCAACTCGTTGTGGCCTTCGGGCAAATCTGCAAGTGGCGATGTAGTGATCTTACAGCAAGGGGTCTCTGGACGCAGATCAGTGGATTGTCTAAATGATTGCTGCAGAGAAAAAAATATGGTTGCAGCAGCCCGTTGGGACAGGTTGGTTGGAAGTAATGAGAAGAACTCTTTTCAACGCACTTTGCTGGGGTCCAACAGTTGCACCTGGAAGTTCGGAAGACTTAGGATCGGCTCAAATGCCGTCGACTTATTCGACTGGGAGAAGGGGTGTAGTGTAAGAATGTCCGAAATTTACGCACCGTAGCGCTTCCTCTACAGCCTCTAGAGGAACAGGTTTGGATACTCTACATGTCAAACATCGATCCTTGAAATTCTGCACGCTGCACCCATGGAAGCTTCAACATCCTCAACTCTTGAGTGCCTTGACCTTGAAAAATATTGAAAACTGATCTCGACAACTATCTCGACAAATGAAGCATTCAGAGAGGCGGTATGCACCTTGAGCATTAAACTAGACCACGGTTGGCCCGAAAGCAGAACATCGCAAGCGAGGTCGGCCCAACGCTGCAGGATGCGTTCTTTTTCCCTACACTTCGTGAAGCAAGCGCGAGACAGCACCAGGCAAGGTGCTCTGCGCAAACTGGTCGGTGCAAGTTGGTCTGCGCAAGTTGCTCTACGCAAGTTGCACTGTGCAAGTTGCTCTGCGCAAGTTGCTCCGCGCAAGTTGCTCCGGCAAGTTGGTCCCTGCAAGTGGCTCCCTGCAAGTTGCTCTGTGCAAATTGCGCTCCCTGCAAGTTGCTCTGTGCAAGCTGCTCTGTGCAAGTTGCTCTGTGCAAGTTGCTCTGCGTAAGTTGCTCTGCGCAAGTTGCTCTAGGCAAGGCGCTCTGCGCAAACTGGTCGGTGCAAGTTGGTCTGCGCAAGTTGCTCTGTGCAACTTGCTCTGCGCAAGTTGCTCTGCGCAAGTTGCTTTAAAATGCAAGTTGCATCTTGCGACGCCCGCCCGCGGACCAGGGAGGAATCGAACCCGCGACCCGCCGGTTCCGGGAGCAGGCGCGCGAACCACGAGACAACTCCCGAGGACCAGTTCGAACAACAAAAGTCGCAAAAAACCTCGAGTTTTTGCACCTCGACCACGCCGATTCCCGCAGAGGGTTGCGCGAGCACCGCAGAAATCGCAAAAAACCATGGGTTTTTGCACCTCGACCACGCCGATCCCCGCAGAGGGTCGCGCGAGCACCGCAGAAATCGCAAAAAACCATGGGTTTTTGCACCTCGACCACGCCGATCCCCGCAGAGGGTCGCGCGAGCAGGTTAGAAATCGCAAAAAACCATGGGTTTTTGCACCTCGACCACGCCGATCCCCGCAGAGGGTCGCGCGAGCAGGTTAGAAATCGCAAAAAACCATGGGTTTTTGCACCTCGACCACGCCGATCCCCGCAGAGGGTCGCGCGAGCAGGTTAGAAATCGCAAAAAACCATGGGTTTTTGCACCTCGACCACGCCGATCCCCGCAGAGGGTCGCGCGAGCAGGTTAGAAATCGCAAAAAACCATGGGTTTTTGCACCTCGACCACGCCGATCCCCGCAGAGGGTCGATTTTCGTGTAGTGTCGTCGGCACTACCCCGCCGCCCTAAGAAGAGATTTTAACTCCTCGCAAGTCAATTGCACTTGACTCCTTGCACTTGCAACTTGCGCTTGACTCCTTGCTTGTTTCAAGGAGTCATTGCAAGCAGTCATTGCAAGGAGTCATTGCAGGAGTCATGCAAGGAGTCATGTCATTGCAAGGAGTCATTGCAAGGAGTCATTGCAAGGAGTCATTGCAAGGAGTCATTGCAAGGAGTCATGAGAGCCATTGCAAGTTGCAAGGAGCCAAGTGCATGGAGTCAAGTGCAAGTCGCAAGTGCACGGAGTTAAGTGCAAGTTGCAAGTGCAAGGAGCCAAGTGCAAGGAGCCAAGTGCAAGGAGCCAAGTGCATGGAGTCAAGTGCAAGTTGCAAGTGCATGGAGTCAAGTGCAAGTTGCAAGTGCAAGGAGTCAAGTGCAAGTTGCAAGTGCAAGGAGTCAAGTGCAAGTTGCAAGTGCAAGTCAAGTGCAAGTTGCAATGCTTGCAATGACTTGCAATGCAATGACTCCTTGCAATGACTCCTTGCAATGACTCCTTGCAATGACTCCTTGCAATGACTCCTTGCCATGACTCCTTGACTCCTTGCAATGACTCCTTGCAATGACTCCTTGCAATGACTCCTTGCCATGACTCCTTGCCATGACTCCTTGCAATGACTCCTTGCCATGACTCCTTGCAATGACTCCTTGCAATGACTCCTTGCAATGACTCCTTGCAATGACTCCTTGCAATGACTCCTTGCAATGACTCCTTGCAATGACTCCTTGCAATGACTTTTATGATGATGATTCCTTGTAATGACTCTCATGAGAACAACTCAAGTGAACCCAGCGGAAGAACCCTTCGCCATGCTTTCGGGAAAACAACTCTTATAAGCAATCTGTTTGACTCTTTCTGAGGGTCGTATTTCATCGGTTCATCTCATGTTTCACCGCAAACAGTGACCATGCAGCTAGGTAGATCTGCTGGTTCCAGGGTCCACTGGAACAAGTTGTTGAATATGATATGGGAATGTGGCCAAGAAAGCCGAGAGTCCACAGACTCAGAAACATGGCCGCTCTGTTGGTGAAAATCTAGGAAAACGATCGATGAAATTCGATCAGCAAAGTTTGTATGGCATGAGGCGGAAGAAAAGTGATCCACATTGCGAACCTTGCAGGCCGGCTTCAGCTAAACATAGGGCCCGCTGCCACAGGGTACGTGACATGTATCAACATGGGGGAACCGCGGACCGCGAGGACCCCACAACCGTCGGACGATATTACTTACTTCCCGAATACGCCGTACGTCATCGCAGAATTGGGTAGGCCCCCATCGGCTTTCAAGGTTTTCACTACCTTCTATAACTCAAGACTTCGTGGCGCACGTCTGTTAGCTGAAAACGCTGAAAGCATGTAACTGCTACTAGAATCAAGCTCACGCGACTAGGGCCCAATCAGTCGTCGTAGTTTTCGCTCCGTTCCAGGCGTGGGTGCGTGTGTCTGCCTCTGCTTGTTGCGCGTGCTGCCTTGGCCTAGTGGGCGCAGGGCGGAACAGGGGAATGGTGGAGCAGAGATGGCAAGTTGTTGTGCTCAGGGACCCACGGCTGTCTTGACAGCTCGCCTGTGTGCCTGCTTTGGGGAGTTCACGGCTGCGTGTCTGACCGATCCAGAGCCTTGAACTTCAACCGCAATCTGTTTCGGAGGCTGTTCTCCACGGTCACGGTCCACACTGCCATGACTTCAACAAAAGGGCTTTTGCGACAAACATGTAGCATTGCAAGTATTTACTCTTATGGAGGGGCATCGGAAGACCTCTTGGGTAGGCCATGGTAGGCCCCCATCGGTTTTCAGGGTCCTTGATAGGTTTTGGAGATTGTGAGCTAAGTGATGTCGCGCCGAATACAACCGCTGTCATTCAATAATATTGTCGGGTACTCATGTGTGTGTGTGGTGCTTCTGGTCAAGATTGGGGACCCCATTTCTTTAAGCGGGGTCCCCTTGGTTTCCCATTACTTCCATTTGGTTGAGATGTCCAGTGATAAACTCCTTTCAAAACCAAGAGGGCGAAAAAAAAGAAGAAAAAGAACAGCGTAAGTTGGCTTAACACCAACCTACAGCAAATGGAAGCTTCCCTTGGTCTAAACCAAGTGACAAAATCTCTCAAGCAAATGGAAGAATTGAACACCACCACCCAGCGCTCTCCGATTTCAAAAGGCCAGGGCGCTCCAGCTGCTCATTGTCACCCCTGCGCCGTGTCGTCCCATCAAAAACCCATGGGACCCTACGGGAGCATACCACAAAAAACAACGCACGCACGCACGCACGCACACGCACACGCACACGCACACGCACACGCACACGCACACGCACACGCACACGCACACGCACACGCACACGCACACGCACACGCACACGCACACGCACACGCACACACACACACAAACACACGCACGCACAAGGGATGGAGGCCCTTGCCCCAAAAAAAAAAGGCCCAAAAGGTGTGGACCAACAAAAAGTCCATCCAGTTGGGCGGCTGGCATGGTGCGTTTTCAGAAAGCGTGCGACTGTTTCGCTTGTGTGGCCAGGGCCTGGCAATCCAACGCAAGCTTCCTTCGGCCCCTCATAGTTCATTTTTCAAAAATCCCGTCATGTGCCCTCTACCTGCCCTCTGCCTGCCCTCTACCTGCCCTCTACCTGCCCTCTACCTGCCTCGTACAAGTCAGATGAACAGAAACGTCCTGTGGTACTCAATAATATCCAGCACGCCGGCTTTACCAGACGTCAGGGACTTTCACACGGAACACGCACGAAAAGAAAATCAGCCCACGGGTCAGCAGTCATTTCGCGCCTCTCCCAAAGGGAAACCCATTCCAACGTGACCAAAGGCGGAGGTCAAAACATCAAAACAACTGTCCTGCCTCCTAAGATGGCCCCTGTGAGGTACCTGGAAGATGAATTTCCTCTTGAAGGGACCGGGTCCCTGTCAGGTGCCCTGCAAACGTGGGAGGAAGGGTAAGATCTACTGGCCTACAGATTAACCAAGAACAAAACCTTTGTAGAGGAAGCTCCATTCGGGAAAATCAGACCGCCCCCCTTGGGTTCCTTCCAAGTGATCTATTGGACGACCAACCTGCCGGCTGTCGCCTCACAAAGCACTCCTTGAAATCGGAGCGGTGCACAGCGTAGAGCTGCACGTCCGTGTCCACCGCCTCGGGTCCAGAAACCCACCGGAAACCTACTTGGGGTTGAGAAACCCCACCAGAAACCACTGTGACATATTTGGATTCAAGAAGAGATTTGAATGTTCCATGTCCCCGTAGCACGTGGTTGTCATACTCCTGCAGGAAAGCCTCCTAGAATCTCGGCTTTTTTGGGGCCAGGGTCTTGCCAGAAACGTATCAATGTCCGGCAAATTGGAGGGTTTGGTCAAAAAAGGTTACCAAGCAACTAGGGCCTGCACAGCTGCTTTCAGTCCATTGAAACAAAGAAACGGAGATATGACATGAATGGCAATCCCATAGCAATCATGTTCCCCATGTGCAATATTTTGGAACAGGGAAGCATTCAGAGCACGCGGAATCCACAATACTGTTGCGAGAATCCTCGATTCAACAAGCTATGTGGTAGTTCTATCATGGTGTTTGGAAGGGAAACGGAAACGAACTGGGCGGTCACCCCAATTCATTCAACCGACTCTCGACCAGGGACTTTCGGTAGAAACTGGTCAGCGATTTTTCGCAGCTGGGTCGTGCGGCACTCAATTTGTGCCCAAAGCGAGTGCCAAGGACAGAGAGAGCACAGAGTGACAGAGGTTCAGCTGAAACTGGAAGGCTTTGCATCAGCTCGACAGAACATGATGATTCCCTACCCATTGCCAATCCCGGCTCAAGCAGTGAATGAAAGCTCAAGATATTGCAAGCATGCCACATGCACAGCATCGAAACGCACTAGTATAACAGAGAGAGAGAGAGAGATACAGGACCAAACAACAAAGAAAGCAACAAAGAAAACGAGACCCCCATAGATTGTCTACTCGCCCAACAAAGGATTGCAGGATATGCCTTACTGTGGTACTCTTCAAATTGAATTGAGCTTGCGTGAGCAGGCGGTTTCAAGTTCCTCACATCGTTATGTTTAGTGTTCGCTCAGGATCAACTGCAACAACGAACACCTCTGGTTTATCCCTGCTTGTCGACCCCATCAGCTGCAACAAAAAGATTGCCCCTGGCCCCCAACCCCCAAAAAAAATTCAGCCGGAACCACCTAGCCCCCAGCCCAAAATTCCATCCCCTCAAACCACCTAGCCCCCAACATCCCCAACTTCCATTGGAACCAAACGCCGCCTTTCATCCAGCAACCCAACCCCCCGCTCTGAAATCGCCCAGGCGGCCGCCCGGAAGGTCGCCAGGTGCCGGGTATTGTACAGCAGCGAGATCTGGAACGCGCGGCGAGAACTCCCCCCAGCTTTTGGCGCTAAGGACACAGGAAAACCCGTGGATTTGAATGAGGATACCCGTCCAAGCTGCGAAGATCTCGAAAAAAGATGAAACAAGTGGTCTTTCTTTTGGGGGTGGGGGGGAACGCTTCTTGACCCCGGAAGTCCGAACAACGTGCCATGTTTTAATTTATTCAAAAAGAAGAAAAAAATGAAATCCGGGCTCAGCCAAGCCTGGCATCAAGTCCATCGGAGTAATCCCCTTGCGTGGAAACCACGACAAACACCTGGGTTTTGTCTCAAGATGTGGGAACCGGGACCCCACAACTTTAACGAATGGCTGTCCCTTACAGCCAACCCGAATGCGCCCAACGCCCGCCTCGCCAAAGACGTCCCCCGAGTGCATATGTAGCACCGTGTCCTCGTCGGAACATTGGACACATGAGGTCGGTCTTAAAACTAGGCTGGAATTAGGACCCCAGCAAAAGATTATCTTTTGCCTGGTTCGTGGAAAACAAAGGGAACCCAACAAAAGCAAAAAAATAAAAAGAAACTAATTATGGGCATCAATGATCTTCGTAAATCAGACTTTCCAGACTGGCCAGTCGTGAACTCGCTGGGAGCAAGAGTATTTTAGGGGCGGGTTCGGAGTCTTCTGCACCAAGGCGCGCTATGGCAGATGTAGTGCAAACCCCGTGGTTGGTGTCCTTTTGGTTTCCCTTTGAAACCAACCGAAAAGGGTACCCTTCAAAAAAGGAAACACCCATGATTGCATAGATTGGGATGGGGAGACCTGGAGCTAGTGCCCCATAATTGACCAGGTTCCTGATCCTTGCCAGCTATGACCAGGCCCTTGTTTGGTCGTGGCAAACACCATGCCCAGGGCCAAAAAATGCTGCAGCTTAGACATCAGTACAAATAACCTTTGTGAAATCACGGAAACCGCATCATGGAGGGCCCATCCCCAAAGCCCAACAGAACGCCGCACGTACAGTTGATGTCCAAGATGTCGCGAGCAAGGGAACAAGTCGAAACCTTGCAGCTTTCTTCCGGTATGTGGCTGTGGCTCAAAAAACCGGTGCCAGAATGGAACCCCTCCTGTTTAATTTTGAGCCACGCCCATGTGTCAAAACAAAAACAAAACAAGAAAAACAAACAAACAAAACAACGGATGCCCCCCCCCCCCTCCCCGTTTTGGGTGGCTTCCCTGAACTTCCCGTCGCCAGGTACTCAAAACCCCTTTCACCTCCACCTCCGCGCCTCACGGGCCAAGACCAGGTCGCAGTGCCTGGCAGTTCGCGCGCGATTGGCCCGCTAGGGCACCAGGGCGCAGCTCTAGATCATCGAAACCGGGGGAATGATTCTACCATGTTTAATAAATCGAGAGACAAATAAATAAATAAATAAATAAATAAACAAATAAACAAACAAACAAACAAATAGATAAATAAATAAATACATAAATTAAAAAAAAAAAAAAAAAAAAAAAAAAAAAGATATATATCATAATAATAGTAATAGTAATAATATACTACTAATAATAGTAATAATAATAGTAAAAATAATAATAATAACAACAACAATAATAAGAAGATATATAATAATAAGAAGAATCAGAATGATAATAATGATAATAATAATAGAAACAAATAAACTGATTCGGATTCACTGCCAATTTTCCTCACCCCGAACAAAGACGAAAACAAGAGACAAAATGGCACAAGGTAAATACCCTGGTAAATGGAAAGGACTGAAACCTATCTTTTAGTGGCCTCAAATTTTGAACCATACCCAAATAAACCCTGGGTTAGATTCAGATTGGCCGCTGGCTGATTCATATTGTGGATGGAAGGGCTTCTGGCTGATTTCGCACCAGTTGGTAGGTAGGCTTTTCCCAGCAATTTGCAGGGCTTCATCCATCCCAACTGGTGCGAAGTGGATGTTGTCCAGTGAGGGCATCCGCCACTGGTTGGTGAATCCACCAGGTTGATTCTTGATTGGGCACCAAAGTTATCGCCTTGCCGCTGCCACAAATCCCCGCGCAACTTTCAGCCAGCGGACGAATCCGAGGAGTTGTGTCCACGTGCCTCTTGAACTCTGCCCTGGCATAACTGAGAATCTCAGCTCCATGCACTGGCCTTTCGATTCCTCCACATATGGTGCAGAACAATGGGTCCTTGCAATGTATAGAATTGAAACACAGTAGCCATGGCAGGGCATCATGGAGCGTCTGGACTCATGGGATCGCCCTTTTGCAGCTTGGCAGCATCCGTTGCATGTGGCACAAGATGGCACAAGTATCTCCGTAGCATTACCAAGTGATCTTGGCCTATGCCGAGGGTACATCTCCGTGACCCAACCCGATGCGCACAGCCATTCGAAGCCACATGCAAAGCCCCCACAAGTTGCTTGAGGCATCACTCCGTGGATCCTGCTTCGGCGCCAATTACAGAGCTTCAAACAAGTTCTGATGTTCAGCAACCCCGGCAGGACAGCGTTGCACAAGGAACCAGAGAAAAAACAGACCAGCTGTGTCTGATCCCTCTTGGCCCATCCAGCTGCGTGCCAACAAGTGAGCTTCAGGCAGGCTGCACGTGGTCAGACTCTTTATGCCGGACAGGGCTTCCAAATATGGTCCTCAACACGAACGATCACGGAGACTGGAATGTAAATGTATTAACCATGGGGCGCCTGGAAAAAACGCCGGCCTTTCACCGACGCCTTAGATGCCTTAGGTTTTCCCGTGCGTTATTGCGGTCTTCTGGCGTCCACTTGTGGATCCAACTGGAAATCTGCGACGTTCGCACTGGCATTGGATCCGACAGCGCCTGTAGATGTGGGCGCCCTTGGAAGGAAAGGCCACCACCACCCGGGAGTTGTCTAGCACCGCCTGGGTCTCGATGGTTCTTGAATTTTGTCCCCAAATTGGGGGACCACCCCCTTCCCAGAAAACGGAGGGCTTCCATGCAACCCAATCATCAAGGAGGGGGGGCCACAAAAAACGACACGCCTGTTTGCGTATTCATGACTCATTCAGTTACTCTTGACATCCATCAAATCCCTGGCGCCCCGAACCTGAAAGGGAACCCCTTTCCAAACCTAGACGACGAGTGGGTCCCGAAGCGTCACGCAATGAAGGTATTGGGCCCTTGGCTCCACATCGAAAATCCCAAACAGAAATGCGTCAGCTCAGCCTTTGCTCTAGGGGGAGTGTACTTTGCGAAGCAACTTCGTATTCATAAAAGTTGCAGGTGGTACTTTGCAAAAAAAAGTTCGCTCTTCGAGCTGCAGCGGCGAAAGTATACTGCGCGTACTGCTTTCGTACTCAAAACTTGCCGCGCTCTTGCGGGACCTGCTGCACGCCGAGAATTGCTTTACTTGAAAGTTGGTAGCTGGCAAATTCTACTTAGCTCGCTGCGATGCTCAAATCTAAGCTGCAAAAAAGTCCTCTTGCAGCTTTCGTGAGAAAAGTTGCCCTTTTCGAGCCGCAACTGGAAAAGCGTATTTTGTAGTCTACTCTCCTTGGCGCAGCGAGAGCACTTCGACCCGCCCATCCCCGCCGATGGCTCCCATCGGGCCCATCCGCCCAGAAACGAAGAACTAGAACTCCAAAAGAGAAGGTAGAAAATGAAAAGCTAGCTTGTGTTCTCAGAATAGCGGAGTAACACCCCAAAAGTTATCTGGCAATTTCATCAATAGAGTATCATCCGAGAAGTTGGCAGGTGGTTGCGCTGCAAAGCGTGACAGTCGTGTTCAAAAGAAACCCTCGCATGCTGTGACACAAAGGAAAACCGCAAGCAACTGGAAATGAACCCTCCCTTTCCCCGCCTGCACACGGCCCACCTCGGAATCCGCCTCTGGCGGCTCCGAGTTCTTGCGGGCGAAGCGCCCGAAGCCTCCGGAAGACGGAGCTCGCGACAACCCGAAGCCTCCCGAACGAAGCCTTTTGGCCCGAAAACCAACACGAGGGGCCTGAGACAAGGTTCCAAGAACCCCCTCGATGTGCGTTGACCAAAAATAACCAAAAAAGAAAAAGAAACGGGTACCAAAGTGCGCGGAGAACTGGACGTCCGAGAGCATCCCTCTCTCTCCCCAGCCCGCGCCTTGCACACGCGATTGGGCCTTCTCCCGCACCCTCTCACCCACGTAGAAGACCTTCTCCCCGGAAAAGCCCATCGTCTGCACCCGGAACCGCTTCCCGCCCTCGGGCGACATCGGCGCCGTGGTTGGTGGCTGATATTGCCCATTGCCACCATTGGCATGTCTCCAATTATGCAGACGCCGGCTGCTTGGCTGGTAGCCATGCGTTTATGCTTGATCAACGGCTTTTGTCCGCCATTGTCTTCAAGTATTGAAGGGCAAAAAGGACACTCTTCTGGAGTGACAAGCTCTATCTGTCGAAACACGTCAGCCGAGCTTCTGTGGACTTCTCGATCTCGATCTCCTCCATCCCTGACATTGGCACAAAGGTGAAGCTGTTAGGGTTGATTTCTCGGCCCTCTGATCGGGATTTTGGGACTGGTTACTATTACGAGCGAGCGTTTTGGCAAGAAGCCGTTTGGCGAGGGCGACCTGGCCTCCTGCCGAACATATCCTAAAACCCGATGCAACCAGTTTGCGGCTGCATCTGCCTGGTACAAAGCACTCTCCTTCCCATTTTTCTTGCCACCCATAGATAGCATGGAGGCAAAAGGCGTGCGGGTAAGGTTGACCAGCCTGCTCAAGATTCCAAAAGCTTTGTTTCTCCCATGCTGCTTTTGGAGATGCCCAAACCCGATGTTCCAAAGTACCAGCAAGGTGTGTCCCTTAGGCTCTGCACATTTCCCCCCTTTGGCTCTGAGTGAAACCAAACGCAAAACGCTCCGACAGCAGCGTTGGATCCGCTCCGGCTCCAAAGTCGCCTGCGAGGCGTCGCCCGGTCTTTTCCGCGCCCCGCGCCTTTCTCCACGTGGATCATGGAGCCGCCCCGCTTCTTCGGCTTGCGGCCTGGAGCGGATTTCCCTGGAGCGGAGATGGAGGTGCGAGTTTTCACTTGTGATCAAAGGGTCCTAGGACAAATGACACTTGTGGAAGGGATACACTCAAGGGGAGGTGTGGATGAAGCAAGAAGCAGAGCTATGCCGTCAAACATGAACCAACCGAGCACGTAGATGCGTCGCATGCTTGTTGGCCGGCGAGTTGCCTTCCACATGCCCTTCTTTGCCTGCATCGTTCCAAAGTATATATGACTAGGTCCTCCAGTAGAGAGGTTGGAATAACGGTACCGTTTCTTTTTGCTGTAGTCTATTTTGGTAGGGTCCCGAACCCTCCCGACCAAAGGGGAGAGAAGGGCACCTAGCTGGAGGCTGGGGGGACCTAGATGATTCGAAGGTGGGCCCGGCACCTGGCAATCCAACCAGCGGCCGACGGGGCGTCGCCTGCCATGGACACCGGCGCCGACGCCGCCTCGTCCCCGCGCAGCAGGTCCTGGCGACGGGTATAGTTGGACCTGGCTTGTGCCGCCTTTTGAGGCAGAAATAATAATGTATGGTGTATCATTATTATTATTTATTTTTTTTATATTTAAAAAAAAGAGAACATGGCCACGAAAGTTTGCACTCCCCGAAAAATAGATGAAGAGAAGGCCCAAACCCATCCCCTTCTCCCCCCCCGCCTGGAGCAGGGCTGCCTTCCTCGGAGAGTCGGAAGCTGGGGGGACTCACACAGATTCAATCCATTTCATGGGGGCCAGATGGCCTTTTGGTGCTGCCCACCGCCTCAAGACCAAAGCTCAGGTGATGTCCCCAACAGCGGTGCTCTTTTTGGTGCTCGCACCACCCCGCAGCCCTAGAACCTCGTGGAACCCTCGTGGAACCCTGGTGGAACCTTACCTCAGGGCCGCCCCGGATCACCGCGGAGCCTATCTGGGCTGAGACCCCAAAGCTGTCAGCTGCTGGGGAAAAAAAGACTGAGAGTTTGGAAAAATGGGTGCTGCCCAAGGTGCCGTCTCAACCCCAAAGACAACTGAGAATTTGAGAACCCACGTAGTCAGAGAAGCAGATGCCAGGAGCAACCAAGGGTTTAGATGCACTCCGCCCCCCCTCCACCCGCGGCTGCACATGCTTGGGGCAAACCATTCCCAAGAACGTTACTGTCCGAGTGAACGGGGTCCACTGCACGGCAAAAGTGCAAACCCTCAGATGTGGGCACGCGAGCCGGTGAGCATAGCATCGTCACACACAAGTTTTTATGGAAGAGCGTGCAGCCCCTTCATAGGAAGTCATGCCCTCTCGCTGGCGCTAGTGTTCCCATATGGTTGCAGCCGAACCTCAAGACAGAAGAATTATTGGCCTTGATCTGTGGCTTCCCCCCAATCACAGCCACCGCCTCCTTCCCCACCCCAGCCAGCCGCGGCTCTGAATCAGCTTGCTCGACAGAGACGTCTTCTCCGCGATCTCATCTGCCCCGGTACCAGTACCTCCATCGAACGGCAAGCCGCCGGTTTTGGGTGTCGAGGGTAAGCCGGATGGAGAGACGGCAACCACCAGCTGCACCAACCACCAGCACGTGGTCATCCAGACGGCCACTCTGTTCAGCACAGCAACTGGGGATCTGCAGCCACAGAAGCACCACGACTAGAAAGCCGACTACAAGAAAACAGCACCACTGGGAAAAACCTCCCCTGATTCTTCTGCGACACTGGCCGCCCCACAAAGACACCCCAACTCAGTCTTTCACGAGCTGCAAGAGTGTACAACTTTCGAGCCGGAGCTCGTCGCAGTGGGCAACGCTCACCTTAGAACCTTGACTCCGGCGATGCAGTGGTTGGGCCCGCACGAAGCTTCGGGTGACCGCCCAATCATCCAGGGCTACCAACAGCCACAAAAGCCCAACACCATCTCTTCACCCACCACCTCACCACACCTGTTTCCTCGCTCTTGCGCCTCACCTCACCACCGCACCTCACCACCTCACCACCTCACCACCTCACCACCTCACCGCCTCACCGCCTCACCGCCTCACCACCTCACCACCTCACCTCACTTCACCCCAGCGACGGCCACCAGCCGTCGGCCTTTTCGGAGCTCCACGGGCACAGCTTCCGCTAGGCCGTCCCCCACGATGAAGAGGTACTGCCCCCACTCCGTGACCCGAGAGGAGATCCGGGCAGTCACTTCTACAGTGCTGTGGGCGGTTTGGAACTCCACTTCGCACCACTTTGAAACAATGGAAAACCATGACGTTTGTTGGTATTTACAGGGGAATCTTCATTACAGGGTTTCTTGGGCGGTTCGAAAGGGATTTCGACCAGCCACAGTGTGGACTAGAACTGGGCAAGATTCCCAAAGATACGAACACTGCCTTGTAAATTGTGGTTTCCCTTTATTTTGGTGGAAAGGCCATGTTTCAAATGGTTGCAAAATGTATCTTTTCAGGAGCCCTGTCCAAATGTTCACTTTTAGAGACCCCAGAAACATCCCCAGAATCCTCCCGTGGATTCCTCCCACCTCACATGGACTGAAAGAGGAATCATTTGTCGCGGCAAGCCGCGAATCCTTCCCCTTGGCCGATAGAAGTTCCGAGGGCCGTCCCTGGCAACCATCGTCCAGCGTCCAACGTCTGTTCTCTCTCGAGGGCTGGCGCGGTTGCCTGGGTCTGAGCTAAGTTTGAAGCCCCGAGTCTGCGTTCCTGAGGTTCCTCTTGCACAAAGAAAGACTTGTTGGGGGGTGTTCATTGGCAAGCCGCAAAGTCAAGTCCAAAGCGAACTTAAGTTTTTACACTCCGCAACATGCGTGTATCAAGAGAGTCAATATGAATAGGAGATGGGCATACAGCTCTTGGCCTCTGGCTGGCAAACATCGTTGATATTCAACTTGGCAACCGCCATCTAGCCCTGAAACCAAGAGTACGGGTCGAATCCTCCCCTCGCACCCCGCGGCAATTCCGCTCAAAACCTCTCCTCTGCGGCGCTGCCGCCTGGCTAAAAAAAGGATCGATCCCCTCATATGCAACAGCCCCCTATAGATCAGGTTAGGCCATTTATGGGGGTGGTACCCCCATGTTTAGTGGTTTCAAAGGGAAATCAAGAGGAAACCCGATGCGCCATTTTGGGGTGTCCCCCAAAGAAAAACAACACCCCCCATATCCCTGTGATTGGGCTTCGGATTCTTAGAAAGCACTTCGTGCAAAGCAGAGATTTCTGGGGAATCACCTTCTCAAGATTGCCCTTTGACAAGAACCTACACCCCCCTCGACTCAATCCGAACTACTTGCCAGACCCAATCAAACGGGTCTGTCTTTTCAAGGGAACCCTCTTTGGTTGGGTGTTAAAGGACAAGCACCATTGTTTTGTGTTTGATTTGTTTTTGTTGGCGGGGGCCGTGTGGTGAAAACTTAGGATCTATCTTGCAACCACCTTCTTTTGGGGTCTTGGTTTCTAGGGCTCCCTGTTCACAAAACATTTCCCCGGGCCAGCTTTTAGAGAGGTTTTTGTTTTTTCCGCAGTAAGGTTCCGGGGCTGTTGGGGATACCCCATTGGCGTTTGTCGTTTTTGTGGTCCTTTTTTTTTCAAAATCAAAACCCGGTATTAAAAATGGTCTACCCAGAACCAATGCTTCAAGAATGAAGAAGGCGGACATCCGCAGCTATGTATGGTTGGGTTTTTGTCCCTTACCAACCTTCAATTCTACCCCGTTTCTTTTTGCACGCGGCTCATGTTAAGCCCAAAAAAAAAAGGGGGAACAAAAAAAAAAACACAAGCCGCCGGGGCCGAGGGTTTTGAGCACTTGGCCTAGGTTAAGACCACCCCCAAAACCCGCGCTTTCAAAGCGCGCTTTGCGAAGGCCGAAACGAAATGCCGCGGCCTTCCACGATGATCCGCTGCATGGGCGCGCGGAGCCGCGTGGCCTTGCGCGCCAGGTCCCGCAGCGGCTCGCCTCGGCGGGTTTGGAAGCCGCGCGCCGATGCCACCGGATGGCTGTGGTTGTCAAAACCGTTTTGGGATCCAATTTTGATAGGTGAACTCACTGCCCACTTCACAACCGACTTTAGTGGTTGTATCGGGATGTTCACGGGTACGGGATTTTGACCCATGGCCAGATCTGCGAAAGGTGACGGGCAAACTTGTGGGTGACATTCGGACACCCAAGCACTAGACTAAACCAAAAGCAAAAAAGATCGTGTTTTTTTTTCAAGGAACCGGACGGCTGGGAATTACCGAGTTCCCAGTCCGCTGGGACATCTCTTGGCTTATCTGTTGCGTTGACACCGAGCTGCCCGATTGACAAGCTATTTGTGTCTTCCGGGAGTCTGAAACCGCATTAGATAGCAGCTCTGGAGAACCAACTTGTACATTGTGCATGGCTGCCTCGAGACTGTCCACGGCACGAGGCGTGCAGCAGGAACATTAAATCCAACATGAAGTCTGCTTTGGTCGGCGCAAGGCGGTTGTCAGAGTTGGGGAAATATGGTGTTCTTCCGCTGGTGTCCGTTCAAAACTACATGCAGTTCTAGAAAAGCGACATCCGAAACAAAACGCGGCAAGCTCTGTGAGGGTCTCGCAAAGGACACTTCGCCGGTCCTTGAAGAAGATAGAGTCCCCGTGCTGCTTCCATCCTTTCGTGGAGAAGTTGCCACTTCAGGAGGATGGTCTTCCAAGACACTCCCCTGATTGGACAGAAGATAGCGCCAGCCCACTTCCGCCTTCCCTTTGCTTGACGCGGCGCTCTTGCTCATGTCCATGGCCGTGCGAAGGTGCGCATTCCGTTTCAGGCTCCTGCGGGCCGCGCCAAGCAATCCGAGTGGGGGGCGGGGGGGTTTGGGGGGGGGGTCGAACAACTTGCTTGCCACGGGAAGGAGGCCTTAAGGTGGATAGATGCTGCCAGGGCATCTAAAAAGAATCGAACAGGGACGTGGGAAACTTTGAAACCAGAAGTCAGGTTCGCAAGAGAATGTGTGCTTATGAGCCCCTGATATTCACTTGTACGAATCCTGCTCGTGTCTTGCCAAACTGATCAGCAGAACCGGGCTATCCAGCTACTGACCCCTGCATTGGAGAGTCACTGATGCTCCCATTGAGCAGCCACCAGAAGCTGGACTCTATGGGCAACCCCTCAAAGCCAGCCCATTCAAATGACCCGAACTTCTTGGTTGCTGTTGACCCCCCTGCAAAAAGTTTAGCTTTTTCGGGGGGGGTTAGTGGAAACCCCTTGATTTCCCAAAAGTTAAAGCCTAAAGATCCAACCCAATAGCAGTCCTTCAAGCATCTCTGAGACTGTGTAAATCTGGGCACTTGACCGGCAATGGTCTGATCAAGTGATACGGATGGCCATGACGCCAAGGTCGGACAAAGCCGACCTCCCACAAAGGCTCGCAGGAAGCCTTCTGGGGGTACGGGCGGCAGCTAGCCGACTCTAGCCACAATCGGCTGTGTCCCAGCAAGAGGCACAGTGGCTGGAAAAGAGTGAAGGCTCTCAAAAGCAAGTGAGGCTCAACTTGGGAAAGGTGTCCTTTTAGGGGAAATCGATGGCCTGGGTAGATGATTAAACCACCAGGTAAACAAGGGCCATCTATTTTTCTACCAAAACAACCAAAAAGGACACCTATGGACACAACTCCAACTTTGCTCAAGACCACTCGAACTCCCAAAAGAAGAGACCACTTCGGCCACCAAAAGGCACCTGCCTACCAGTCGAGACAGCTCCAAACTGCCTCGATCAACCTATGCAGCCTCGAACTACTTGCCCGAGTAGTGGGACCTCCAAAGTGCGGACCCCCCCCCCCCCCCGGCTTGCGTCTCCCTGCAAATGGCTTGGTTTGCCTTCCAACGAGTCACCGAAAGGGAAAAACGTATCTACCTTGAAACCTCAAAACTACTCCTTCGCCAAAGTTGTTTAGTTGTGGGGAGCGTTCCTACCTCTTTTGTTTGCGCCCAAGTCGGTACTCTTTGCTTTAAGGGCAGCTCGCTCTTGAGCTACACGCCACCCAGCCGCGCCAACCACCAGATCCCAACGATCCCATCCCCCGACGCAGCCTCACGATGAAGCTCACCTCGTCCTCCTTGAGCTCCCCCGTGATGTGCTCCACCCCGGGCATCCGCTTAGCGAGGCTCTTGGCGTGCTTCGCACGTCCTGACCCCAGGCGACCCGAGGCGACCCGAGGTTTCAGGCGACGCAGGTGGGTTGACCGGGCCCCACCCCGAGCAGAGGCAGGTGATGGCCCCAAGACCCGCGACATCGGGCGACATGGGTCGAGGAATCCCTAGAACAGGATCCACTGGAGATCGGTTTTTCCACAACAGCAGGCGGCCATGGCTCGTTCCCTCGTCACGCACATGCCTTCCCAGGAAGGGAATCTGAGGTGTACGCTGACTTCAGAGATGCCGGCCCAACCAGTTCCCAGAAACCAAGTATTTCAACTCCCTTCCCTAACCCCTAACCCCCAAACCCCAAACCCCAACCCCCAACCCCCCCACCCCCAAACCCGGAACCTCCAGCACTCCCCAACCTGCAGCCCCTCCCACCCCTCCCCCCACCCCGAGCCCAACCCCGTCCTTCATACATGGCCTCGCGCCTTGGGAAGTGGAGACGCTCATGGAGGCCCAACGCCTCGAAGCGCTCGCCTCAGGTCCCCGTCGTCAGCTTCGGCTTCGCACGGCTCCGGCCGTAGGGGGGCGGGGGGGGGGGGGGGGAAAACAAAAAACGAAACAAGGGCGCCCCACACTTTTAGTTGGCATCCACACACTCGTACACTCCCTCCGGCAAACAGCCGGAAGCCCCCAGAAGGCCGATCCTGTAAATGGAATTAAATATTTCAAAGGGGTCCTGGGAGCTTCCATGTTTTCCTGGGGCAGGGTATTAAAAACGTCTAGCGTTGGTGCTAAAAATGATTATGGCTCAAAACCTGGTAAACCCACAGGGATTGAGTGTGGCTCAATTGGCGCTTCTCTGCCAAATGTGGAAGCTAGGTGTTGTATTTGGACCAACCAATATTTTGGAACGGGGCTTGGTTGGAGTGGGGTACACTGTTCCCAACAGCTTCATGTGCGTGAAGCTACTTGGCTAAGCGCTTCGGAGAAAATTACGTAGGTGGGTTTGCTGTCAGTCACGCGAAAAGTTGGGAGAGGGCTGCGCATTTGAGGAAAGGCGCTGTGATAAAAGTATTTGCCCCAATCTACATATACCTGTGCGCAGCGCGCTGGCAAATAGACTGAGTCTGGCACATGGCGGCTTCTGTGCGCTCATATATGATGTCGACCAAGCTTGGCGCAAGGAAACATATGTATACATGTACGTGTGTATATATTTATATATGTATATATTTCATATACACACATATCGGTACAATATTGAAAATGCTCTCGCAAGCAAATGGAGAACCAGAGCGAGTACAGGATAAGGAAAGGGATAAAGCGATCTGCTTTTGGACCACTCTACGCGCCTGAAGCCAAATGCATGGCTTGTATCTACTAATCCTGGCCACTTGGGCCGCTTTGGTGTTTCCCAAAATCATGGACCTCTTTTGGTATGGTGTAAAAGGAAAACCAAATGGGAAACAAACCACCTGGAGGGTTGCTTAATAAGAACACCCACTTCACGACAAGCCACTCACACCAAAACCCAACAAAACGGACGCAAGGGAGCAAAATTGTGGCGAGCTCCAGTGTAGGTTTGTTTGCAGTGACGAGGCAGTGAGTCATGGTAATTTCGCAAACTTGTGGTGCCCAGTCGATGAAATCCATAGCCGCATGGTCTAACTCCAGCCCCCCACCTCCCCACCCCCCCCGGAAGAAAAAAACACGTTGGTGGTGTGACGCATACGGTTGCAAAGCAAACTATTGTCGTTTTCTCCAAGCACTTAGGCCGTTTCCATCCTTCTTCGACCAAGGCTTGGATACTGCAATTTGAGAGCGACATGTCCAACTGCTGCGCAGTGCATTGTCGTGCCTTCCAGAAGCTTCCGAGTAAAGACACAGACCCTTCAGGCAACACCAGTAAACCAAAGCCTCCCCCGCCCAAACCAACAAGGTGTCCTGCAAGATGTCGCGACTTGACTTATGCTGATGCGATAGACATTCCAAAGCATGGAGGCCACACACACACACATGCACGCAATCATTCAGCATCGTGGCACGAACAAATCAAAACACGTATGTGATACAGCTTAAATATGCTTAAATCACATTTTCACGAGCATTGATCATGCGCACATGCTCCCGCGTCAGTTGTCGCAATCCTTGGTAATTGATGGTTTCTCCCTGTGATCGTGGGGCCAAAAGTGCACAAGCCCGCACTCCCAGTCCAATAACTTAGGTTCCCTTCAAACCATCCAAACAGCAAGTCCGCTTTTGGAGGCCCCACACACCCCAAACCGAACGGGGGCTTGGAATCAGGGAAAAAACAAACAGAAGAAGAAAGAAAACAAAGCAAACAGAACACAACCGCAAAAATCAGAACCCCCCCCAAGGAAAAGAAACACGCAAACAACATACAAAAAACCTTTGGAAAACAGAGAAGAAGCAGAGACTAGCACTGGAAAAGAAATGAAAACGGGACCTCCCTTTTTCGGTAGGGCGGCGAGAGATGGAGAGCACCGTGACCGGCCCCTCCGCCACCACCGAGGCCCGGAAGGTCCGCGTCTGCACCTCGCGCGGCTCGCGGTCGTCGTGTTCTTTTTTGTTCTTCTGGGTTGGACCCGAAGTGGGTGAAGGACCCGACCCGAAAAATGGCTTCTGCTTCGGTGTTTGGATTTTGGCGGTTGAAGAAAAGGGTGCCTTTGTGGATTGGTGTTCATGGTGCGGTTTTTTTGCGTTGAAGAAAAGAGTTTCCAAATGTGAATTTTGAACTCCCAAAAAGGTGGAATTCCTTGCCTGGGAACTGAACCTCAAATGGCGAGAAACCCAACTCTGCATGGTGAAACCCGCCCGTGGAGAAGCCCTTCGAAGAGAGAAAAACAACTCGAAGTGGCTCCCCAAATGCACTTGGCGCGAAGCTCCATCGAACAATCCGCAGCTGCATGGGATCCCCGGAAACTTCATGGCTCATTTTACCTGCTCGCCACCCCTGTAGCTTGCGGCGCGTGACGTCAAAGGTCAGACTGCTGTTTCCATTGGACAGAACCCCACGCCGTTGAACCGACACTTCATGGGGGTTCTGCTCTTCGAGGCTTTAGGAACTTCAGCCTCGACCGGCTTGTCAAGTCCGGCTTTTCGGATTCCTTCCGCTTTCGAGCTCGTGGATCTTCCCTTGTTGGAATTGCGGCAGTACGGGCATGCGGAGGCTGGAGCGATGACGACTGATGGATCGTGCGACCAGGCTTGTCCATCCGCGAAACTGGGAGCAAGGCGGATGTATGAATAAACCGCTTGTCACCAGTGAAGCCAACGCTAAGCTTCTTGGGCTATGACATGACGTATCCAAGGGGGGAGCAAGAACTCCTCTATGACCATTCAAGCTGCTCCTCCCGCTTGACTTCTGTAAGTGGCTCTGGAGCTGTCGTCCTCGTCGCTCGCATTTCCGCGCGCTTCAATTCGAACACAAAGCTCAATTCGGACTTGCAACATGAGATCTAGCAGCAGACGTGAAGCATCCTTCCACATCGCCCCCGGCTAACTTGCAACTCGCCTGGGAGTGAACGTCGATTCCAAAAGCCCCAACAGCTGAGGGGGAGAAGCTTCCCGCGGCGGAGTCTTCGAGAAATTGGCTACCCGAGTTGTAACAAGCAAGCCACAATGCGCCCAAAACATGGGCTGGGCAGAAGGAATCCAGCTTATGACGTGATACGTTCTTCGCAACCCTTGGTGCGCTAACAACAAACTTGCTGCTTTTTGCAGCCACTTTCTAAAAATGAAGAGAAGCCAAAAAAAGTGCCAAGGACAGTGATACGTCGTCCCCTTCCAAGGACTCCAACTGGGTCGATCCCACAGGCTGTGGGCCCCGTCCAGGGCATGACCACCGCTCCAGTCGCCCTGCTGCAGTGTGGCGACCCTCTGCTCCTGGACGAGACTGGGTTCCGCAACATGTGTACGACTCAGAATTGGATCTTCAAGCAAAGCACCTTGATCAGGGAGGAGAAGGGGATGGGTTCTGCAAAAAAAAAAAACAATGCCAAAGGCTGATATTTAAGAATTAAATCTTCAAGCAAAGGACCTTGATCAGGGAGGAGAAGGGGAGGGGTTCTGCGAAAAAAATTAATATACAATGCCAAAGGCTGATATTTCAGATTTGGATCTTCAAGCGAAGAACCCTGATCATAGCGAAATCGCTTGGCTCGCTATAACATTTTCTCAGATACGGCAACACAGCTGGGGAAAAAGATTGGGCGCTTGCCACCGGCCGCTCGCGAGCCGCGACAAGCAAACCATGACTTCAGAACAACCCCACGTTTGACGGGAAAAAATCCGCAAAGAAACACAAAATCCGGCGAAGAGAAACACCCAACCGTCCCGGTCCTCCGACTTCTTCCCATTCCGCGGGGAGTCCGGAGCCTCCGCCCTCAGCACCGCGCAGGTGCCGCACTTCACGATGTTCAGCTCCCGGCCCACGTCCCCCTGCCGCGCCAGGAACTCCCCCGGCCGCAGCCTGGAAGTCGAACCGCTTCAGGCGAAAGAACGTCTACATGAGTCATAATCAAAACCCGGTATCAAAAAGGTCTACCAAGAACCGCGTAAAGAACTATGAAGATTGATGGTTGGGATTGTCCCCTACTAACGTTCATCTACCCGGGTTTTGATTGTGGCTCACATGTTTTTTGCAGATGTCCTTGTGTTTCTCAACATGTTTGCTGTTTGTAGGGGTTGTCTCTCTGAAACCCCAAGGAGGTGGCGGCTCAAACCAAACGAGGAAACAAGTAATGTTGACCCAGGATTCATAAACCCGTCCCATTAATAGGAGAGTGTTCCCTCCAAGAGTGGTCTGAATCCCCACTAAAAGGGGACACCCCCCTATTCATCAACCAGGAGTTTATTAATCCGCGGTTAACATTGGAACACAGTTTTGGGCCAACCTCTCCTTGCTATCAACATGCATCTTCATTGACCGCGACAAAGCCTTTTCACCCTTTTGGCTAAACGACCGGAACATCCTCGACACGCCCTTCTGGCCATACTTTGTCCAACGGGAAGGGAACTCCTGAGTCAAGGACCTTCATAGGCGAGCTCGTGTTACCAGGCGACATTGCTATTTGCCCAGAAAGTCCCCGGACCTTTGAGGAACCCCCCCAACAGAGCCAGCGATTCGCGAGACCTCCGCACCTCTTCTCTACCAAAGCGTCAGCCACGCGCGGGAGCTCACAACGAGGCAGTTGGTTCCGCAGGAGGGGCACAGTCTCCTCCATTCGCGGCGGAAAAGTACCTATTTTCTTGGTTTGGGATGAGTTAACGTTTGGTCTTGTATTTTGCGTGCAACCTCTCATAGTGACTTGGCTGGTCACGGATTGGTCAATATGTCGATTGTCATGCTTGTTTTCTGATCCGATGGTGTGATCGGTGTAACTGGCTGGTGTAGTTCAACCAGCCAACCAATCACAGCAACAAAGCCAGGGCCCTTCAAGCCTTCATCCCAACAAAGCAATATGGGGGAGGAGGAACAAACGAAGCAGAAGAACCAACAACGACGACCACGACGACGACGACCACGACCACGACCACGACCACCACGACAACGACAATGACAACGACAACGACAACGACGACGACCACGACCACGACCACGACCACGACAACGACAACGACCACGACAACAACAACAACAACAACAACAACAACAACAACAACAACAACAACAACAACAACAACAACAACAACAACAACAACAACAACAACAACAACAACAACAACAACAACAACAACAACAACAACAACAACAACAACAACAACAACAACAACAACAACAACAACAACAACAACAACAACAACAACAACAACAACAACAACAACAACGACAACGACAACGACAACGACAACGACAACGACAACGACAACGACAACGACAACGACAACAACAACAACAACAACAACAACAACAACAACAACAACAACAACAACAACAACAACAACGACAACAACAACAACAACAACAACAACAACAACAACAACAACAACAACAACAACAACAACAACAACAACAACAACAACAACAACAACAACAACAACAACAACAACAACAACAACAACAACAGCAACAGCAACAGCAACAGCAACAGCAACAGCAACAGCAACAGCAACAGCAGCAACAGCAACAACAGCAACAACAGCAACAACAGCAACAACAGCAACAACAGCGACAACAACGACAACAACGACAACAACGACAACAACGACAACAACGACAACAACGACGACGACGACGACGACGACGACGACGACGACGACGACGACGACGACGACGACGACGACGACGACGACGACGACAACAACAACAACAACAACAACAACCACAGCTCCAGCCCTAGCCACAGCCACAGCCACGACCACGAGGTTGAGGTGTTTTTTTTTTCTAGCCCCGGCTTTTTACTAACCCCGGCTCCAAGTCATGTCCTCCTAAGCAGTTGGCTCAGAACCATGCTTCGACGCCGAGCTGGTAGCTTGCGAGCTGCGTCTGCGCGGGTTTCACCAACACTGAGCTGTGAGCTTGTGTCCCAGGCAGGTGCCTGAGAACCATTGCAAGCTGCGTCTGCGCGGGTTTCACCAACACTGAGCTGTGAGCTTGTGTCCAGCACTTGGCTGAGAACCATGCTTCGACGCCGAGCTGGTAGCTTGCGAGCTGCGTCTGCGCGGGTTTCACCAACACTGAGCTGTGAGCTTGTGTCCCAGGCAGGTGGCTGAGAACCATGCTTCGACGCCAAGCTGTGAGCTTGCGAGCGCGGGGTTCATCAACACTGAGCTGTGAGCTTGTGTCCCAGTGGCTGGGAACCATGCTTCGACGCCAAGCTGTGAGCTTGCGAGCGCGGGGTTCATCAACACTGAGCTGCTTGCAAGTTGCGTCTGACACTGAGATCGTGCTTGTCAACAGGATGAAGGGACTCCCTCGTCTTTCACCACACCGAGTCTGTTTGCAGGCTGCCAGCTCCGCTTTTTGTCACTCTGGACATCGCTTCTGCGTGCCGATTTTTTCGGAACTTGGCAGCTTTGCTCTACGTATTGCTTCTGCATTCAGGAGCTTTCGGAAGCTCCTCACCCGCACATAGGCCTGGGACACCGAGCGTTTTCCCTGTGTGCGATCGAACCGGACTGCTCGCGCCTTCGAGCCGCCCCCAAGCAGCGCCATGCGCTTTCACCTGAGTCCGCGTTTGAAACACTGTCAGCTGGCCCGGCCCACTCCGAGGCCCCAGCCGGCTCCTAGCCCGCTCTCACCTGCAGCAAGCGTGTCTTTGCGTGTGTCTTCCCGCAGAACGCACGCGTGCCTCTTGCTCCACTCTCGCCTGCAGTAAGCGCGTGTGCTTCTATGTCTTGCCACACCACGCACGCCTGTCCGGCCTCGTCCTTGTAGAAGTCCGGGTTTGTGCGCACCAGCGCATCGAATGCGTGACGGATAGCCGCTTCGTGGCTGCCGTGCACTGTCAAGGAGGCGTGACTTTGCGGCACGTGCCGCCCAGCCTGCGTTGCCTTCCATGCCTCGCACGAAGTCACACAGCTGACTCAGCAGTAACTGCGCAAGTCAACAAAGCGCTGGCCTGGTGTTGGTCGACGAAGTAGATATTGGCCCTTGCTGGCAGCTCCTTGTTGCCGAGGACAGACGCAACCAGGTCAAAGTTTGTGCGATGCAGCGTGATGCCCCTGCTTCCACTTGCGGGAACGCTGGCCCGGCTCTTGGCTGTCTTCTAGAGCTCTCGGTCTTGCCGCTGCTGGATTGAAGGCAGTTTCGTCTGACTTCGTTGCAGCGCCGGGGAGTTCTTGCAAGATGCGTCCACTGGAAGGTGGCAGCGCCGTCTCAGCGGCTCTGTGCCGCTTGCCCGGAGAAAACACCTCCCTGCTCGAGCTGCCGCGCGCTGCAAAGTTTGGCTTCGGCGGCCTACCTGTGCGCCTTGCAACCACTTCCAGCACGTCCGAGGATGCTTCCAGCGCTTCTGAGACATCAATATGCTCACAAATGGCACTTAATGCAAAGGCGAGGCAGGAACACAAAAGCATTGGCTGCGGTGGCGCTTCCATTGGCGCGAGCTGTTTGTCGCCCAAACCCGCTCGTGCAACTGAGTGAGCAACTTGCCAGCACTGGGGAGTCTCGGGAGCTAGCACTACCACCCATTTTGCCCGCAGCCTATACCATGTCTCCCAGTGCAAGGAAAGCGTCGTTGCTCTGTGGCCTGACGCAATGCCGAGCTGACGCCAGAGTCCCGCAAGCACGTCGACATCCGGCTCTGCTGCAACTTGCACGAGCAAACGTGCTGTGGTGACAGGTAGCCGGAGTTCCTCCTCAGGTCTTGCCACGTATTCAACCTGAGCTCTTGCCACTCCCCTTGCTGCCGCTACGTGTTTTTGCTGCAGCAATGTCGTCGGCATCACATATGCGGTCTTGACCGTGGCAGCTGTGCATGCGTGCACTAACTCCTTCTTTGCAAACAACTCAACTGCAGTGCTGCGCCCGGCTTTGCACAAGAGGGCGCCGTTGCGCACTTCCGGATCTTTGCATGTTGGGCGATCTGGCAGGCACGTTGCCTTTTCTTGCTGCCGTGCGTACGCTGTCGCAGCCCGGGAAAAAGCCTCAAAGTATGTCTGGGGTTCCATATGCTTTAATTTTTGGCCGTCCGCGGTTACAAGTGCAGGACGCCACGTTTTGCCATGAAAGGCCTCTACTGCTTGCGATCCGCTTGCAGAACCTGGCTGCAACCGTGCGTAGCCCGCCCACCAGGCCGCACACAGCACGCCCTCCTCGGGGTTTGGCACGGAGGTCACGCCATACTGTCTCTGTGCGTCCACTGCAGGAAGCTTAAAAAAGTATGTGGCGCACAGGTACCGAGCGACACTGCTTTGGCCCCAACCCCCTGCACTCGTTGGCGATGACATGAGCTTGAACAAGCTCTGCCAAACGAGATGGAACTCGGTCAGCGTTGCGCAGTGCGTGCGTGTGGCGCAGATGGCTTGCCTTATCTGCCCGGCCCTCTCCCGCTGCGTTGCCTCGGCACCTGTCATGCGCTGCTGCAGTCCTTCACGCACGGCTTGCCACATATGGAAGAAGTCACCTGCCCGCATGCTTTGAGGGAAGACCTGCCTACGCGCTTTTTCGACCGCGCTGGACCAATCACCATGCACTTGCCTGACCACTTGACCCAGTTCGACACCGTTGGACAGCGGCAATTCCGCGAGAAGTTCAAAGCCTGGCCTATATGCGGGCGCTGCCTCATGCTGGTGACCACGAACAATACTGCGGTGAAATGCGAACGCCACGCCTGCAACTTTTGGCCATTCGCCGCCGTGGTGTCACCGTACGCCTGCGTCAGGACTCCGAACGGGATCACACAGAAGCTGCCGACTACATCTCGGAACGTTGCGTCTGCTGCAATTTTCACGTATTCTGGGTTAGCAAGTTTTCGTGGTACGTGCAGCAAGGACGCAATGCTGATTGCTGCAGCGAACCCAAGCTTGCCATCATCCAGTCGGAATACGATGTGCCGCAGCAACAGCAGGTCGTGTCTTCGCTCATGCGGCAGTCGCAGCGCTTCCGCAACCGACACCTCAACCGCACCGGCTGCTGCGCAAGCTGCAAGCACATCTTCTGCTGTCCACTGCTCCCTGGAGTCTGTTGGCACGCTATCCACTTTCTGGCGCTTTGCAGCATTTTTGATGAGGTTTCTCACTTGCTGCTCATTTGGCGGCTCGTCTTGACAGCTGTTTAAGGCGGTCAAACGTCCCAGGGCGCTATTACTTTTGGAATGCAAAAGCCGCGTTCGTTGCTCTGTTGTCATAGCCCCACCAACCTTTGCTTGCAAAGCATCGTGCTGCCCACGTGCTTGCAGTTGGTACATCTTCGTGCCTGGAAAGTACTCTGCCACACCCTCCCAAGAGCAACTGCTCTTGCTTGCGCAGGACGTGCACTGG